GAGAATATATTGCTACTATTGGTTCTGTGTAAATTAAGTTTCAGTAGGGTTCAACAGTGTGGAACCTTGTCGAATCATTTGTAGGTAATGTCTCCCCTGAGTATCGATTATCTATGAGTTGTGCATTGTTGCATAACCCAACTGGGAAGTTATGTGCGACATTCCATTTAGGCAGTTGTAAAGTAGATACTGAATGAATTGCTGCTAGATAATCTCTCCGTGATATCTGAATCCGTGAAAATTATACTAATTGAGTGGTAAGTTTTATTGTACGCTGTTGACCCATCTGCATGAATAGACACTGCATAAGATTCCTTCAGGTAGATGGGATATGTTCTCCTGTCAAGTGAAAGAGGGTATTTAGAAGTCGACTTTTACATCCGAATAACTATTCATATTACTGACTGACAGTAGTAGTGTAGTCCTACAGGAACTAATGTTTTGGATCTCTGGAGCCAACTCCCACTAAGCTATCGCTATCTACTTCAAAATAATTTTTCAACTAAGTACTACTAAACTCCGTTATGTATTAACTACCTAGGCCTTTACTGAAGCCAAAACTTACTCTTTTCATTCGTGTTCTTTGTTTCTTTAAAGTCTGGTCGTTTTGACGGAAAACACAACGAAACCACTAGTATTTGAACCAAGCTGTATTTTAACCGAAAACGTCATAGTTTCCATGCTTAGACCAATATGGTTAGCACTGTACGTTGCAAATGTATACTATCATTTCAAACACTCTGTGGCATCTTGTTGTATATATCTTGTAAATGTACTTTCACACTATTTTGCAGTTTCTCAGGACGTTCTCATCTTCCTCAAATAGCTTTCGATCATGTGTGATATTGCATTTACTCGAAAATAGGCTGTTCGTTGGTTGACGATAACTATCGGTAGGAAGCGAAACGAAGTTTGGGTTGCCGCTGAACTTTAATGGCTACCCTATTGAAGGGTCTACAACTTGACTTTTAAACGAACCTGTTCTGACTGATGGCATCCAAGTATTTCAAATTTTGAAAAAGTGCTAATTTATGCACATTTCATGGTTGTAACTTATAGAGTATTTGACCGCACCTACAAAAATTGCATGCATCTCGTGTAAACTTATCTGTTTATACGAATCACAAATTAGTGTTAATAGAGGGCTAGTGGTGTTTTGAAACCTTAATTATCGAAAGTACGGCACGGGACAGGTGAAGGAAACCTAGTCAAATACACGGAATGTGATTCATCATTCGGTAGATGAAGAAGACCGTAAAAGTGATAACGAAGGTATACTTATTACTTGGTTCGTTGTCCCATCCTTGTAAACTCTTCAATTATTGACAACGTGTGAGTGAATTAAGCTTACCGTGTTGTGGAGACCTTACGAGTAAGGAATTATAGCATTTTCTCTGATTTCCTAGTAAGATGGAACATATGCCAACAGGACTAGGCGTGTTAAACAACTCCGTCATTTGGACATCCGTTATGTAAACATCCAGTCACTAGCTATTTAGAAACCAATGCTTTCAGTCTCAGTTAACCGAATCAATATTTATTACATGTCTCTCACTTGTCTATGTATATCATTTCCTGATAAAAAAATAAATGACATTTCAGTCTGTATGAAAGTTATGGTTTTTTTTCCCCATATACTGAACGAGTTATTTTTTGTCACTTTTGTTCTAGCTAATAAAAATTGAGCATATAGTAGGATTTAAGATTAGAACTTTTCTATTTAAACATTGTAAGGGCTGATTTTTCCATTTCACGAAAATACATTTTGTACAATAACAAATGTAGTGCATGAAGGACGCTGGGTGTCCTTGGTGAATACTGCGCCTTTTGATTTCTGTGCATGCTACGGCCAGAAGTATGTTTTACGTATGGTTTTGAGCTGCGTCGTTTATCTCGCTTTGGCTATAGTAAGCGGCAAAGTTAACAGTGTGTTTACTCGGAATTGCTTATTTCGTTGAATTGAGACGACAAGCGCGTCATCAATGTGTACATAGAACGATTTCTGTCACGGCTGAGTAGTACAAGCATCAATAGAAATGGAGGAAGTATGTGAAGCCGTCTCTGCGTGTTCTAAACCCAGGTCGCCGCCATATTTATTGTCATGGTTTATTCACTGAGCCGTTGAGTTCCTAAGTATTGCAATCCTTCGCACACTGAAATGTGTGTGTCAGGATACGCTTAGCTTCAGGGTGGATTCCCCCACAAAAATAACCACTGACTACCAGTTAACACTGGATATGCAGTTATCAGTCATCCATGTCTATCATGGAATTATTTCCTCAAAGGCCTGGTGATCATACCTAACCCCTGACATCGACGAAGCTAAGTTTCACGATAAATGATCACTTGTGACATTGCGTGACAGCAACTATGTGTATGAAAATAGGATCTATGGTATATCAAGTACCATCAAAGCAGTCGAATAGAAAATTACTGCACAGGACTATATCTTTCGTTACGTCCTAAACGTTCAGTGCTGAATGTATTTTAAATTCCAAAGAAACATGTCTTCTCGTTTCTCAGTAGCCATCTGACCGATGTTGGCCCTCAGTAAGATTGATCTTAAAATTGAGATACATGTGAAGCAGTTCGCTCTTTCATTTAATGGCACAGACGTACCTACCGAAAGTAGAAGACATGAAAAGGCTAGCTGTCTTTGATCACGTTTGCGTTTTATCCCCTGTGTTAAGTAGTATTATATGGTGAGTAACTTTAAGGTTAGCCGTAGTGGGATGGTCAATCGACGAAGTTAAGAAGCTATTGTGAGTCAATATTGGGAGATCTGTTAGCATGGCTTAGAATAATTTACAGTGGATCAGGCCCTTATGGACCTAAATGCCACTCTACTTGTCGAAGTGTGGATTGCGAGACATCTTCTTCAACCCCTAAACAACGAGTGCTGCTCACAACCAGGTACATTAACAGGAGTGTGGCTGTTAAGTTAAAGTACACCATTTCCAAATTGGCATGGATGTATTCACTTTTCGCCTTACAAATTGGGAACGTCTTCACTACATTTCCTTGAATTATTCTCCCACACACGTTCACCTATCGTATCGCCATCTGTTATCCTTCATATGCTTTTCCGAGGTGTCAGTGCAAAGAGAAAATAAACTGAGGTGAAAGCTTCTTTGATAACTATTTGCATTATATGCAGTTTGCAATGAGCCATACCTAACGAGAAGTTTCAATACTACCTATCTGTCAAATCCTGTGTGCAGGTTTTGAGAAGTCCGAATGCGTCCTTGTGTTTGAATGGTGTTCCTATAAAACAATAGACAGCAACTTCATTTCGTCATGTACAACAAAGATTGGCGTGCCACGTATTCAATATTTTCGGTGCAGTTTATCTTTTGTGTTCTTTCCCTGTAGATCTTATCAGATAAGAATTCACTATTAAGTTTAAAAGCAGAAGCTTGATTCTCTATATCTGGTAATTCATACATGTCAAAGGCCCGTAAAACACTAGACATCTATAACAAAGCATGTAGTATTAGAACTGTTTGTTAATGCCTTCAAGACGAGTTCTCTTCTCTGTGTTATTATATGGTTTGTTCCAGGACGCTGACAAAGTGCAGAGTCCTCTGAGCTGCAAATATACGAATGTTTGGTATGCGATTCGCTCCCCCAAATGTAAGATGATGTTGCGGCACTGGACTACACTGACTCCTAGCTCAGAAATAGGGAGTGAAGTGGTAGAGCACGTTGATCGCTTCACCTATTTGGGAAGTACCATCAGCCCAAACGGGTTGATCGCCGACGAAATCTCAGCACGGATACAGAGGCCTAGTTTCCCATATGCTAGTTTACGCCCTATCTTGAGTAGACGTGATATCCTGCTGGCTATCGATCGAAGGGCGGGTGTACTGCTCAGCAGTCCGCTCCGTCCTACTTTATGGCTGTGAGAGCTGGCCACTGAGAGTGAAAGACATGAAAAGGCTGACTAGCTGTCTTTGATCAAAGGTGCCTGCGTTCTATCTCTCGTGTGAAGAAAAGTCGCTACACCCCCTCTTTGTAGCACACAAAGCAAGAGAAGAAAGTAGAAGAAATGCATAATAGAGACAGTAAACAGAGATATGAGACAAAAGGAATAGTAACATCGAAGAACAATATAGTTTCATTGAGAATTATAAGTCACAAGGAGTGGATGCATCTGAGCCAGCCATTGAGAACGATTTTCAGCCATATCACGAATTGTCTCCAGCCATTGGTTTTTACCGTACCGAGGACCCAACAGTCAATCAGGTAGTCTACACCTTCCTACGTGGCTGGCTGGCTTAAACTAACTGTTGTGGATTTCATTGACTGATGAAGCCATGTTTTGGTTCGACCACCAATGGCTCTTTTCCAACCTGATCCTATATCAGTCAGCTAACGCTGCCCGTCGAGGAAGGCGATGGCTATCTATGAGTAACACATCTCCCAACTATTTCAGTCGATGTAGCTTCACAGCCTCATCGATTGATTTCCCCTCAGTGCTTACCTAGCACTCGACCGAGGCCTAACCTCAATATTACTCAACCTATTACACCTACCACTTCACACCGGAGATAGAACGCAGGCACCTATGATCAAAGACACCTAGCTTTTTCATGCGTTCCTGCAGTACTGTATTATACGTGACAGGCACGAAAGGCATCCCAAGTACTTTGGTTTTCCCGCAAGGCATAGAAAAAATATTTTTCTAGCACTTTCACTTCATAAGACTTTAAACGTACCTAGTTTTATTATATGCGTAAATACACCTACAAGTAAGAACAGTAAATCTCACTGACAAGTAGGTGTTAATCCTTTTTTTCTACATTGGAATCTATTAGTTGTGATAATATAAGGTAATAAAATCAGAAATATTTATATTGACGGTATTAATGCTTCTAAAATGTTTTTTTTTTTTGCAATCCATTTTAAACATTTTAGGTAGATGTTATGTAGATTGATTTTTTTACTTTCACTAACTGACTGAGTATCGTATCAAGTTGACAAATTATTTATTATCAACAATGGATGAAGTACCAATTCCAAAGAATAACTTACCTGAATCTGAAGTGGTTACAGGTTAGTAAATTTATCTCAGTGTTATCGCAAATTATTCTATCTTTATATAAATATTTGTAGAATCTGTGTGGACCATGTCATGATTTGATGAGTATTTTAAAAAAGTATCAACACAACTTACTCTTGTGGTTGTTTCTTGTAGCGTGCACTTGTGTGCACTTGATAATTACATGTTCCTAGCACCAGTCTTACTTAAAAGAGAGATGTTTTATAGTCTGGTAGACCTACAATATCGGCGCATTAATACACTCGATCATATAGGTCTTATTAGCTTTCGGTGACTTCTGTCAGAACTCTATTGCTCTAAGTGTCTTGCTTATGTTTCAAGTGGTTTATTTTGCTAAGGATTTGCTTTCACTGTAATATCAGTGATGTTTCTGAGGGCAAGTCCTGTGTAGTGGAGGTCTAGGCTCATCTGGATGTGGACTGCTCATATCTTTATAGCTGTAAGACCAGGCCATTGAGAGTGGAAGACATGAAAAGGCTGGCTGACTAGCTGTCTTTCATCATAGGTGCCTGTGTTCTATCTCCCGTGTGAAGTGGTACGTGTAATAGGGTGAACAATATTGAGGTTAGGCCTCGGTCGAGCGCTGGATAAGCATTGACGGGAAATCAATAGATGAGGCTGTGAAGCAGTTAGATCGATTGAGTGAGATGGTTAGGACATGTGTTATGCATACATGCCTAGCCATCGCCTCCCTCGACGGGCAATGTTAGCTGACATAGGGTCAGGTTGGGAAAGAGCCAGTGGTGGTCAAACCAAAACATGGCCTAGTCAGTCAATGAAATCCACAACAGTTAGTTTAAGCCAGCCAGCCACGTAGGAAGATGTAGACTTCCTGGTTGGGGTCCTGGGGACGTATAAACAATCGGTGATATGGCTGAAAATCGTTCTCAATGGCTGGTGCAGATGCATGCACTCCTTGTGGATTATAATAACAATGAAACTATATTGTTCTTCGATGTTACTATTCCTTTTGTCTCATATCCCTGTTTACTGTCACTATTTCGCATTTCTTTTTAATTTCTTTCCTTGCGTTGTGTGCTACATGGAGTATGGCGACTTGAACTGCTGCACATCTGTGCAAAGTTCTATGTCGAAAACAGAGACATATAACCACACAGCTCACTTACCATTAATAGATTAGTACACTATGATTTCTGGTGCTGCTATGCCATTATATTTACGAAATATTTCATTGAAAACGGAAACTTGGTATATTATGGGCACCAAAAGGTGCGGTGCACAAATTGCTGTCTCATAGTTTGTGTGAGGTTTAGGATACTGCCCGGGTGCCCAGACTGAAGCAGATGGCTGTTATAAGAGGTCACTTCTTAGTCTTCGACTTGATGTCTGATTCTCAATGCAATAGAACAGCGTCAGCTGATTGCTCTCCTTTAATTTCCAGTGACCGAAACAGGTTCATACGTCATTCAATCCTTTCGGATTCTGGAGCACATGTACTTCATAGGTTTGGGGTCAGGGTAGGGACTGCATGTCCATTGGTCCAATTGTAAGTCCCAGACGTTTTTATTTGTGCTTTCATTTGTGTGGGAAACACCCTCCTCTTAAAGGCGGTGAATAAGACCTACCTGGCAGAGGCTATGAACGCGTTGCCGCATAAGAGTATTTTGCGAGAAAAACTGGAGTCTATCAACCCTAGGCCGTACGCGGTCATTTATGGGGACAGACCATGGAGTACTGAGCAATTATTTCGTCCTAGTGTGGGACTCTTCATTGGCTGACAGCTCTGGCCCCACTGGAGGTCGAGCCCAGGACCAGCTATGCTTCCACGGCTAGCTGCTTTGTAGATATGCAGCTGTCACATGACACGTTTCCAGTTAAAAAATTATCTAATAGTTTAACGTTAGCTTTGCATCATTTGAATGAGTAAATTTCAGCAAACCTCAGAAAAAAGATGGAGAGAATAACACTGAGGTTTGTGAGATCGGGCTACCACAACTGCTTTTCTAGACTAGTGAGAGTACTAACTCGAAAAAAGAAAAAAGGCTGTAAATCTCTAATTAGTATTTATAACTACCTACTTAGAGAAATGTGCGTCGGTAGCACAGCGGTTAGGACGCTCGCTGACCATGCACATAGTCCGGGGTTCGATCCCCGGCCACCGATGCACTCCTTTACCTATCTAAGCCAGAATTAAAAACTGGTAAAGAGGAAAGGTTGCGGCATGAAGCTACCAACCCCATCCTGTAAAAATGATCACCACTGCTACAGAAACTTCAAGCTAGAGGCTTGAAGCCCCCTATGTTCCACTGGGAACGTGAAGGAATAAAAACAAAACAAAAAACTTGAAGAAATGAATAAATTTCCTACTGAAATTTCACTCAGAGAGTAGCTAAATTCTTTTCACAGCAGATAGACAGAAGCAGGCAGTACTAACAGAACTCATGACTGTACAACAGAAGGTGATAGTTAGAAGGAAAAAAGAAGTAATAAAGGTCATAAAATGGGAGGTTGCTTGATGTTGCAAACTCAATGAATGAAAGACAAAGTGAGCAAAGAAGCAAGATATTGTAGTGTGTAGGTGAAGATGAGAAAAAGTGTCAATGTCATATGGCGTACACTGCTGCCAAGTAGTTTGAACTCTAATCAGAGGATGTCAGCAGTAATCAGTACTTCATGCATTATTTGTTTCACGTATTCGTCTGCCTAACCTTCACTTCCTTCCTGTTTAATCTCGCCTTTAATAGAGTAGAATGTTGAGATAGACATTGGTTTACCTAAATGATATGGACGTTGGCATTCTGAGGCGATGAAGGTTCATAAATTTCATATACTGATATACCAGTTTTACCTAAGACTTCATGCCACACACCTTTGCATAAGTCCTACCACGTTCTACTGAATGCGGGGAGTAGTGTTTCCAAGGTAATGTTGATGAAGCATTCCTAGCCTTCATGTATTTTTTTCTTTCATTATTAGCCATGTTCCTCAGCCATTGAGTAGAGCAGGCAATAATCCTGCACAAAATGATTAACCTTTGATTGGAAATTTGAGTGTTGTATTGTATTGTATTGCATTTACATTCGTTGCAGTATAGCTGACATAAATCCACTAAAATTTCTTTGTTTAATTTTTCAAGAATCTTCCAATCCATCTGAAATGAATGATGATGAGTGTTTGCCAGACGTTATTGGTGGGGATAATTGTCCTACTACGTCGAATAACAGTAATTCAGATGGTATGTAATATTGAATATTGCTATATTTGTTGTATTTGTTTTTACTAAACGTTAATTATCACCTAATTTTTGTATTGATTGGTTAGTAATATCAGCGTAATTGTGAAAATGTCACTCAATGTCTTAGGTTACCCGATCTTCAAACACTAGATCTGCAGTTCGAATCTTGCAACACATCAGTTTGACTTGTAGAGTCCACTTAGTGGATATATAGTGAATGCCCACCACCCCGATTTCTATTGAATTTCATCATAGATGTACTAATGGACTTAACCCTAACTCACTTCAGAGATTCAGGGATTGACTTGTTACCACTACGGAATAATAGTCTCATTGACTTAGAATATGCGGATGATATAGTCCTTCCTGCTAGATGAAGACGCTGACAAAATATAGAGTCCTCTAAGCACCTTGAGCTGCAATCTTCGAATGTTTGGCATGCGATTCGCTCCCACCAAATGTAAGATAATATTACAAGACTGAAATACATTGACTGATAGCTTAGAAATAGGAAGTAAAGTGGTAGAGCGTATTGACCACTTAACTTATTTGGGAAGTTGCATCAGTCAACGCCAACGGGTTGATCGCCGACGAAATCTCAGTACGGATACAGAGGACTAGTTTCGCATATTCCAGTTTACGCCGTCTCTGGCGTAGACGTGATATCAGGCTGCCTCTCCACCAAAAGACGTGTGTGTCTACTGCTCAGCAACAGTTCACGCCGTTCTCCTTTATGGCTGTGAAGTGAGACCTGGCCATTGAGAGTGAAGGACATGAAAAGGCTGGCTGACTAGCTGTCTTTCATCATAGGTGCCTGCGTTATATCTCCCGTGTGAAGTGGTACGTGTAATAGGGTGAACAATATTGAGGTTAGGCCTTGGTCAAGCGCTGGATAAGCATTGAGGGGAAATCAATAGATAAGGCTGTGAAGCAGTTAGATCGATTGAGTGAGATGGTTGGGATATGTGTTGTGCACACATGTCTATAGCTTTCCTCAACTGGCATTGCTGTCTGACATAGAGTCAGGTTGGGAAAGAGCCAGTGGTGGTTAAACCAAAACATCGCCTAGTCAGTCAATGAAATCCACAACAGTTAGTTTAAGCCGTTTCGTAGGAAGGTGTAGACTGTCTGACTTACTGGTTAGGGTTGTGGGGATGGTAGAAACCAGTGAAGGCTGGAGAGAATTGGTGATATGGGTGAAAATCGTTCTCAATGGCTGGTGCAGGTGCATCCACTCCTTGTGACTTACAATTTTTCAATAAGACCATATTGTTCTTCGTTATTACTATTCCTTTGTTTCATATCTGTGTTTACTGTCTCTATTTTGCGTTTGTTTTATACTTTCTTTTCTGGCTGTGTGTGCTAAGTGAAGTGTGGCGACTTGAGCTGCTGCACATCTGTGCAACGTTCTATGTGGGAACCGGACAGACAGACATAGTCCACTTCCATTTTGTACTAATATTCGTCAACATGATCAGCTTTTATTTGCTTCCCAAATTAATTGTGTGTGTGTGTGTGTTGGTGTGTAGATTTCCGTTAGTGCATTAGCTAAAACAACAATCTGCTTTTAAATTGTGATTTTTTATATGCATTTTTGAGGATCTGTTATCACTTGTTGGTCATTACACCTGACTGTATTTGCAATTACAAAGTTATTTGCGTCTCATGAACTCCGAATTTATTTGGCATTAGTGCTTGTTGGCAGTGGTTTTACACATCACTCCACCTTGGTAATTTACTTGTCCATCACTCATAAACTAACTTTGAGTAATACTAATTTTAGGACAAGATTGTAACAGTAACAGCAGTAGTTTGAGTAATTCGGTTTAGAGAGAATGCTCGTCAATCAGGCACGTGGTCCAGGCTCTGTTTCCAGGCGGCATACTCCTAAACCTTGTTTAACCGGTAGTTAGCTTGGTAAAGAAAAGGAAGTTGAGAGTTAGGCCAGCACCCTCACCCAATAAAAAACAATCACCAGTCCTACTGAAACTTTGAAGTTCTACATTCCACTCAAAACGTAAAGGAATAAAAACAGGAGTATAGCAGTGACTTATTCATGAACGTCCCCTGATCACCATAAAATTGTGATGCATCAAAAAGGAACAGTTGTAATTCAAAGCTCAAGGCTCATATTCAGTGTAATGTTACGTAACAACCACTTGCATGCACCCGGAAATGAGCCATGTCTACTGTGTGGGGGGTGGGCGGAGTCACTTAACCCGCCCCCCGCCAAACCGTGGTGGCGAGAGTGTGGTTCGAAACGGTGTCCCAGTAGGTGTAATAAGGTGAATAATATTGAAATTAGGCTTCGGTCGAGTGACAAGTAAGTAGGGGAAATCAATCGACGAAGCAGTGAAGCAGTTGCATCAATTGAGTGAAATGCTCAGGACATGTGTTAAGCATGCATGTCTAGCCATCACCTTTCTCGACGATGGGCTATGTTAGCTGATTGACATAGGATTGTTCAGGTTGGAAAAGAACTGCTATTTGTGGTCAAACTAGAGCATGATTTGCCTTTGCTGAATCAAGCTTGTTCCGTGGGGCGGATTTTTGCATCCAGTGCATCGTTTATTCTCTCTAGTATGACGCGAATTAGTGTTCTACTTGGCGTGGACAACAGCGTTATTCTGCCCAGTTCATGCAGAGTCCTAAGTCGCCTTTCTTTGGTAGGTAACCTTTCTTCCTACTTTTCCTTCCTTCAAAACGTCGTGTATTATTGGTGTCAGCATACCTGCTGCAGTCTCTGGGTCCGTTTTCAGTGTTTCGGGGGGGAATTCCGCCTGGTCCTGCTGCCTTCCGAGACTTCAGTAGCTTGATCACATGCAAGGTTTCTGCTTTCGTTGGAGGATTGGTGTCCACTGACAGACAGTTGTGTGTGTGTGTGGTGTTGGTGGTATTTCTGGGCAAGTTGCAGGTGATGGTCGATTTAACAGTCCCTTGAAGTGATCAACCCACTGTTTTATTTGTTTCTCCTCCTTGGTAATTAGGTTCCCTTGAACATCTTTTATTGGTTTCATCATCTGGGTTGATCTCTTCCCGGATAGAGACCTGGTTATCTGATATAATGTCCTGAAGTCTCTTTTACCTGTGGCATGCCTACCTGTCCTGCTTCAGTTGTCAACCGGTGTGTCGTAAAATTGCTCTTTTATCTTTCAGAGCACTCTTCTTTACATTTGAGTTTAGTCTTACTGTCATAATCCTGGATGAGATTGGTTCCCACTGCATTAGAGATCTGCCACTGGTGAAATCACTACAGCCACTCCCTCAGTGTGTTCGTGGTTGTCATCTGGGTGACTGAAGTAGATTACTGACTCACCGGTTGACAATTTCGGCAGTCCACATCCATTCCATCTGCTCTCGCAGATTCCGAGCACACTTCTATATCATACCATCTCATTTCTTTGCCTACCTGAGCAACCTTCCCAGCCAGCCCCTCGTACAGTGTACGCACATTCCACATCCCAATTTTTATTCTTGCTTCCATCGAAAGGAAGATACATCGGTTGACTGGCTTCTCGAAGTCTTTCACTAGCCCTTGTCATATACTCTCTCTGGCTAAAGTGAAAAATAAGTCTGTTTTCTTTGTATTTTTGTTAATTATTTGAAGTGGATTGTTTTCTGGGGTGGGGCTGCTAGCCCCACACCCAACCATCTTCTTCTGCGTCCGATCTTGGAACCGGCTGGAAAACTAGTGAGCTAGTTTTAACTAGGCGATGTTCGTCTGATAATGAGTTGTTGTCAGAACTATGCAATGCAAAGGTGTAAATGATAATCATTTTGAAAACATTTATTTCCCGATACGAATTTAAAACAAGCAATAAAGGTTAATAAAGCAGGATGATTTAATGAATTCATCAAATTTCGGTAGAACTCCTCTTCAGCTGAATACTCTACATACGGGGATATATATTGGGAGATATAAGATTGATCGATAAGCCAATAAACTACATTGAATTAATCATGCAGAGAGACATGTGTGAATGTTTTCAATTTGAGTGTGTTTTTGTGGAAGCAAATATATAGGGCGTACAGAAAGGCGATTGTCTGCTCATTGCATGATGGAGCATTTGCCAAAATGGTTGAAAACAGCTGAGTGCAAAGTGCCAAAAACCTCAATAATAAAACATCTTGTGGACTATGGACATGATATCGACGCTGTCAAGTCATTCACTATTGTCAGCAGACAAAGAAACAAGAAGATGCTTGCAATTGTGGAGGAGGCTTGTGCAATTTGGGTTTATAAACCAGGTCTCTGTGTACAAAAAGTGATGGTCGTGACTCTGAATCTACCATGGTAATACGCTTTACTTATTGTTCTACCTCTTATGATTATTATTCTTGATTCATTTGAAACTATCCTTTATCAGTAGGATTATATTAACTCACTTCAACACTATTATTATTATAATTTTTATTATTATTATTATCATTATTATTATTATTTTTATTATTATTATTATCATTATTATTATTATTGTTATTATTATTATTGTTATTATTTTTATTATTATTATTATTTTTATTATTATCATTATTATTATTATTGACATTACTCTGTTTCCAATTATTGTTATATTCTCTAATGACTAATTGTTTATCTAAGTGATGTAATTGAAGCGTAATGCATTTCATCTTAATTTTAATCTCTCTCATAATCCCTCTCCCCTTATCTATTTGAACATGACCTGGAAAAATATTCGCACCTGTCTTTCTGTATGACTAATTCAATGTAGTTTATTTGCTTATCAGTCTTATATCTCCCAATGTAATTTCAATAGTATATATATTCATGTATACGGATCAGAAACTTGGCAGCGGGTTACAAAGAATATTTCCAACAGCCTGTTGCACACCTTTATCAACAGCTGTCTTCGTTCTATACTCAAGATCAGATGGCTGGAATGAATCACCACAAGAAACTATGGGAACAAACAAAAGAAGAACCAATCGCTCAACAAATATGCAGGAGAAAGTGGAGATGGGTTGGACACTCACTGGCTGAGGAGGCCGTTGAGTGACAATGCGCGTTAGGCCAGTGCTCGAGTGGAACCCGAAAGGGAAGCGGTGAGTGGGACGTCTAAGGGTGACATGGAGGAGATCGTGTGAAGAGGAGTTGAAACAGTATGAACTAACGTGGATGCAAGTGAAAAGTACAGCAGAAGACAGAAGCAAGTGGAGACGTGCAGTTGAAGCCCTATGTTCCACTAAGGAACCTAAGGGAACAGTGATAATAATAATATATGTCTGTGTATGTAGAGTATTCAGCTGAAGAGGAGTTCTCCCGAAATTTGATGAATTCATTAAATCTTCCCTGCTTTATTAACCTTTATTGCTTGTGTTCAGATAATCATAATTTTTTTTAAGAATACAGCGTCCTCATTATTTACTGAAGTAACTAATGCCTACTTCTTGTTTATATAGACCAAACAAATGATGTGGATGATGAAGAAGAGACTTCGTCTAGAAATGAACAATCCCACTCATCTGTAAATACATCAGTAACAAACAGTAGCCAATCGAAACCACGAAAACAACGCATATCTTACAATGGAATGGATGAAGCCACCTTAATTGGTAATATATATTTTTTTTCTCTATCATTTTTATGAAATGTCTTTGTTTTATAATGAATATATATATATATATATATATATATATAGCGTCGGTGGCATAGCGGTTAGGACGCTCGCCGACCATGCACATGGTCCGGGGTTCGATCCCCGGCCGGCGCACTCCTTTGCCTCGCTAAACCAGAACTAAAGCTGGTGAAGAGGCAAGGTTAGGCATGAGGCTAGCAACCCCATCCTGTAAAATAAACACTGCTACAGAAACTTCAAGCTACTGGCTTGAAGCCCCCTATGTTCCACTGGGAACGTGAAGGAATAATATGTATATATTTCTTTAAAACGAATAGATTTATTTAAATTATCTTAATAAAAGTGGAATCATATGTAGAGATATTCAGTAGAGAGAAAGGACAAATACACACCCACTGGTTAGTAAAAAAAAGTAGTAGTCACTGTGTTGTTGTTGTTCGTTCAGTGATAAAAATGGTATGAAAATAAAAATATAATTTAGAAAAGAACACTTTGCAATGACTGTGAGTGAGGTCAACTACATAGGCCAGTCAAACTAGTAGGTCGGGGGTAGTCAGATTGTCGGAACATAAGAATTTAGTGGCTAAGGTAAGAATGGTTGACCCCACGCGCGAAGATAAGTAATTTAGAAAAAAAGCTCAGCAATTGCACTGTATGCATTAACACACAACCACACAATAGGGTGGATGGGACAGAGTTAAAATTCTAAGAAGTAATATAGGTAGGTGAAGAGAGACAGATTGATTACTGAATCCTGTCTGGTTCATCGGATCTACACCCAACACATGTAAGAGAAATGACTCAATGCAAATACCAGAGATATGGAAGATATTATTACCACCAGTCAGTCAAATCAGAGGAGGATAATAAATAATCTTAAAATTCTCTTTCAATTCACATACATCATAACATTCTAACAAGTTACTTATTATTTTGACTATAAAAACACTCGTCTTATTTCCCATCTGATTGTATTTGATTGATAACACTCATATTATTATTCTGAATGTACATTATCCCATATTGATTTTGATTCAAATATCTAATCGATTCCACTCATGTATATAAATGAAGCAAAAAGTTGTGTGAGTAGTGACTTGATATGATTATAAGTGACAATAGTTTGTGCTCGAAACGTGGTCATCAGTTAATATTACTGGATTAAAATTGTTGACGATATTGTAATACAGCAAGACACGATCAAGGTATATTTTCACTAATCAACGTTATATATATCTACAGTTACTTACAATCACTGAGTGTGATTTTTATCAAAATGAAATAGAATTCTTAAATATCGTAGTATACTCTAACCCACCCCGTATTGAAGTTCTATACTTATATCAATAAAACTGGATTGGTTCAACCCAAGGGACTGAATTCTCTACATTATCGGAATTATGACTATCCATCTCAGGGTTAATCATGAAATATTGAATAAAAGCTGGCGACTAGGGGGTACATTGGTTGGTTGGTGGTGGGCGTGTGGTAACAAGTGAAAAAGTCTCACACGTTATTTGCATCATATGATGTTAGTGGATAAAGGATCGACTGACAGTAAGGGACGTGTTGCTAGGCTATTCAAATCTATTAGAATAAATGATGTATCCAGATATCAGTTCACTTATAAGCCTAATGCATTTCGATCACCTGGCAACATGTTGTTGAAATTCAGTAGTAAGATCTATTGATTCAGGGGATTGAAACTTTGTACTTATATCAGTGTCTAGTATATACGTATGCATGTAGTGTATCTTTCATGCTCTTAGTCTTAGTACATTAACAACATCATATAATGTCATATAGATGTTGTTTAAGGATTAATCACGAACTGGAAGTACTGAACCGTTGTTTCCTCCTAGTTTGGGAAACATCGACAGTACGCAGTCATCACCGGGGTTCAAACCCACGACCTTCTGGTCACAAGGCAATCTCGTGGACCATTTACAAGGTTCAAAACTCGATGGGTGCATACTACCGATGGTGAAGTTCGACAATAGCGTCCCAGGAGTGCGAACGCTCCAATGACCTTGGACACAGGCTAGTCGTTGGCTAACACCCTCTATCACTATCATAGCTGAAATATCAACGCGGTTCACCAACTAAGGAGAAAATTCCACTCAGATCACATTTTTAAGTCCTGTTTGGACAATGTGTTATTAGCTAGTTATAGTTAGGATTAGGGTTAAGGTAAGTATTGGGGTTAGGGTTAGGATCATAGTTATAATTAGCATTAGGGTTAGAATTACGGTTAGGATAAAGGTGTAATAAGGTTAGTGTGAATTTTACGGTTAAGGTCAGGATTAAGCTTTACGGTTACGATTTACAGTTGATGTCATTTATTTCAATCTGTTTTATTATCCCTATCTTCCTGGTAAGTAGTCATCAATCCTGTTACTGAAAACCATATTAATTCAACTGAGGACTTTTGGGAAGGCTTTACAACTGGATAAGAGAGATAGATGATTCACAAAAATAGCTCATCTTTAGTAACCTCGGTGAATACATGTACAGAAACTAGTCGAAATTAGCAACTGTGATACTCCTCATTATGACTGGAACGCATCTTTAAGGCATGTCAGAGTAACATACCCTGTTCAACGTGTTTTCATACATTTTCTTGTAAATATACGTCATCTTTTTGTGGAAAAGTCACTTATTTTTATGATCGGTCGGCAGAAGGTCACCCGTGCGTTCGCATCCCTTGCTTGGGACGCTATTGTTGAACTTTGCCCTACCAATGATACCCAAACTAGGACGAAACAGCTGTCCAATACTTCATGTGGCTGATTTTCAATGGTTTCAACCCATGATTAAACTTGGAACAAGTCAAATCTCTTATAATCAGTTGTGACTGGATGCAGGACGAAGTTGTCTGTAGTTCTGGTGAAGAAGTCGTGACCAGTGGGGTCCATTCGGGGTAGGGAGTGAGGACAGATACTCGCCACTGATGATGACATTGACTGGTGCCGGTCGCGCTAAAATCATGAATTAGTAGGAGTTAAGATTCATACACTGGTCACTGAGTTGGGTCCCAGTCGCTGAATGTTCTGCTAGGTGGTCGTTGCCTTGTAACCGGAAAGTTGTGGGTTCGAATCCCAGCGATGAGAGTAGTCCCAAACTAGGCTGACGAAACCAGTGGCTGTCCAGTACTCCCTGTGTGTGGGGGGCTGGTTTTCAATGGTTCTCTCTAACTGATTTCATTTCGTTGATCAAACTTGTAATAAAAACCAACTAGATAACTGCAGTAAAAAAAAGAAAAGAAAACAACAACTGTGAAAGTTAGCGGTAATTATTTCAAATAATAATAATAATAATCTTATTTATCATTATTTGTATTTCAGCGCTAAAACCATTTCAATGTGATGATTGTGGAAAACGTTTCCAGAAGGATCGTACATTAAAACTACACAAATTATCTGTACATGAAGGTAAGCGTAGAATGTTGTACTACACTCTATTTAATATCATTTTTATTGTAATGTGATAATTATCAGAGTGAATAAATGTTCAAGTAATCCCCGGACTAGCTTCACGATTGATATTTAAATCACACTACGTTGGTTGGGAAAAAAACTGGACAGCTCTTTTTTACAAAAAAAACTGTTTCAGTTAATCTCATCAATAATCAAGTAGTTGTATGTATTCATCTTCATGCTTCGGTGTTAGTAGTCAGTTATTTCTGTATTATTCAAGTATTGGTTTGTAGGGATTTGATTGATTGGTTACAGGATTTCATCATGAGCTGACATTGGTTAGATAAGCATTGGAAAACCTGGGAGTACTGGGCAGCTGTTTCGTCCTGGTCTGGGACTCTTCCACAGAAGTACGCACCCACCGGAGGTTCGAACCCAGGACCTTCTGGTTACAAGGCGAGCTCGTAGACCATTAAGCCACTGGGACCCGATCCAACGGCCCATGAACTCCAACTTCTGCCAATTCACGACATAGCGCAACGGCGAGTATTTTTCCTCACACCCGACCTGCTGCACCCTACTGGTCACGACTTCCCACTACTGAAGAGTCCTAAACTAGGACGAAACAGCTGTCCATTACTCCCAGGTTTTCCAATGGTTCTCTAACCAATGTCGGCCCATGATGAAATCCTGTGTTTCTGTATTAATTAATTAATTAATGAAAGTATTACCGGCTGCGTGTCCCTTCGTAAAAAACTGCAGATGATAAGTCGAATGTTCAGACCTCAAAGATCCTGAACCTATCACTGGTTTCAGAAGACTACACCTAATCAGCAGAATACTATGCACAGTAACCGACACAGAACAACAGAAAACGGTAGCGTAACACGATTGTTTATTCTTCCATCGATAACGAAACAGAATTACAATTTACTACGTGTAAAGTCTGTAAATAAACGTTAATAAAATGTACAATAAATACGTCTGTGATAGTATTTTTCTAATCCTGTGCTAACTAGCATAAGACTAAGCAACAGTGGGCATTGTTTGTCTCCTGCCACAAACAGACGTGATACAGACTGCAGACATATGTATGAAGGAATTTTTCGGCATACCCCTTTTTAAACTTGGTAATGTCTATTTCTACTGACCTCTAAGTTAAGCGTTCATATTTAAACAGGTGTGAGTTTAAAACAAGCAATGGAGGTTGATAAAGTAGGATTTAATGAATCCCCCGAATTTCAGTAGAACTAATCCTCAGCTGAATATGCTAAATACAGGGTAATGTATATATTATTATTATTCATTTGAGTTTCGATTAGAGCATAGGGCTTCAATAACACATTTCCACTTTGTTCTATTTTCCGCTGTTCTCTTCAGTTGAGTCCACGATTGCCCATAGTCTCTCATCTCCTCTTCCCCAAATGGCCCTCTGTATGTCACTCTCGGTGTGTTACGACCCATCCGGATTCCGCTCGAGTGATAGCATGGCGAGCGATGTCATTTGGCTGTCTCCTCAACGTATGCACGATCCATCTCCATTTTCTTCTACATATTTGTTGAGTAATCGGCTCTTGGTTGGTTTGTTGCCTGCCAGCCAGAGTTTCTTGCTGCTAATTCTTTTTGACTGACTTTCTTTCTAATATTCAGTATGGAGCTAGCGAAGGCGGCAGCTGTTGATAAAATTCTTCAGTGGCGTGTTGGAAATCTTTTTCGTGTCATGCTGGCCAAGTTTCTGACCAGTGTAATAAGACCGACTTCACACTTATGTTGAAAATTCGAATCTTGTTTTTATGCTGAGTTAATGCAGAAGATTTCCAAATTGGTTACAGGTTGATGATGGCGTATCTCGCCTTTCCGATTCTGGTTAGCTTTGACATCATCATCCTTTCAGCGTGTCTGAGGTTGAAATAATGCATCCTAGATAAGTGAAAGAAGTGACCTCTTTCGAGTTTCTCCCGTTGATAGTGATTCTTGCTGTTGGTTGGTTGTCTTCATAACCCCCGTCTTCTCTATGTTCACCTGGAGTCCTCTCTTCTCTGCCTACCTCTTCAGCTATTTTGTGTGTTTCCGACTGCAAGTCTTCGAGTTTGTGTGACATTAGACATATGTCATCTGTGAAATCCAGATCTTCTAAAGTCTTCTTATCGGTGGTCCAGCGTATTCGTGTCTTCTTACCCTCCACAGTCTAATATATATATATATATATATATATGTTCTAGAGAAGTTCATTAAAGCCAACATAGGTTACAATAGTCGTAAACATGAACTGGCAACGGTGGAGAAAAAGCCTCTGTTTTTACGTCTACAATTCAAGGGAGATACTCCTATGGAGATTCTATTGCAACGTTTAACCAGGGCGATAAAGAAAACTTTCTACTCTGCACGTCTGTGTCTATCCTTTAGTAGTCGTCGAATGTTCACCCAGTAACTCAAAGATGTCTTACCTAACCTTAGCTCTTCTTCATGCATATACCATTTCAACTGTTCCTGTGGTTCAAGTTATATAGGGCGCACAATTAGGCAGGTTAGTCTACGGGTTCGATAACATTTACCAGTTTGGTTCAGCTGGGGGAAATTAAGTGCGTAAAAAGCTCGATACTGGACATCGTATCAATGTCAACACAGCTTTCAAGCTTATAAACCGAATTCCGAAGTCATTATCACGTACATTTCGCTACATATAGCTGAAGCTGTTGCAATAAGATCGACTAAACCGAAACTTTGTATAAAAAAAACACGTCCAGACGCTGTTCCTACCGTGGCCAAACTTGGGTTAATGATTCTTCTTCTCACCAAGAGTGCTTCTTCCCCTTAACCCTCTTGGTTTTTTTGCTTTTTATTACAATTATTATTCGTTATTATTTATACTCTTGATGCAAACATCCTCTCATTACTATCGAATTTTCCATTTATACTATCCGGACTTATTATTAGTGATATTATCTCTTTTCTCAATATATGCCTCCACCTGTTTCACTTCACACATTCGTTATTTCATTATGAACCTCTCATTGCAGTCTACTTCTCCTGTTTAATACACACCACTTTGTACTCGCCACTCACTCAACTGACACCTTTTATAACCTTGAACTGACTTGTCAGTTTTCCTACCCCACACTCTACAAATCTATTATGACTAATCATCATCATTTTCTCCCATTTTACAATATTTTGTAATCGATTTCAGCCTAAGACTGAAGCACGTTTGTCACACAAATACTACTATTTATTTTGACACCCCATAACTGCTAATCTGTTATTCTACGTAAAAAATGTATCCGCCACATAACTAGCTATCATTGTTGTAACGACAACAAATATTATATTTTATAATTGTAAGAACCTGAAGAGGAGAAATTATTGAAAAGAATATTCTTCGTTCAGATTACTTTATATATATATATATATATATATATATATATTGGGAGATATAAGACTGGTAAGCAAGTAAACTGTATTGAACCAGTCATGCACAAACGACAGGTGTGAATGTTTTTCAGGTCATGTTCAGATAGATTAAGGGGAAGGGAGTTTACGACATTAAAATCAAGGTAAAATGAATTACCGTTCGATTACGTCGGTTAACTAAACAATTAGTTATATCAGAGTCGGAACTTGTATATATCAAGAATTGAAACCTGGATAATATTGATAATAATTGTAATATTTAGAGCAGGGTTCGATCCCCGGCCGACCCTATACCTACATAACTTTACAAATAAATATTCTCATATAAATCAATCACGGTGTTTTGTCAGTCAATAGGATAATAAGACTGTGCATATAAATTGTGCAATAGTCATAATAATAATTAGTAATGTAATAATAATAGTAATAATAATGATTCCATCAGCAACAAGGATAAAAATGTGAGGCGATCTGTGATAAGAAGAATAATGAAAAACAGCATGATTAAACAAACAAATATTCAGGTAGAAAGAAGTAATGGCCGATAAAGGCTGAGCAAAAACAAATGGACTGATTACGTAATGTTAGATTGTAAAAGAAGTAAATAAACTATGTTTTAATGAAAATGTGATAAGATTAAGGGGTGATAAGAAAGGGGTTGAAAATAATAAGTAAGCGGTGGTGGAGAAGTCATCAGCTGGTTATGTCTTAATAGGCCAATAAGGGAGGGATAATGGCTGTACGAATTTCTTCCGAATGAATGCATAGTTTAGGCTTAATAGTTGTTCGAATGCCTATCGCCTCAGCTGTGTGCAGTAGACAAATACAAAGTCTATTGGAAAGATTCGATGGGATACGATGAATTATCTTGAAAGCTCTCGTTTTCTCCACTACATGACATCTATCAACTAAATATTCTCAATTGTAGTATGGAAATAATTGTAATGGTGATAATAGTAATAATAATATATAATCTTATTATTATTATTATTATAAGATAATCATGTTCAGATAGATAAGGCAAAGGGAATTTGAGAGATTAAATTAATTTTAATCTGAATATGGTGTGAAAAACACTCACACGCGTCGCATTGCATGAACGGTTAAATATAGTTTATTTACTTATCAGTCCTATATATTTATATATATTTATAATGATATATATATATATCCCTTTATGTAGAGTATTCAGCTTAGAAGGATTTCATCAAATCCTGCTTTGTTAACCTGTGTTGCTTGTTTTAACTTCGTATATGGAAATAAATGTTTCCTATACTTCTTTAATGATGTGAATGAGTTTTGACTAAACAGTATGTGAATTCTGTGATTCAGCAGGTAGAATGGTAACCAACATCTCCCACGTGGTCTGGGGTTCGATTCCTGGCCTACGATCTATAAAACGTAACCTAACCTTTATTTTATTAAGCCTAGAAGAGAAGGAAGCTTAAGCATGTGAGGCTAGCGACTCTACTCCCTATAAAAAAGCAATACTGCTAGCGAAACTCCAAGGTCTGCAGGTCTTTTTTTTTGATTATTCTTCCTCTACATTCCCAGTGGAACATAAGGCACATACAAGCTAGAGGCTTGAAGTTTCTGTAGCAGTGTTGTTTTATTTTTTGGAGGATGTGGTTGCTAATCAGCCTCATGCCCAACGTTTTCTCTTTACCAAGTATATTACCGGCTTAGTGAGGCAAAGGAGTGCATCGGTGGCCGGGGATCGAACCCAAGTCTACTCATATATTATTAAATTTCAATAAGCTTACTGTAGTTAGTTAAGTGCTTAATTTAACTGTCTACACTTCAAACAGTGTACAGTATGCAGAAGATTGCAATTGTATTGATTATTAGATAAATGGGAATAATGCTAATAGTAAATAAAATAAGGGTGTTTAGAGGACTACAAAATTCCAGTCTCAAAAATTAGTCTTTACGTGACAGCTTAGTGTAACTTACAAGCGTTTAGTAGTGATTGTAATGGATTCCCACTCATAAATTAGTGTAATGTATCAAATCAACCGTCAAATACCACATTATTCTCCAAGCTGGGTTGGCTCATAATCACCCGAATTGCTCAAAACCTCTCCGATTACAATTTGACGACACTGAATAGCATTATGTACGAACAGTATTCATAATGTCAAATGAAGATACAACTGGTTTTCAAACAGTTTTCTAGTTGTAAATCAACTTATGCGTACAGACTACACTGCAGCTACAAATGGCTTCGGGCCGATTGCCTCCAACCATCTAATATCATCACCGTGATGGCGAGCTACCTAGAATGGTGTGGGGTCACATTGCGAACGTTACTGATAGAGTTCAGTCTGCGCGAAAGTAAGGACTAGATACATTATATTAGTTACTGATTAGTGTCCAATCAAAAGTGCTCTAATGTATTTGATGCATTAAATCAATTCCACATGATGACTATACCTGATTTTCGCCTGCATCGAATACGATTCACTCCTGATGCTACTCTACGATGACAGTTCTCCCGATGTGACACAGTGGCTTGATGGTCTACGAGCTCGCCTTGTAACCAGAAGGTGTTGGGTGCGTACTGATGAAGAGTCCCAAACTAGGACAAAACGGTTGTCTCAGTACTCCTATGTTTTCCAGTGGTTCTGTAACTCATGTCAGCTCATGATGAAATCCTCCATGCAATCAAACAAAATCCCTACAAAACCAATACCTGACAAATGTCCTACTTATTTTAAATTAAGACACTATTTGATTACAATTCAAGAATAAGATGATAGGATGACGTATACAGCAAAGCTATGCTGGAGAGTTGACTACAAGTTTTATTTCTTCCCAGGTATTTGTGATTCATCCAGTACAGACCTGGCCTCTTTTTTGTCATTATTGCATTAGCCCCAACGGGTTGATCGCTGACGAAATCTCAGAACGTATACAGAGGTACTGCGAAGCAGTCCGCTCCGTCCTCCTTTATGGCTGTGAGACATGGCCATTGAGAGTGGAAGATATGAAAAGGCTGGCTGGCTAGCTGTCTTTGATCATAGGTGCCTGAGCTCTCCCTCCCATGTGAAGTGGTAGGTGTATTGCTGTTAGGCATCGTTCTAGTGCTAGGTAAGGAGGGGAAATGAATCGATGAGGATATGAAGACACATCAACTGAGATAATTAGGACATTTGTGCTAGTTATGCATGTCTAGCCATCTCCTTCCTCGACAACGGAGAATGTTAGCTGACACAGAATGAATAAGGTTGGGAAAGAGCCAGTGGTGTTCAAACCGAAACATGGCTTCATCAGTCAATGAAATCCACGACAGTTAGTTTAAGCCAGTCAGCCACGTAGGAAGATGTATACTGCCTTACTGACTGGTTGGGGTCCTCTGGACGGTAGAAACCAATGGAGGTTGGATACTATCGATGATATGGCTGAAAATCGTTCTCAATGGCTGGTGCAGATGCATCCACTCCTTGTGACTTATAATACCCAATGAATCTATATCGTTCTTCGATATTACGATTTTTTTGCCTTTGCTTTTTTTTTACTTTCTTTTTCTCTTTTTTTTGTGTGCTACAAAGAGTTAGTGTGGCGATTCGAAGTGGTGCACCTCGGTGCAACCGGTCAGTCAGTCAGTCGTTATTGTGAAGGCAATGTTTCTTAATCTACTGCATTCACTCACTAGTTAGCTCTGATTGTTCTCTAACTGACTAAAGTCGAAAAAAATTCACTATCAGCCAAAATTTATGTAATTTATTGTAATAATTATATATCCATACCTGTACAATTGGAGAGCTGTTCTGAAACACCTTTTATTGTTGTCGTTGATCATTCCTTCATTGCATTGTTTCTTTCTTTATACAGGTCGTAGACCTTTCTCTTGTGATATATGCGATGCCAATTTTACACAAAATGGTCATTTAAAACAACACATTAATACAGTGCATAAAGGTGAGTTGTGTCATGAAAGAAAATAAATTTTTCTTTTCTTCTTCTTCAATGCATCATATGATATTCATTATATTATATAAAGGTGTGTGCTATGTATTTTCCAGTGAATGAAAAACAATGAACGATATTGTTTTTACTTCTGACGTTTCGCTATTTAATACTGCTGCTAATAGCTTTATCGAAGTAGGAGTATTAAACCAGAATTTACAAAGTCGCAGCTTATATATAACAACTTAATCATCTATGGTTCCTCAGCATGGGGTCATTTTCCCGTTGTCAAATTGGCCAGTTGCATAAAGATAACAAAACCAGGTGTAGATGACTGTTGGATTTGATAAGTGTGTGTGTTTACATAATGAAACTGTTTACCACATTCGTGTTGATTTTGTCATTTCATGGGTGGGGAGGCGGGTGTTGTAACCAGGTGAAATCCTGTTTTAGTCCATCATTCCCAACCAGACAATTTGGATTCCAATTGATATAAATTCCTTCTAATGATATGAGAAGTTCTTTGTGATTTCTGAAATTTTTCTGGATTATTTCAATATTGTTGAAATCAATTTTGTGACATTTTTGTGTTACCGTTGTATCTGATTCTAGTAGACTGGGAATGATATCAAGACCTTCGACTAATAGGTATACTAGTATATAATGAGTTAATATCATAGCTTACCATTATGTCTTCTTTATCAATCTCTCGGTATTTCATTTGGGATTTGAAATCATGTGAATCTTTTACAATATTTTGAGTGTCCTTTTGTAGTGGTTGTAGTGCCGAGAGTAAGTATTTAGATAGATTGTATGTCGGTGAGTTGGTGAAATCTATTACTGGTCTTAATGGAACTGTGGGTTTATGTATCTTTGGTTGACCGTAGAATCTTGAAGGTACATAAGATTTTGGTTTTAGTTTACACCAGAGAGAATTTCCAATTTTGGGTTTCATTAATCGAAGGAATCTGTCTGTATTTAGTTTCATTTTGTTGAATTCGACAGATTTCTTCTTTTCTTCAATGAGTACGTATGGTCCTTCAGATAGGTGTTCAATCGCCTTCTTTTCATAATCCGTCCTGTTCATTATCACAGTGACGTTTCCCTTATCGGCTTTAATTACAGCGATGCATTTGTCTTTCTTCAAACTTTTTAGGGCTTCATATTCTTGTTTGGTGAGATTAGATGGTATGTTTCGTATGTTTCTCGAGAAATCAAAATCAGAAGAAATGTACACCGTAGAGCATCTGTTTGACCACCGAGAAATAAATCCATTTGAACTAGAAAAGCTTGAAAAATCATCAGTCATAGGTTTTCTACACACCGCGCTATAGAATCAGGCCACAAAATTGATTTTGACAATATTGAAATCACTAATCAGAAAAGTTTCAGAAATCACAAAGAACATCTCATATCATCAGAAGCACTTCATATGATCAAATGGAATCCAAATTGTTTGAATAGGAATGATGAACTAAAACAGAATTTGACCTGGTTACAACACCCGCCTCCCCACCCATGAAATGACAAAATCAACACGAATCTGACAAGCAATTTCGTTATGTTTTTATAACTTTGCACACTTGTCAATTCCAACAGTCATCTACACCTGGTTTTGTTATCTTTATGCAACTGGCCAATTTGACAAGCGAAAAATGACCCCATGCTGAGGAACCATGGATCATTAAGTTGTTATATATAAGTGGATTTTGTAAATTCTGGTTTAATAATACTACTTTGATAAGGCTGTTAGCATCAGTATTAAATAGCGAAACGTCGGAAGTAAAAACAACAATATCGTTCATTGTTTTTTATTCATTCATTGGGAAATACAAAAAACCTTTATAATGAATATCATATACCTAATGACCAAATTTTTTCAAACTGTTAAAAATGAATTTGGTTTGGATATATATAATAATTATATGATACTACTACAATTATTAGTTACGACATTCGATAAAAGGAATTCAAATGAGCTAAAATGTATTATAAGAACAACAAAGTTCAGCGAAGAGTCTCTTTTCGCCGGCGAATTCATTCACACTTAGCTGTACAATCGCATTTCTATATAATTATTTTGTGTGTGTGTGTATGCACATTAAGATTGTCAAACAAAAATAAAGTAAAAAATTAGTTAGGGTTTCTGTTTACGTCATCAAAATGTTTCTAAAATGTAATGAATAATCAAAATTGCAACTAGGAGGGCGGGGGGTGGAGACTGGTAAGTATTGATAAGTGTTGTTGCGTAATATGAAGTAGAATGTTAATGGAGACGTGTGTGCAAAAATGAATTATGTAATAGGTAGAAAGAGTTGATAAAAAACGGTTGGTTAAGAAGATGTCACTAAGACGCCATAAAAAATTCAAAATACAAAAAAAGAAAACAAAACATCATTGACAAAGTCGTAGAACTTGGAATTATACCCAAGGTAGAAAAAGGAGGGGGCTGGAGAAGTTTCTTCTGTGTGCATAAATCAGAGTTTTCTCCATCTGGATCGCTAAGGCATCTTCGGCAATGCAAAGTATACGGAAGCTTCCCGTTTTCGGGAGGCTTCTTTTGACTTTGATTGATGAATTCTCCGTGCATATTGAGTGACCAGTGTTGACTATATTGTTCAATTATAGCACTCTTTATTGATCCACTCTTACCTTTTCGTAGCTGAGTGGGATAATGTTCCTTGACTCTTTTGCATAAAACACTCATCGAACGACCTATATTATCTCGCTCCACATGAGCAAGTAAATTGGTAGAGATACACATAGAAGTGGTCAAATGTCTGGATGGATATTTTCCGTGTGAAATAAAATGTATTAGTTCACTTGAACACTGTCAATATATCCATCCAATGAAATGAGATGATCTTAGCCCCTATCCTACCTTTGCAGCCCGATAGTGTTATTGTTGTTGTTGTTGACGTGCGATTAAGAGAGATTAGCCAGCATATTTAGTTAGTATTCGCTCATAGAGTACTAGATCGTCGTGGTTCCGGTCATAACACTTTCAGATGACTCAATGGGGATATTCAAGTAACAATCAATCACATGCACCCGATAGTAGATGAGAAGAGAGATACCAAGTTAATCGTTATTCCACGAACACATAGAGGGCGTTTAAATCTAAGAATATTTACAAATCAGCACGTATGTAGTGGTGTATATTTTCCTTCTTTTTTTTCTTTATTTTCCTCTGTAGGTTTACGACCATATGCGTGTGATGTCTGCAAAAGACGCTTCACCAAATCCAGAGCGCTTAGGCTGCATAAATGCGGGACTGATAAGCGTAAGTGTTATTTTTTGTAGTAGTTCATATACAGATGACTGTGTAAGGCATTTTAACAACAGACTACTCAGATACACTAGAATGAATGTCTAATCATATAACCATATGCGTCTAGGTGGTGGCCTAGCATTGTCTCTTATACCTTCATCTCGGTTTCCAGTGTTTCTATGTCTGATGATGCTACATCATGAATTAACAGAGGACAGATATCAATACGCATTAGGTTCCAACCCAACACAGCTGAACAATTAAATATGCTCTCTTGGGAGCTTGACGATCCTGCACTGAAACTGTCACAGTATTCCTTAATGTACACTGTTGAGCAATCCCAGACTAGGATGAATCAGCTGCCTAGTGTTCTGTAGTAAGTACTCAGTAGTTCCCTAACTGATGTTAATATGTGTCGAAACCTGCTTTGGAGTCATTCTGTCACAAACATTCGGCTTAGATGTGGGATTAATTAGAAAAGAAACGATTTGTTCATGTCGAGGTGTCATGAGTATAAAAAGCTTCAGTAGACCGATTGATGGACACGCTCGTCGGTGTAGAATTTGTTTGAGACGACTTAGTGTGAGCAAAGAAAAATTGATGATTCTAATATTTCGTAGGATCATTTTTTGTTAGATCCCATTGGTCATGAACCCAGAGTCTGTGAGATCTGCAGCTGCTGAAACAGAGAATAATCTCTTTCCAGCAATTCAGTGGTATCAGCTGTGCAGAGACATCGCATCCTTAGAAAACGGGGAGACTTACTTCTTTATTGGGAGGATAAAACAGTCTTATCACAGAGAAGAAATACAACCGTGGTCGTGAACGAGCAAATAACGTTTGGGTGATTGGATTATACGATACCTCTGTACGGACAAGATTCGTCGACAGACTGTCGGATAGAAAGTGAACTACTTTAATATTGATTATCACTGGATTGGTGAAACGAGGATCTAGATATAACACCTTGTCATCCCTTGGATATATATATTCACCACACAGTAAGCCACATTAGTGATTTTGTGAATCCTATTCCATGGATGCATACAAATTCCATCGAAGGATTTTAGAGAAGGTTGAAAAAGGGGATTGCAGCCATTCATTGGTCGCAAAAAGATGTTATTTGTAGTCATGTATGTATGGGATGTGGTGTAACTTTCCTGTTGATACTCCAATGTTAGACTGGGAGTCATTTTTATCACATGTGAGAGAGAAGATATCCTCTGTAACGCATTTATACAGTTTCTAAGCATTCTTTCATTCATAAATACATGTACTTTGTACCTAAAAATAGCGTCATTCATGCGGATTGGTGCATTCAAGGTGATTTTCTGATTGGTAGTTACTGGTGCTTAAAGTTTTACTTTGCCAAGCATTCTCTCTTCGTAACATGGATCTATGCAGACAAGATTACTCGAACTATAGAATATTTTCAGCAAAAGCTGTCAGTGTCTGAGATCGATTACTAGTTTGCTCACACCTCATTTCACAGTCTTCATTATACCAATCGATTACTGTCGACTAAATAGGCGTCATCCTCATCCCCGTACGGGTTAATAGTGCTGCGGTTTAATGACATAGTGCTGATAATCACAGTTCATTATAGAGTTACTTGTAACCGGCAAAAACATTGAGTAAAAATCCTTCCTCTCTCTAGTAATAATCACAGAAACTCAAGCAACGTGGGATACATACTTCTTATGCGATTCAGTTGTTGGTCTAAAGTGTGAGCACGAAAACTGTATGTATATTACTGACTCCCAGTGCTGTCAAATTTAATGTATGTGTATAACTTGGTCACTATGGTAGCATGTTAATCCATATTGATTTGTTTATTAGATATATAACACGGTGAAAGTTTTATTTACTGGATGACGTTTCGAATACAATTTATTATTCATAATCATATCATCAGTTATCACCACACAAGTTCGTAACTTGAGTTTTATAGTTTTCGTCGTAGGCGTAGTAGGATTTTCCATGTGTCCGGCTAGACAGCTGTTGAATCATACCCATCACACGTATTTTCAGCTGACTGCTTCAATAATTAAAGCTTCCGTTATCAATCTCTCCCTCCACCCTGTTACAATAGATTTTAAAACTCATCGTCTCTCATCCTATTGAATGGTTGTGTGTGATTGCATGTAGTGCTATCTACGGCTGAACTATTCGCCAGATTTCTTATCTTATTAGGGTCGACTGATCTATATTTGGCTAGGTTTTTGTGCTCTGCTAGTCTGACTAACCTTGTTCTACTACTTTGACCTATGTATTTGACCTGAAAATCATTGCAGCAGGGTATTAGATAAACTAAATTGATTTGTTTAATTGGCTCCACTGGCAGGATCCTTTAACCGACAAATGAGTTTGTGGATTTTAATGTTGACTTTTATTCCTGCATTGTTAAGAATTCTCCATAAGATGGTTTCCGAGATTCCTCCTCTGTATGGAAGCACTAGTGGTGTTGTCATCATTCTGTGCATGTTTGTCATGCACGTCGTCATTAATATTATCAGTGTTGTGTGATGATGTGTGGCCTTTTGACATTTAGTCAGTGAATCTTAGACTTGAGTTCTTCCTCTTCCACTTCATCCCAGGTATTTGTGTCGCCTTCGTATCATAGGATTCACTTTTAGCATGGTGTACGTAAACCAACTGTTCCGGGTAGACTGCGTCCTAACAAAACCTGCCTACATCTCTCTGCATAACGATATTCCTAATGGGAATTAAATCCAACCTCATTTCCTTCAATCGCTTAAACTGCTTACAAAAACGTATCCATAGTGTCATTAAAGCGAATATAAATGCGAGATGCTTATATGACGATTACTGGTGTAACGACAGAAGACAAGGGCCAGGCAACAGATCGTTTCTTGAGAAAATCAACAGATATTTATAGATTTTTATGTACATTATTATTCGTTATTACTAGCAGAGAAACAGCGTTTTCTGATTGGTTGTTTTCTCGCTGAAAGTTAATCTGTCATCTCTAGGTGGCCGTTTCTTAGACAGTCCGGTGATATATCTGTGAATCGTATCCGCCCACGCAAAGTCTTTGTTCTTGTTATTCTTATGACCAAGATTTGGGACGTAAACATTGACGTCAATTGCTGTCTACCAATTTCGGCTAGCAGCCAGCTCTCAACACACTCGTCGCGCCGTCAAAGACTTTCGACTGAAGTTGGTTCGGTCTTCTTGGTTCTGGTGGCTTTGTCAGTTTGTCTTGCTTTCTGGAATTCCGGCGGTCGCTTATGTTCACCTGTTTCTCGTTGTTTACATTTGCGATCGTTTCTACGTGACCCCGTCGCACAGTGACCATATGTGGTCCTTCCCACTTTGGATGCTGTTTGCCTGACCCTGGCGCGCATTCGTCGTTGTTTCGCCTTACACTATCATATGCTGCCTTCGATCGACCTTCCAGCAGCGTTCCAAGTAACAGCCTCATCGCTGACGGATCTTGAACGTCACTCAACTGCGCAACAGCCTCGAAATCCTGCCCGAAGATCCATATGTCTCCATCAAAAACTGCAGGGCATAGGCTTTCTATTTGTCGGTAGGCAGCGACACCAAATGTAACAACAGAAGACAAGGGCCATGCAACAGATCGTTTATTGACGTAAATTGGTGTCTAACAATTTTGGCTAGCAGACAGCTCTCACCACAGTATCATTAAAGCGAATATAAATGCAACATGCTTCTATGACGATAGAGACTGGTTAGCCCAGTGTTGCAAGTCATTAACAAGAATAATCTAAAATTCAGGTATACTTACTTACTGTCGGCTTGTACTGTTCGTTAACTGTTTATAACAAGTTGCAGTTGTGACCTCTCTGCCTAGACATTTCGGCTTGACTAACACGATTCATGGTGCATTCTACTTTTTGTAGCATTGAAACCTTTTGTTTGCGATGTCTGCGGGCGAGGATTCTCTCACATGCATACAATGAAAACTCATCGTGCTTCCACTCATGAAGGTTTGTTATTATTATTATTATTATTATTATTATATTATTATATTATTATTATTATGAATACTGTACATTTTTAAAGCAAAATATTGTTCTTAATAAGCATACCAAGCCTAATCCATTATTTTACTGGATGTCTTAATGTGTTATTCCTTTTGATGGATTTGAGGCTTTTTGTGAGTTGCGATATAGTAGATTGTGCCCGTTTTTCAATGACTGAATTGACGTATTCAGTAAACCTCTGAGTTTCACTAGGTAGCAGATCGTGGATGGCTGGAGACCTTTGTGAAATGTTGCGTTTTAGTTCTGGAGTACGTGATTGTTATAACTGCGATGAATTAAAGTAAAACCCCGTCGCCAATTTCTTATAACTGTACGGGAATTAAATGAGGACGTTGTCGCCTTGTTCTGTCTGCGCCTGAATAATATGCCTATCTGCTTCTGGTACCTTCCGATTCAGCGAACCACGCAAATATCAGAAGACAAAAGCTGGTCTCTGACTGTGTATTGTAGTACAACAACGACGACTACGACAAAGAAACTTATTTAGGAAATGGTATTTATACATTTTTACAACCAGTACAGACAGCTAACAGTATTTGAAATAGTCAATAACAAAATGCGTGGGAAATGATGATGTACCACTTATGCGAGAGTAACAGTCGTTAAAATAATTGAACAATAACAAAGTGTGTGGGATCCTATCAGTGATTTAATAGAGTTGATAAGATTTAATGCATGTCGTCGGAGAGATTTAGTGTTGGGATGTATGTGACTTCTTCTCAGTGCTTTCCAAAACCACTTTGGATATTCGCGATTGGTGATACAATCACCGAAAAAAGTAATTTTCGCTTTCGCTATCGCAAGTTTGACAGAGTACCGTAGAAACCCATTGAGTTCCTTGACTGTCGAGGGGTCCTTGCAAATTTTTAATTCATGAAAAATTCCCATTGTCTTCTGTCTATTAATGTTCGAATGGGAATTTTTCATGAATTAAAAATTTGCAAGGACCCCTCGACAGTCAAGGAACTCAATGGGTTTCTACGGTACTCTGTCAAACTTGCGATAGCGAAAGCGAAAATTACTTTTTTCGGTGATTGTATCACCAATCGCGAATATCCAAAGTGGTTTTGGAAAGCACTGAGAAGAAGTCACATACATCCCAACACTAAATCTCTCCGACGACATGCATTAAATCTTATCAACTCTATTAAATCACGTACTCCAGAACTACAACGCAACATTATTCCTTTTGCTCTGACGACAGTTCTCATCAGTTAGTTAAAGAGCAATTTTGAATCAGGATTTGTTCTGCTCAATTATTGTTTTGTCTCAGATAGTACTGTGTACCCTCCTCTACATAGCTGATTTTTTTGGAGACAAAACTAGGGATGTTAGGTATGAGATTTTTTTTCAAATCACGGAATATACACATTTGATCATAGGGAATAAAAAGATGGTTGCAGCGAAGAAATCTTTCTTTTCGACGAAATCATCAACTAGGTAGCTGTAAATTCGTGTATTTATAATAAATGGGTAGGAAAGTTCCAGAATAATAATTTTTTGTTATTTTATTATTTCTACATTTCTAACCCCTAATTGCACAATATGTCAATCTTCCCAATAATTATGATGCTACTTTGTTTGAGCTTTATCCGTCCCCCCTGTGTTTATTATGGCATTTTAATTCCTAATTGTAATTTTATTAATCTGACCCTTGACCAGAAATTATTCTGGAACTTTCCTACCCATTTATTATAAATACACGAATGTACAGCTACTTAGTTGATGATTTCGTCGAAAAGAAAATTTTCTTCGCTGCAACTGTCTTTTGATTCCCTAAGATTTCTTTTTCTTAGAACAGATTACAGTGAGCAGTAATAGAATTCTCAAACCCCCTGCATTCACTCCGCTGCTGAAAATCAATGTCAGTCATTGCGTGTATTGAGGATATGTTCTGCATTTTCTATTGTTTCCTCACTTGCCTACAGTACTAGTGTAGCCTAATGATCACCACTTCCTGATTTATGTCTTAGACTTCTGTTCTTGATACACCCTGAAGCTCACTAGCGTTTACCTGCATCATTTCCCTACCTTCGTTTTACTCAAGCTCATGCAGTCAGTCAGGTGAGAGCCTACTTAGAATAGTCATCTGAATTGGTGACAACCAGTGGTGTCTGTCAGGGATGCCCATCACCACTGTCCCCATTTGTGTTTAATTTCATCATACATGTACTAATGGACTTAATCCTAACTGACTTCAGCGACTCAGAGATTGACTTGTTACCAGGGATTAATCTCGTTGACTTAGAATATGCGGATGATATAGTCCTTCCTGCTAGGTGAAGACGCTGACAAAATACAGCAGAGTCTTCTGAACAACCTTGAGCAGCAATATTCAAATGTTTAACATGCGATTCGCTCCTGCTGTCTAATGTAAGATAATGAGGCTACAGGACTTAACTACATCGAATCACTCCTAGTGTAAAGATAGGAAGTGGAATCGTGGCTGAGCGCGTTGACCACTTCCTTATTTGGAGAGTTTCGTCAGCCCCAATAGGTTGATAGCCAACGAAATCTCTGCAGGGATACTGGAGGCTCGTTTGGTATATGCAAACGTACGCCATCTCTGGCTTAGTAGACGTGATATCCAGTTGACTGTCGACCATAGGACGTGGTTACTGCTCAGAAACACTTCGCTCCGTCCTCCTTTATGACTGTCACTGAGAAATCGCCACTGAAAGTGCAACATATCAAAAGGCTGACTAGTTGTCTTTGATCATAGGTGTCTGCGTTCTATCGCCCATGTGTGTTAGATGGTATAATGGGGTGAGTAGTAGTGATACGTTAGGCTTCGATCGAGTGCTAGGTAAGAAGGGGAAATCAATCGACAAGGTTGTGAAACAGTTACATCGATTGAGTGAGATGGTCACGACATGTATTACGCATGCTTGTCTAGCCATCACCTTACTCGACGACGGACAATGTTAGCTGACTGACTGACATAGGATTGTTCAGGTTAGAAAAGAGCTGCTAGTGGTGGGCAAATGAAAACATGACTTCATCAGTGAGTGGAATTCATAACAGCCAGTTTGAGCCAGCCAGCTGCGTAGGTAGGTGTAGACCTTCTGACTGGTTGGAGTCCTCGGGATGGTAAGAACCAATGCAGTCTGGAGACAATTGGTGGTGTGGGTCAAAATCCTCGTTGTCGATGATGGCACAGATGCATTCACTCTTTGTGATTCATCATATTCAATAAAACTTATTGTTCTTCCATAATACTATTCTTTTTCCCTCACTGACACTTCTGTTAATTATGTCTGTGTTGATGAATCTCTCTTAACTCTCTTCTGTTGCTTTGTGTGGTTCAAGGAGGAAGTGTGGCAAGCTGGACTGCTGCACATCTGTGCAAACTTCTACATTGAAAGCAATTAGTCAGTCATCTATTGAAACTGACAGTTTATCAACCACAAGAAAATGAGGCACTTGTTACGATTTCAATGATCCCATACGTTGTAACTTATGTTTCAATTCATTCCTTGTTAAGTTGTCCATTAAATTATTCTTTTCTATTTTTTAGGTCGACGTCCATTTGGTTGTGGATTGTGTGGTGCTCGTTTTCGTGAAGCTGTGGAATTACAAAAGCATCGACGTACATTTCATTCTGGTAAATAATTGTTATAGTCTTATTCTTTTAGAATCCTTATAGTATGATGATTTTTCATAAATCTGCTCAGTTTATAGAACACTTAATCGTTGAGTCGAAATCTCACATCGTATCAAAACATATCTTAGAAGTACTAAATATCATTAGTTGAGACTTTTATCGGCCGACGAGGTAACTGCTTTTAGTCTAACCGCTATCCAAACAACCTTTCTGGCATGGTAGGACCTGCAAGAACATAAGTTCCAGCCAGTATAGCTTGTTGGGTCATCGCGGTGTTCAAGCCCGACCACCACGTCAAGGTAGCAGCTTTCGGTCGGGTTGTAGTCTAGCGGTTAGGACTCCTGGCTCTCACCCAGACGGCCCAGGTTCGACTCCCGGCGCGGAGGCCAGTGCGTCGGTGGTACAGTGGTAGAATGCTCGCCAACCACACATATGGTCCGGGGTTCGATCCCCGGCCACAGAGGCACCCATTTACCTCGCTAAGCCAGTAATAAGACTGGTAAAGCGGGAAGGTTGGGCATGAGGTGGCTAGCAACCCCATCCCGTAAAAGTAAACACCACTGCTACAGAAATTTCAAACCTCTAGCTTGGAGCTGTATGCTCCACTGGGAGCGTAAAGGAATAAAAAAAAGAAGAAAGTTGTATTCTCTCCTACATGAAGCGATTTAGTATTACAGGTTTCGTAAGTTCTGATGATCCAGTGTGTACGCCTAGCATCATTATCTACCTCAAAGTTCTACTCTGGTATGAAGTACATTTCTTAGGCACTTAACCTTTCATATTACTCTATTGACGAAATAACATTTTAATTATATCTCATTTCGCATCACAACCCACTGTTTATATAAGCGCTAGTTCAGTAATCCCACATCACTTAAATCATTCAAAATATGCTATACTAATAATGAACAGTCATGTTACGCTAGTTTGATGCGATCTTTCGACCCTGTCAGTCATTTACACGTGTCTCTTTTTTAATATGCGATATTTTCTCCACTGTGAATGTTGTAAATACCTCATTCTCAATGTTTTTATATAGCCTATTTATATTGTACACGTCTAACCCATCATAATGTTATTAATATTTATACCAGTGTTGTAATATTATTGTCAAGGATAGTCTCTTTCACACAAATCATTTTATTACTGCTTATCTCCCCCACATATAGATGAAATAAGTTACAATTGTGGTGTATGTGGGGTTGCTTTTCGACATGCTTCTGAAATGCGTGAGCACAGAGCTACTGTTCATGATGGTAAGTTCTCTATATGTGTATAATATGTATATTGTTGTATTCAGTAGTCACTTTATTCATTGTAAATTGTTCTAAAGATTGAAATATTGACTTGTCGCTTATATTATATTAATTGTTATTTAAACTGTGTATCACGGATGAGATCCCTTGCCGTCTAGTGAAAGTTAGGTTGGTATACGTCAATTTCAGGCTGAACATTTCAGTCGCTAAGTTTTCCCGCCTATCCATGAATATATATCTGTCACTTGGATTGGACACTAGTAACTAGTGTGACGTGTCTAGTCCTTTCTTTGGTGCAGACTGAATTCTATCAGTCAGGTTTTGCAATGTGGCCACCATTCTAGGTAGCTCGCCATCACGGTGCACATTGATTTGATGATATTAGATAGTTGGAGGCAATCGGCCACAGGAAGCCTTGGACCTAGGTTTCGTGCTAGTTGGCACTCATCAGTAAGGCGTATCTCCAACCTTGAAGGAACTCATATCCCTTCTGAAATTCGAACCCGCGTCACCCAGTGGGGCTGCAGTCAGAGACGTTACCACTGAGCTATCTATCTACCAACTATCTAATATCTGTCACTGTCGGGGATATTGGCTACCCCATGACAACTCCTTCAGTTTGTTTGTATATTTTCCCTTGGAATTTAAATATTCTAGAAGCTAAGCATAGCTACACTCCTAGCATTATGTCTTCAAGTGACAATTTTGTTGTAAGTTCAAGTTCTTGGTGAGAAATGAGTTCGTTTCTGACCGCGACTGTAGCCATATTTAATTGGTATATGTGTATATAAACTGACAATGTCGAAACTAACCATTTTTTCTTCATTATCTAATTTTAAACTATTCAATCTATGTTTTAGTTCATAAGAATTTGTTAGTCTAGATTTTGAGTGGCTTTTAAGGGCATTTAATATCATGGCTGAATATTTCGATAATTCATAAGTAGGTACCTGACTTATAAACTTTAACAACACCATACATCCTACTGGAGTTACTAATTTTCGGCAATAAATTAAACCATTTAAACTCACCTGTAAACGGTTTCATTTAGCGTATAATGTCCGCCGTGGATAACCTAGTTAGTGACTTTAAACTATAGCAGCCCAAAACGGAACTACTCCTAGCAACCAATCAGATTCGTAAGAAATTGAAGTGCGCAATTTGAATGAAATAAACGTCTCTACACAAGTAAAGTAATTCAATGTTAAAAAGCGGTTACATAGGATAATATTCTTGTATATGTTCCAAATAACCTCCCAGTTTCTCTTAGAGGTCCTCATAGTCAAGTTGAATCAACTTTTCAGTAAATAAATTTGTCAAAGTCATCAATTCGTTCATTAGGTAGTTTCGTTTCGGCCTACTACAGTTGAGAGTCACCGATTTCTTAACCTCATTCATAACGATCTCTATCCGACTATTTCATTGTTGTATTTGCGTCCGAAGAAATTTCTTATTGAACAAAGCAGAAGGAAGTGATGAGATTACGAATGATAATCTTGTTATCTAAAAGTCTATTATCACCATTTGACATTTTTGTAGTACTCATGTACCTTTTAACCTCGTTACGTTTTCATACCATTTTGTTCAACGCATCATGATGTCTCTCGCAGTCTTCTTAGCATTGTCATCACTATTCACCAATTTATTGGCTTATAGACATGTGCATAAATCACCATTGCTTTCTTTCTGCGGTCTGACCGACATGAAACTCATATGCTTTGTACGCATACACAATCATCCTCACTGAAATTCGATTTTATTTCATAGCATTAAGAAAAAGTTGTTACATTATGTATTCATGGAAAATTCCCATTGTAACATATAGAAAATCAAAACAAGTGATTCAGGATGCAAGAACACTATCCTGCATAGTAGTTACGAAGAGGTGGAGGTGGAGCAATAAGAAGCGCGATCATTGAACATCTGGTCGATAATGATCACCCTATCTCTATAGCCTCCGCCTTTAAAGTCATCTACAAGGCAAAGAGTAATTTACCAAAATCCCAACGTACCCGACTCATCTGTATTGCTGAAGCCATCTTTAGCTATCGAAACAGAAAAGCCAGAGCTGTGTGTACAGAAAAAGTTCGTTCAACCCCTCCAACTTTCATGGTCTTAATCCCCCTATGCTAAAGTATGGTAATCCCCAATCATATTTTAGCTCTACCAATTTTTCATTTTTTCATTTTGTCTCTTTCAATTTGTATACTCTTCCTTTATTACGTCAATTGTTACTGTTACTATTCTCACTTTGAACTGTCCTCGGTATTATTTCACTTGTTCCATCTGTCATTCTAAATCAATTCCTTTTTACAACATTAAATTCTATGCTATTAAATTTCACACAATACTAACGTAACGTTTTTATTTTATTCGATTTGTCTACTAATCCTATAATTGCACACTTTTTTTTTCAAGTTCTATCCATCCTATGAATTATTCTATATATGACATTAATTGTTTTGCCACTTGACGTTTAACTATGATTATAATCACAAACATTTTAGTTTTAATCGCATTTCATACTACTGTAACAACAGAAGACAAGGCTGGCAACAGATCAGTTTTATTACGAAAACCAACAGGTATTTATATGTATTTTACGTACATTAATAGGCTTCTGCCCGCAGAAAGAAGGCGGTCTTCTGATTGGTTGTTTGCAAACAAACGCAGTCTTCTGCTTTCTCGTTTTCGATATTTCTCGGAAATGCGAGCCACTTGTCTGCGAATCATATTTGTCCACGTCTAGGTCAGCTGTGATCGGTCGTTGAATCAGCCTAGATTAATTTCTACCAATCAGCGTAGATCAATGTCTACCAATTGGCTAGCAGCTTGCTCTCACCACACTCGTCCCCCCGTCAAATAGCTTCGCACGCAGGCGTTCCGACCTTCTTGGTGCTACATCCTCTAGTTGAGGATTGTTGCTGATCGGCTTGTCCCACTGTACCCATCGTTGGAGCTGACTGGCATTAACTCGTTTCTGTTTGTCACCTCTTCGGACGGTATATACTTGACCCCGTCTTTTTGTGATTGTGTATGGTCCATCCCACTTTGGCAGGAGTTTCCGTGAACCTGGCCCGCCTCCAACTGTATATCTCCTGTCTCTACACTTCACTTGGTCCCCGACTGCAAAGGTGATGCACCGCGTCTTTTCTTTCATCTGAGACTTCGCGACATCACTCCGCTGCTTCCGTATTACATTCTTGACGGCCTCTTTCCGCTCTGCTCTTAATTTCGTCGTACTCCACTTTTGGTGAAGGGGCCAGGTCTCGTTGTGTATCGGTAATCATGGTTTTCTACCATACATCAGTTGAAAGGGTGACTTCTTCGTTGTTTCCTGAGTGGTAGCCCGATGCGTCAGTAGAATCAGTGGAAGCTCCGTTTCCCAGTTACCGCCCTTCGAGGCCAGCCACTCCTTCAGTGTACGGTTGTTTCTCTCCGTTAGGCCATTCGTCTGTGGATGATATGGGGTCGTTCTGATCCTCTTGATGCCCAGCTGTTGCAAACGGGAAGTAAATTCTTCACTCTCGAAACAGGGACCTTGGTCTGTCAGTATCGTCTTTGGTACGCCGTGGTCTGCAACGATGTGTTTAACTACTGCGTCTGTCACGGTCTTTGCACGTTGATCTGGGATCGCTACGGCGTCTACCCATCGTGTCGCGTGTTCCGTCATCACCAGGAGGTACTGATTACCATTAGATGTCTGAGGAAATGGACCCATGACATCTACGGATCACAAGTCACCTATCGCCGTAACTGGAATCGACTGAAGCGGTGGTCGTATGCACCGGTCGCCTTTCATTAGCTGGCACCGTGGACATCCAAGTACGTATCTTGCTACGTCTTCTCTCATACCTGGCCAGTACATGCTTTGTCTTAGGAGGTCAGTTGTTCTGGCCACGCCTGTATGTGCTAGCTGGTGACATTCTTCTATCATGTCGTGGCGCGAGGACTGAGGTATGATAGCCAGCCAGCTTCCGTCGTTCTCTCGCCAGGTCAGAGTCCCGTAGACATTCACTCTTAGTCGATCTCTCTGTCTGAGTAGTGTGGTTAGCTCCTTACTCGCCGTAGCTTGATCTACTTCTATCCCGTTGGTTATCACCTGTATCACTGTATTCAGCGTATCATCCAACCTTTGCTTGCGTGCAAGTTTTAGTGGGTCTTGTTCTACAGCATACACTCCGTAAGCGACCTCGGGCAACTCAGGCTCGTCTTCTGGTCTCGATAACAAATCTGCCAAGACATTTTCATTTCCAGGAACGTGTGAGATCGTAAAATCGTACTCCTGAAGACGCAACATCCACCGTGACAATTTCCCCCGTGGGTCTCTCGCTGTCTTCAAAAATTGTAGCGGCTTATGATCAGTTTCGATGTGGAACCGCCGGCCGAGTAAATAAGGTCGCCATTTGTCGACTGCCTTAAACATTCTTTCTCTATCGTTGAATACTTTCTCTCTGTGAGTGTTAAAACCCGACTGGCATACTCAACGATTCCATCACCTTGTCTTAGGACCGCACCTATGGCGTAGTCACTGGCATCTGTGCACACTGTAAACTGTCTTCCAGGTACAGGTAGTTTTAGCGTCATTTGTTGGTGGTCGAACAGGTGTTTAATTCTGTCAAATGTCCTCTGCGATTCTTCCGACCAAACAAACTTCGAATACATAGCCCCTTTCTCAATCGCCCCCACTAAGTCTAGGTTCATACGAAAGAAAGAACAAGCATTATACCGTCTGAAATTTTTCCTTTTCTGTCTTTCTGGGCAGTCTCTTCTCCAGTGTCCTGGCTTGCCGCATTCAAAACATCGGTTTCTTCTATTACCCAACTTTAACGCCGCCACTTCCCGCTGCAATGCTTCAATTTGCTGCTCATACTCATTTGGTTTCGGCTGCTCTATAGCGGCTACAGTCGTGCTCAGCAGCTGTCTGGTCACCTTTGCTAGCTCACTAATATCCATCGGTTGCGTTGCGTTAACCAGTTTTAACTGCTGGGAAATGTGGTCTGGTACACTCTCGATGAATTGGGAAGATAGTAACTGCTCCTCTGATTCTTTATCCAACGTGGGAAGCGCCCGTCGAAGTAAATTCGTCAATTTCACCGCCAATACTAACGGGTCTCCATCAGGCCCCAGCCTCGTTGATCGGAACTGCTGCATCGCTAGCTGTCTGTCTGTTGCGCTGTCGAACTCCGACACCAAATTTTCAACCAATCTCTTCCAAGACATTGTGCCGTTTGACCGGTCTACGCTGTCATATGCCGCCTTCGCTCGGCCTCTCAACAGCGTCCCCAGAACAACTGCCTTCGCCGCCTGCTCCTTGACACCCACCAGCTCAGCTACGGCTTCGAAATCACGTAGGAAGCTCCGTATGTCTCCCTCCTCAAACGCAGCTGGCCACGGGATCTTCATTTTCCCGGAGGCAGCGACACCAAATGTAACAACAGAAGACAAGACTGGCAACAGATCAGTTTTATTACGAAAACCAACAGGTATTTATATGTATTTTACGTACATTAATAGGCTTCTGCCCGCAGAAAGAAGGCGGTCTTCTGATTGGTTGTTTGCAAACAAACGCAGTCTTCTGCTTTCTCGTTTTCGATATTTCTCGGAAATGCGAGCCACTTGTCTGCGAATCATATTTGTCCACGTCTAGGTCAGCTGTGATCGGTCGTTGAATCAGCCTAGATTAATTTCTACCAATCAGCGTAGATCAATGTCTACCAATTGGCTAGCAGCTTGCTCTCACCACACTACTACTATTATTATTATTTTATGCATTCACACCTATGATTCAATTTCCTCACCAGATATAACTTCTTAAAAACCGTATATATACAATATGTATTCGCTTTCTTTAGTTTTCCAAGTTTTTTTTGAGTTAATTATTATTTATTTATTGTTCCCTTGGGTTCCTAGTGAAACATAGGGCTTCAACTGCACATCTCCACTTGCTTCTGTCTTCTACTGTACTTTTCACCCGCATCCATGTTAGTCCATACTGTTTCAACTCTTCTGCACACAATCTCCTCCATGTCACACTTGGATGTCCCACTCGCCGCTTCCCTTCCGGGTTCCACTCGAGCACTGGCCTGACGCGTGATGTTACCCAGCGGCCTCCTCAGTCAGTGTCCAATCCATCTCCTGGGTGATTGGTTCTTGTTTTGTTTGTTCCCATAGTTGTTTCTTGTTGGTGATTCTTTCCGGCCATCTCATCTTCAGTATAGAACGAAGACAGTTGTTGATAAAGGTCTGCAACAGGCTGTTGGAAATATTCTTTGTGACACACTGGCCAAGTTTCTGATCCGTATAGAAGAACTGACTGACTTGATGTTTGTATTGAAAATCCGAATTTTGTTGTTGATGCTGAGTGACTTAATAACGATCAATAATTAATTGTGTTCAAAACACCGATCAGCTGTATGTACTACCTGTGTCCCCCCACCTCCCCACCCCAGTGAAAAGTGGTGTTCCCACTGAGCCTGGAACCCAGTACCTATCAATTCCAATGAGAAGGAGAGTTATTAACTAGTTCATTGAATCATGATGGCTACCTCTTATGGAATGGATGTAATCTGAGAAGCATAGCGTACAGTTATCTCAGCCCTTGTAATATTGAGAAACATTCGTTCAGGGGGCCTATATAAACCGTTATGAGTCTAACCGATTCGGTCAGATATGTCAACTGAAAAAAAACACAAACATGATTGAATTAGTTTAGGCATAAGTATGATAAATTGTGAAACTTCAGTCCGCCAACGAAAAAAAGTTGAAATGACGGAAAATTAAGCATATACACTTATCAATTATACAGTCACGCACGCTGAGTCACCACTGTTTTCCTCATTGAGTCATGTTAGCTGGTGTAGGATTAGTCTGGAAAAGAGTTAAGAGCGATCAAACGGAAACACGGTACGAATCCAACCAGTCTTTGACTGTAGGTGTTCGGACTGGATAAGAGGGGTGTAGACCGCCTTGCTGGTGTCTTCATGAATAAACAAGAATCAATAGTCAGAAACTGTTAATGACATGCCTTAGACTTGTCGTCAGACTGGCACAAGTTTCAATCCTTGTTTTTTGCAAGACTCAGAAAATCCTGACTCCATATAATTATCCCTTTTCCTATAAATTTTCGTCCATTGTAGCCCCCATTTTTATCTGTTGGTTTTTGAATGACTCATTTCAGATGACAGACCTCATGCCTGTGGTATTTGTGGAAAGCGTTTTGGTCAAGCCAGTAAACTACAAAAACATAAATCTGCTGTTCATGAAGGTTAGTCAACTTGTACTTTTGAATGATTTCTTCGTTTCAATATATTATTATTACTATTGCTATTTTTAATTTTCACAAAACTTCCTGAGATATGTATTGATCTCAGTGTGAAAAAGAAAATGTTGAAACGTAAAAATCCTGAATATTGGTAGATACGGAGTTATTGTTATTAATATTTTCATTTCCTTGTGTTGCTAGTGGAACATAGGGCTTCAACAGCACGTCTGCACTTTGTATACTTTCTGCTGTCCTCTTTAGCCGGGATCACGATTGCCCATAATCTCCGATCTCCTCCATTTCACCCTTGGACCCACGCCCAACTCGTCGTTTCCCATCCCGGTCCCGCTCGACTACCTGGCGCACGATGTCATGCAACGGTCTCCTCAGTGTGTGTGCCCAATCCATCTCTTTTCTCTTCTACATGTTTGTTGAGCGAGAGGTTCTTGGTTGATTCGTTCCCAGCCAGATTTTCTTGCTGCGAATTCTTTCTGACCGTGTGATTTGATCTTCAATATGGAGCCAACGAAGTGGGGCAGCTGTTGACAAAAGTCTGCCATAGGCTGTTGGAAATGCTTTTCGTGACACTCCAGGTTTTTTGACCCATAAACAACTATAGAAGCTATACCGGATTAAACATCTGTATTTATCCCGAAAAATGCGATAGATAAACTGGGGTAAAACACATCGGAGTACAAAAGACGTTTAACAGTAGTCAGTTGGAATGAATATTTGAGCCCGAATAATGAGTAACCCTCTAATTGTTAGTGTTGAATAAGTTTCAGCTGTCTTGTTCGACCTCAGCTAAGGTGTCTACAATTCATCGTTTTTTTTTAGTGTTTTATGTCAGTCGAATTCTCTTCAGTCAAAATGCCTTTTGTATAATGGCGAATAATTTTATATTTAGTTTAATGTTATCAATAATTAATTCTGTAGCACCCATACATTGGATGACTGACTGACTGGTTTCAACATAGAACTATCTTTGTACAGATGCGCAGCAATTCAAGTTGCCACACCCCTTCAATGTAGCACACAAAGCAAGAGAAAAGAGGAAAGAGAAATATTAGACAGAAGTATGAAGGAAGAATAGTAATGCAGAAGAACAATAGGTCAATTAAATTATGATTATTATTTTTTCTAATTAAAAAGACAATTCCAACAGTTGATGTGATCACGGGAAGTAATCATACTCGAAATATTAAACAAACTAAAAAAACTTATCATTGTTTGTAAACTATAAACTGTAAATCAAAAAAATAAAAAATATTGAAATATATAATGATCATTTATTTGACCTATTCTATCTACAATGCCCAAACTTCCTACTGACATTAAAACAATAAATTTTTATTATATATTACTCATCACAAAGAGTGAATGCATCTATGCCATCATCGACAACGAGGATTTTGACCCACACCACTAATTGTCTCCAGCTTGCATTGGTACTTACCATCCCGAAGGCTCCAACCAGTCAGAAGGTCTACACCTTACGCGACTGGCTGGCTAGCTAGCTGACTCAAACTAACTGTTATGGATTTGATTGACTGATGAAGTCACTGGCTCTTTTCCAACTTAATCCTATGTCAGCAGCTAACAGTTAGCCCGTCGTCAAGGAAGGCGATGGCTAGACAAGCCATGCGTAATGCATGTCATGACCATCTCACTCAATCGATGTAACCGCTCCACAACCTCGTCGATTGATTTCCCCTCCTTACTTGTCACTCGATCGAAGCCTAATGATTCACTATTACTCACCCCATAATGCCATCTAATATACATAGGAAATAGAAGACAGACACGTAGTATCAAAGAAGACTAGTCAGCTTTTTATAATGTTGCACTTTCAGTGGCGATTTCTCAGTGACAGTCACAAAGGAGGACGAAGCAAAGTGCTCCTGAGTAGTACACACGTCCTTTGGTTGGAAGTCAACTGGATATCACGTCTACTAAGCCAGAGATAAAGTTGACGAATGCCATTCATTTCATTGAATTATTTACCTGAGTAAATGTTCATACATGGTGAATTTTGTTTTCAATGCTGTGATTATTTATTACGTGTTAATATTGTTTTTCATTTTCTGTTTGTTTTCTGACTCATTTCCTCTCTGAAATTGATTGCTTTAGGCAAACGTCCACATTTATGCGATATATGCGGTGCTCGTTTCACACAAAGTGCTCATTTAAAACAGCATAAAATCTCTGTTCATGAAGGTATGTGTGTATTTTATATGCAGTTATATATATATATATATACGCATGATGTTGGTAATGTTTTCATACGTTATCGCCTTTTGTTTAATATTTATGAGGCAGTAACTCATCGAAGAAGACATTGCGAAATGGTCGCGCTATTTCACTACTCTCAAGTCTGTGTGGAGGTCAACAACACTCAGCATCAAAAATAACATCCGGATTTTCAACTCCAATGTGAAATCAGTCAGTGCTACTCACTATACGGATCAGAGACTTGCACTGCGCGTCATAAAGAGCATCTCAAACAAACTACAAACCTTCATTAACAGTTGTCTTCGCTCAATACTCAAGATCAGATGGCGAGAAAAGATCAGCAACAGGGGTCTTTGGGAGCGAACCAACCAGGAACCGATTGTGAAACAAATATGGAGGAAGAAATGGAGGTGGATTGGCTGGCCATACTCTGAGGAAACCATCAAGTGACATCACTAGACAAGCCATTGCTCGAGTGGAACCCGAAAGGGAAGCGGCGAGTTGGTCGTCAGTGCGAAGGTGGGGTGACTTGGAGGATTTGATGTGAAGAGGAGATGAAAACGTGTGGGCAGACATGGAGCCAGGTGAAGACTCTAGCAGAGAACCGAACTCAATGGAGACGCACGGATGAAACCCTATGTTCCTGTAGGAATTAAAGGATACAATAATAATAATTTCGTGAATTGGCAGAAGTTAGAATTCGTGGGCTAGCCATTTGATCGGGTCCCAGTGGGCTACTGAATGGTCTACGAGCTCACTGGCCTTGTAACGAGAAGGTCCTGCGTTCAAACCCCTTGTGGTGGGTGCGTACTGTTTGAAGAATCCCAAAGTAGGCTGACGAAACAGCTCTGTCCAGTACTACCTATTGGGTTTTCCAATGGTTCTCTAACTGATTTCAGCTCTTGATGATGAAATCATCCATCCAATCAATCAAACAATATTCCTACAAAATCAATACATGATGATCAATATCTAGCTATAGTTTGCTTAGATTAAACACTTCACTTTCAACTAGTTGGTCAAAAGCTCGTAACCCACCCACCCCCTTCCACTGGTTTTCATCTCCTACTTGCCTACTCATTGAATAAGCTGTGTGTGTGTGCTGGAATTTCCTATAAATCGAATTAACCAGGCTGAATGGATAAATATTTAAATACCATTAAGTGACTGTTGTATGGACTAATCACTATAGTGGAATAGAAAATGATATATATATACCTGAGCAATTGTGTATATCAGTGGACCTTGGCATGAAACGAGTAATCCAAATAACACATATTTATTAAAATAATATGAAATCAAATAGATAAAGAGTATTAAAGTCTAATGTTGTATATAGCGAAGAAAACTTGAAAACTAAAGATCACTTAAGAAATTTTTGCTTATTGAGTGAGTGAGTCAACACTGAACACATTTACGCATAATGAGAATAATTGAACGTCACAGTCTGATATGCCCGGGGGGGGGGGGTCGGATGGAGGAGCGAGTGAAAGAATTCTGCATTCGATTAAGAGAACTTGTGAATACGAAACTGTGCTATTTTATGGAAAACATCTGGGGTGAATTGTACTAAAACTAAACTTGATATATGATTATGTGTGTTAAAAAAAAAAAAACTGTGCTCGAAACTTTATCCAGTGAACAGTGATTTATCATTGTTCTGTCTGTGAAGTAATTACAAAATATATCTGCTCTATGGCTGGATTAAGTTTGCTCCGTCCTTCTCTATGGCTCTGAAACATGGCCAATACGAGTTGAAGACATGAAAAGGTTGACTGTCTTTGATCATAGATGTTTACGACCTCTTTCTCACGTTAGGTGATATAATAAGGTAAGTAATGTTGACGTTAGGCGTATAGTGTTGGGCAAAGACGGGAAATCAATTGACGAGGCTATAAAGTTACATAGATTGAGATGGCTAAGTCACGTGCTGCGCATGCCTAACCATCGCCTCCCCGACGGACGGGCATTACTAGCTGATATAGGTGCAGGTTGGTTGGAAAAGAGTAAGTGGTGGCCAAACAAAAACATGGCCTCATTAATCCATGAAATCCTTGACAGTTAAACTGAGTCAGGTAGGGAGATGCAGACTTCCGGGTTGGGGCCGCCCTCGGGACTCTAAGAATCAATGGCTGGAGACAATAGGTGACATGGCTCAAAATCGTTGTCAATGGCTTACGCAGATGTATTCAGTCTCTGTAATCTTTCATATTCCTTTCTACCATTACTCATTCTGTTTCACTCTTATACTTGTCAAAACTCTATTGATTCTCTTCACTCATTTTCTTGTCTACCTTTGTGTGCTATTTGGAACGTGGCAACTCGAAGTGCTGCACTTCGGTGCCAACTTCTATGTTGAATCCAGACAGACAGACAGAATGACTGGATTACATCCAAAATAAAATGGAATATTTTTCCCAGTCATTGGACAGCTACTCAATTGCTACTGTCAACTTGCTACTGATAAGATTTATCAGTAGTATATATGTTGAGAGACGTTTATCGGCATAAAAACGTTAAATAGCAGGAAGATAGATTTGATGTCAGAGAGAGAAAATGATACAGCGTTGCGGAGACACATAGAAGACGTAAAAGGAACACAGTGTGTGAAGGCTAGAAGTAGTACAACACAGAAGATCTTTTCCAAAAAAATTTGGCTATATGAAGATACCTAATTGCAAACAAACATTCCTTACCAAGTGCTCCGTCTTCTACCATTACAGACTTAGTAGAAGTTTCAAGAGGAGTAATCTAAAACTGGTACAATGTAAACGAATTTAGCTTTAGCCTACTAGTAACAAAATATTTGAAAAAAAGGTAACGAACATAATCGTCACGGGATAAAGGAAAATCTGCATGGTTCTCTCATAGATGTTTGAGTAGGATAGAAGTGAATGGGGATTGGTGATGTTATATGATGACAGTTATATATAACTCATTAAGTTACCTGGAATATGCAATGCCAGTAAGACAGTCAGACACCTATAGAAGAGTGAATATCTTGTGAAACAGTTCACTTTCAGTTCTGGAACAATCCTAATTTTTTTATTTAATAGTTTCTACCACAGCTACACTTAACTTCTGAATATATATATGCACGAGTCCTGGGTCACAAACTGGTTGCATTCCTATTGCTCAAACACTGTATACTCTGTTGTGCTCACTGAAGCTGGTGTCTCCCAAGGTGCTGTACTCTCTCCATTTCTCTTTTCTTTCTTTCTACATGACTTGCCATCTTCAAATGACATTAATTTAGTTAAATATGCTGACTATATCTTTGCCTGTCAAGTGTCATAGTGACTGCTCTGAACTAAATGGCTTTTTATCAAAAATCAGCCAGTGGTCCGAGAAAAAATGGTCTTACCTCAAATCACTCTAAATGTCAAACAGTCAATTTCACCTTTAGGCAGGGATAAATCTGACCTAAACAAACTGGTTAGCACTCACGAGGTGTGCAACATAGATGGCACTGAAATAGAAACCAAGTCGGAAATTAAATGTCTTGGCGTCATTCTATCTGTAAATGAAATATCCCCATATTGAAATCAAAACAAGATTTTGAGCGAACAATTGTTTTCGATAACTTCTTCTTCAGGCTCTACAGTTATAAATCCATGAATAATAGAGTACATACAGCCAATAAAGGCAAATGAAAATAATATCAGAAACTGTATTGGGGTGCATGTGTAAGTTGAGATGATAGTCCATTAGTTAACATAGTCAGAAAAAATGTGATGAAGTGTGAATGAACAGTTGGGTGATATAGTGCTGTTTTATAGTCAACAGAATACAAGTGTCATTGGGGTGAGAGAAATGCGATAAACACAAAATACATACAAATACACATTAACAAAGGGGACACTGAATGTGAGGGCTGACCGATAATGTCTAATGATAAAATAAAGAGGCTAAATTGTAATAAGATGTTACAGAATTGGTAGGCTTAGTATAAAATCACAAAGGTTGACAAAATTAAGGGTAACAATGAGGTGAAATAAACTGGGTGGAGAAATGGATAATAAAGACATGATATCACAAAATGATAATAATGGTAATAATAATACGGAAAATTATCATCCTGGTAACCTTATAGTGGGCCAGGGTAGACAGAGAGAGTGAATAAGTTTTTTCTGTACACATAAGTCTGGTCTTTCTCTATTAATCTCTAAAGCCTCAACTATTGCTAGGAGGCGTAATCGTGTGCCTTTGGGGAGATTGTTCGGTACTCGATACACAACTGTAAATGACTGATCTACTTTGATGCTGTGTTCGCTATCCACTAAATGAGACAGAATTGCACTATTCTACGTTATTCTATCTACTGATTTTTCCTGGTCGTCTCATATCTTGATGATTTCTAAGAAAATATTCCGTCTTACCTTCTACATCAAGAAGTTAAGACATTCTGGAATAACCCAACCCTTGCTCTTACGATTCGTTAACTCTTGCATCCTGCCTATTACTCTCTATTGTTCCCCCTTAGTTTTTCCAGGGCTACTGAAGAAAGACTATACCTTATTACGCAGGATGTTAAAGGTTGTCAGCAGGGTAAGCAACGTGCCACTTAACCAGCTTGTTAATATTCTGGTTGACAGGCACATGGACTCATGTGAAAAATGGGCCAAATCCATTTTATCTAACTCACACCACCCTCTTCATTCACAACTCTCCCCTTGTATCTCATCAGGCAGGACCCGGAGCCTATATAGAAAACTATATGCTCACACTAGTACAAATCTCAACCATACCCTATTTGGTTCGTGTTCTGTGCGATAAAGAAAGCATTAGGCGTGAAACTAAATAGTCGGTAGAAAAATTGGATCTCGTCTTTCCAACTCATAACATTTATAAGTACAACGTTTTCTTTTTTTGTTATGTGCTGTTTTGTTTCTCTCTTCCTTACAAACTCTACTTAAAACATTCTTCTTCGTTCTTCCACACTCTGTACATCTCGACCTTTTTGTTACCGCTTACGCCAATAAATATACTAGTATCTACTTTTCTAACACCTTCAAACATTCTGTTTACTTTTGGCTTTGCTACCGATATGCTAATATGTTGTTGTCAAAATTAACTGAGACTACCCATAATCTATGTAGAATTTTATTTATTGTTAATGTACTAACTGGATGCAATACTGTAGTAAAATGCTGAGAATTCCATTCTGTATCACAAGTACTGTTTTGGTCGATTCGCTTGTGGTCATAACAAAACAGTCTTTTAAAACTTCTTCAGATTAGCATTTTTTATTCCTTCACGTTCCCAGTGGAACATAGGGTTTCAAGCTAGAGTCTTGAAGTTTCTGTAGCGGTGTTTATTTTTACAAGATGGGGTTGCTAGCCTCATACCCAACCTTTACTCTTCACCAGCTTTATTTCTGGCTTAGTGAGGTAAAGGAATGCGCCGCCCGGCATAGAACCCCGGACCATATGCATGGTTGGCAAGCGTCCTAACCGCTATGCCACCGAAGCTTCAGATTAGCATATATTAGCTTAATTTCCCTAACTAATTTATTGAATCAGTGGTACTTCATCATAAGAGTCAAGCATCTCTCTCTCTGTGGTCAATCCTCGAATGTCTACTGTTCAACCTCCTATCAGTTTAAAGACAACCTTGCTGACGTCAATCAGAGCTAAACAATCAGTGTGTATTTCCCATATAAACTGGAGTTAGATTAGCAAGTAGCTATAAGTTGGCTGAACTGTTTGTAAATGTCCTACAACCCCCTCCTGTTATCTCCTCCGTCTTTTCTACTGAGGTACATGAAATCATATTTTAAAGTAGTTTTTCTCACGTACTTGATATTTAATCAAAACAGATTTGAGAGAGAGAGGGGGGTGATTTTTCTCACAATCGATACATATACGCTTGTGTATGTGTGTTTGTTATCATACATAATAACCTTAAAACCTATCCTTGTTTATTTTTTTTCCACATTTATTCTCTTTTATTATAGGCAAAAAACCATATCAATGCAACTTTTGTCTAAGACGTTTCACCCAACTTGGACATGTTCGTGTTCATAAGTGTGTTGTAGACCAAGGTAATATACGATTTCCTAATACATTCATGTTAACACATTTTTCTATTTTCCATGTCAGTTTTTAAGTTATTCCCTCCTTTAATAGAATCCGTAATAATTAATATCATATATCATAAAAGATTTCAAGAGATTAATGTATGATGGTCAACATTTGTTGGTTAGCAAAAACTGAATATGTATGTAACGACAGACGACAAGGGTCAGGCAACAGATCGTTTATTGAGAAAATCAACAGATACTTATAGATTTTTATGTACATTGCTATTCGTTATTGTTAGCAGAGAGGTAACGTCTTCTGATTGGTTGCTTTCTTGCTGAAGGTTATTCTGTCATCTTTTTGTAGCTGTTTCTTAGACAGTCCGGTGATATATATATGTCTGCGAATCGTATCCACCCACGCTAAGTCTGCTGTGATTGGTTGTTGAGTTCCTCAAGGTTAGGCTTCGTTCTTGTTTCTTCGCATGACCTCGATTTGGGAGGTAAATATTGACGCGTAAATTGTTGTCTAAAATTTTGTATTGCAGGCAGCTCTCACCACATATATATGTAACTATGTGGGATCGTAGACTATTCCAGGTCATTCTGTTGAGTGTGTCTCCAACTGCTGATTCTTGGCATATTGTGGGGATCCCAAACACCAAATAAATGTACACCACCTGCTTGCATGTCACTCAGATCGACAATCAGTGACATCAGAGAATGACCCGCCTCTAATTATTATTTTCCAATACAATCTCACTTCAGTGAACGTTACTCATTTCAGAAGACAGTAGCTGAACATGCATAACAGGGTATCGTAACTAACCTAGGTGTAGAGCTTCTATTCCCATGTGGGTTGACTTTTATTTCAATAAGAATATGTATCTTTTTAATAACACTATAAGCAGGATATTGGTAGAAACAGTGACGTATAAGTAGATAGTATCATGGACAATACATGTAATAATAATAATAATAATCTTTGCTTATACTTTGCAGTTCAGTTACTGACTTCGTAAAAAAATTTTATAAGTTCTTTTCTGCCATCTGACTCTCTATTCACACAAAACCAGTGCTAAATATGGTGGTATGGTAGAATTTGTATATATTAGTAGCTTTACGAGCGTAAATTCTTATAAAGTTTCCTCTGCTTTTACCTGAAGAGATACAAGGCAAAAGTTGACAATAAAGAGGGATGTTCAGTATCACGCAAGATGCATTTTTTGCAGAACTGCTTGCAAGAATTGAATTACCTCTTGACAATAATGTCAGTTAGTTGGGAGTCAAAGGCACAACACTGACTATACTTACAGCCTTCAATGTTCTGCATAATATGATATATGTGGTGAGAGCTGGCTGCTAGCCAAAGTTGGTAGACAGTAATTGACGTCAATGTTTATGTCCCCAATATTGGTGGTGAGAAAATGAGAACAAAGGCTTTGCGTAGGCGGATACAGTTAGCATATGGATGATCTGACACAGCCACAAAGAGATGCAAGGTTAACTTTCTGTGAGAAACAACCAATCAAAAGACTGTATTTTCTACTAACAATAATCTACCATAATGTACATTAAAATCTATAAATATGTGTTGATTTTCCTTAATAAACGATCTGTTGCCTGGCCCTTGTCTTCTGTTGTTACATATATAGTATGTTTCCAGAAGTCCACTAGGGAAGAATAAGGGCGAACAATGAGGGAGAAAAGATTGAGTTATGCCAGCAGAAAGTCTCAACTTCTTTATGTAATAAGTCTTTCTTTTTCTTAGAAATCAACAGGATGTCAGACGACCAATTGAGATTTGAAGAGAGAGAAACTGATGCCTAGATAAGAGAGATACTCGACACACACTCCCTATCACGCACAGTTCAGTCAATATTATACAGGAATTATGCGACTGAATCAGTCGATCCACGCAAGTCTTTTTCGCATCTGTAACTAAAATCAACAATGTGACATTTCGAAGGAACCACTGTAAGACTTGTTATATACTGCGTCGTCAACTAGTGTAAACCAATCGGAAACCTGATAACGATATCTATACCGTAAAGCCAATTTAATGAGTTTAAAACAAGCAACAAAGGTTAATAAAGCAGGATGATTTAATGAATTCATCAAATTTCGGTAGAACTCCTCTTCAGCTGAATACTCTACATACACGAATATATATATATATATATATATATATATATATATATATATTGAAATTATATTGAGAGATATAAGAATGATAAGCAAATAAACTACATTGAATTAGTCATGTAGACAGACAGGTGTCGAATGTTTTCCAGGTCATTTTCAAATAGATAAGGGGAGAGGGAATATGAGAGAGATTAAAATTAAGATAAATTGCATCACGCTTCAATTACATCACTTAGATAAACAATTAGTCATTATAGAATACAACAAGAATTGCAAACAGGGTCATACCAACAGTAATAGTTATGATAACAATAAATTAATAATAATAATAGTGTTGAAGTGAGTTAAGATAATCCTACCGATAGAAGATAGTTTTAAATGAAACATAGGTGTGAATGCATAAAATAATAATAATAATAATAATAATATGAATGCAATAAACTAAATGTTTGTGATTATGAATAATAGTAATAAGAGGTAGAATAATAAGTAAAGCGTGTAACCATGGTAGATTTAGAGTGACGACCATCTCCTTTTGTACACAGAGACATGGTTTATAAACTCGGATTCTTGACATATTATCTAATGACTAATGGTTTATCTAAGTAATGTAATTGGGGCGTAAGGTATTTTATCTTAATTTTAATCTCTCCATACTCCCTCTCCCCTTATCTATTTGAACATGACCTGGAAAACATTCGCACCTGTCTTTCTGCATGACTAATTCAATGTAGTTTATTTGCTTATCTGTCATTTATCTCCCCATGTAATTTCAATAGTACATATATATCCGTGTATGTAGAGTATTCAGCTGAAGAGGAGTTCTACCGAAATTTGATGAATTCATTAAATCATCCTGCTTTATTAACCTTTTTATTGCTTGTTTTAAATTCGTATATGGGGAAATAAATGTTTTCAATTTAATGAGTCTTATCAGTCACAACTTTTCAATAGAACATGAGAAGATCTATTCGGAAACTTTGATCAACGAATATAGATATAAGCATATAAGCTCTCTCTATTGAGATTAGATAAACTTGGCATTTACTAAGCCCTTTTTTGATTGTCTTGTTGTTTCCTATTGTGATGAAAAGGTTTTAAACGTCATACCTGTGATACATGTGGCAAACAATTTACACAATTGGGTACATTGAAAAAGCATATTGCTGGTGTACATGAAAGTAAGTCTATTGTAATAATTTTCATGAGCATCTGTGTGTACATTCTATGCATATATATATGTGTGTGTGTGTGTGTGTGTACGTGGAATTCGCTAAAATCATATATCAGAATCAGATTAACACTTGAAGAATAAGACGGACTGTTTATGGAATTATTGATTGATGTAGTCTAGCAAGCCTCGAAGTAGTATATATATATATATATATATATATATATATATATATATATATATATACTTGTGTAGACCTTCCGTAGTCTACATAATGTGTATATTTTCCAGAGTCATAGTATACTAATCTATTATTGGTAAGTGATCTGTGTGGTATAAATGTGCAGCATTACAATTACTGTAATCAAGAAAGTGCCTAATAGAGACAGTAGACAGGGATATGGGACAAAATGAATAGTATTATTGATATAAGTATAAAACGTTTTCCTTCCAAAAAGTTGTGTGAGTAACTTGATATGATTATGAGCAATAATTTTCGCTCGAAACGTCATCAGTTAATATTACTGTGTAACACTGTGTGATTTATCAAAATAAAATCTTATCCATAATGGTGCCAAATAAATTGCCAAAAACATCGAAGTACCGCATGCTCCAAACAGCTGAGTCTATTGCAATTTGCGTGAAACAACCAGTGCTTTGTGTTCAAAAGAAGCAAGTCCAGCCAGCCACTACTACTGCCCTGGGCGGCCTACAGTAGAGACTATAAATTCATGAATTTGTGTGATTATCTTTCCTATTTTATCTGACATTTAGTTTATTATTATGTTGATGCAATTGAACTGTAATCTACTGATATTATTGATTTGATGTTGTTTAAACAACATTAATGTTGCGCAAATATTCATTCAGACATCTTTAAGAAGACAAAATAATTGAGCAAAGAATATCCTTTTCGATAATTTCCTCCTCTTCTGGCTCTACAATTATATACATGTGTGTTTATATACATAGAATATTCTAGACTAGTAGTCAATAACAATATTACTGTTTTTTAAATAATATCGATTTGTTAAGTAAGATCACAATGGAATTACAGTTCATTAAAGATGCTTAAATTATAATAAGCATAAAAATGTAATAGCAAATAGAATATCAACTAAAATTAAGGAAAATTTCCACAACCAATTGAGAATCATTCAAACCTAGATGACCAAGGTAACGGCAATATCTGAACTAGCTTCTTTTGAACACATAAATTAAACTTCTTAATGTGGATCCTAACGGCCAGCCTCAACTATATATAGTAGATGAACTCTTAAGGCAAAAGTAAGATTCGTAGGTATGCGGTTAATGACCCTAAAAGCATGGTTAACGTCAATCTTGTGTTCTGTATCCCCAAAATGAGATAGAATAGCTCTGCGAATAGATTTTGTTTGACCTTTGCTTAAGCACGCAGGGTGATGTTCGGAAATCCGAGAGCAGAAACACGCCCAGTTGTACGGACTATGTAACTGGCTCCACAAGAGCAGTTAAATTGGTAGATACACATGGAAGAGGCGAAATTAGGCAGTTTATCTTTTACTCCCAAACGCAAAAGAGGAGTGCTTTTGAAGACAGCGTAATTCGGCAGCAGTGAATGTTCTTTTAACCGCATTTCTAAGGCGTTGTGTTAGTATCTCGCTGATGTTGTCCCCAAGGAATTGCATTTGTAAGAATAAGGCCTTTTTAGGAACTGTTGGTACCTTGGGCTGCCTTTGATTTTAGATTCATATTCTTATCAATAAACTTTTCTGGATAACCATTTTCACTCAACAACCGTTTAATATTATTAAGTTCCTCATCAAGACATCCAAGCAGATTGCTCTTGCTCTGTGAACCAAGAACTTTATGAACAACATTAATGTTGTTCATAACACTAATTCATTCATTCACTATAATGTATGTATATATAACTGTAGAGCCTGGTGATGAAGGGGTTATCGAAAAGAGTATTCTTTGTCCAGTAACCATTCTTTTGAAAAAAATTTAATGGGCATTTTTAATCAGATAGCATTAGTATTCATAACCCAAAATTATGGGATAATAAGGATAATAACGTCACCATAAAAGTACAAATAAAGGAGAGTAACTGAACCATTTTACATGCTAATTACGCAATAAGTCGTAAGTTTCATGTTTAACACTAGGCCAAATAGGGTGTCGCTGAGTTTCCCGATACTTGGTTATGCGAGTATATAATCGCTTATACTGACGTCTAGTCCTACCAGATGTGAGATGTAAGATTTACGTCTTCATTATCATTTTTTGTCACTGTATATCTCAGTTTAGCTCACTGACTGGCATCCGTATTTCACTCATATATTTATATATATGCCTAACAGTTATCTTTTGGTTTTCTTATCTTTACATTGCCAATTTCTTAAAATTTTTTTAGAAATACGTCCTCATAAGTGTGAAATTTGTCCTAGCGCCTTTGGTTGTGCAAGTGAACTACGTCGGCATGTAGAAAATGTTCATAATCGTAAGTCTGAATGTATAGTTTGTTTAATTGTTCTTTTGTTGTTTTTGTTGTAACCATCACCTCTCTTTGTTGTTATTGATTTTTTGTATTTGAAAATAAGTGGGTACTACTCATTTTATTTTCATTAATCCTTGAATTGAAGGGAATAATTTTTTGTGTAAATACACACGAATCTTTTTAAAACTTTTCAATTATTTTGTTTAACGGAGGGAGGATACATCAGTTATATGTTTATGTTTGTGCGTCGGTGGCACAACGGAAGAATGCTCGCCGACCACCCACGTGGTTCGGGGTTCGGTCCTCGGCCGACACCACACTCCTTTACCTCGCTAAGGGAGTAATAAGGCTGGTAAAGAGTGAAGGTTGGGCATGAGGCTAGCAACCTCATCCTGTAAAAACAAAACACCACTGCTACAGAAACTTCAAGTCAATAGCTTTAAAAAAAATAAATTTTTTTTTTTTTAACGGCAGAATAGTTCTTCATAAAACTTTAAATAAACATTAGATTAATTTACCTCCATCTCCTTTCTGCTGTGAGACTGCATTGAGAGTGAGATATAAAAGGCTGCTGCTAGCAGTTTGATCATAGGTGTTGAGCTCTACTCCGTGTGAAGTGTAGTGTAATAGGTTGAGTAATATTGAGGTTAGGCGTCGGCTTAGTGTTGGGTAAGGAGGGGAAATCAATCGATGAGGCTGTGAAGTACATCGATTGAGTGAGATGGTTAGGACATGTGTGCTGGTCATGCATGTCTAGCCATCGCCTTCCTCGACAACGGACAATGTTAGCTGACATAAAGTCAGGTTGAAAAAGAGCCAGTGGTGGTCAAACTGAAACATGGCTTCATCAGTCAATGAAATAAAAAATGGGGGGTTAAAAAGATAAATATTTTCAATTCACAACAGTTAGTTTAAGCCAGCCAGCCACGTAGGAAGATGTATACTGCCTTACTGACTGGTTTGGGTGCTCAGGACGGTAAAAATCAATGGGGGCTGGATAAAATCGGTATATGGTCAATCTCGTTCTCAATGGCTAGTGCAGATACATTCACTCCTTGTGACTTATTATACCCAACAACAGTGTATTGTTCTTCGTTATTACTATACTTTTTGCCTCATATCTCTGTTTGCTGTCTTTATTTTGCGTATGTTTTTACTTTCTTCTCTGGCTGTGTGTGCTAAGTGAAGTGTGGCGACTTGAACTGGTGCACATCGGTGCAAAGTTCTATGTTGAAACCAGTCAGTCAGTCATACTTCATAAATTCCATATTCACTAAGTTTATATATACATATTGGAAGGTAAACGAGATTCTCTCTTTTGAAGATTAGGTTACTAAACGTAATTTAAGCAAGCACAGAAACAAAGATTAATGTTTAATATTCACTTTTTTCGGAGTTTTAGATCATTTTCCAGTGTGTTTAATCGTTTGTCTTTTTTTGCAAAACTCAGTATGCACCTCATCAATTTGTTCCCTTTTTTTTTACTATTTATGCATGTATATGTGTGTGTATACAGGTGAAAACATTCGAAGTTGTCGACATTGCAGTGAAACATTTGACAGTACCAACCGTTTAAAACAACATGTGGCTTTAAAACACACAGGTAAAATTCTTTTGATATATATATATATATATATATATATGCTTCTGTTCGATGTCATTTTCTGTCATTACCTTTTTTATAAATATGTGTGAAGGGTGTGTGTGTGTGTGGTGAATTGTTTTCCGTCCTAACACTGACACTAGCTCAAACCGGAGTTACTTGATTTCCCACGTAAGTAATATACAGAGTTATTTCGCAAGCTATTAATAAACGATGAAAGACTAATGAGAAAAGGTGAATTGTTGAAGTGGGGTGGAGAAAAAAATGTAAAGGGAAAAGATCAGTGCGGTCGAGAAGATAGATTTGTCCTTAAGAGGAGTATAGAGACAACTTTGTAATGTTCTCATGATATTTAAATGTGCGTGTAAATTACTTAATCATGTGCGCTCTTGATGGACGGATGATTGGCTAAGTTGCATAAGGAGTAAAAATACTGTCTTACATAGTTAGTAAGTAAGAATTCATTGACTGCCCTTGAACGACAGTTTGTTACCTTTTTAATAATTTAAATTAAAATTGCAGTTCCTATAAAACCGGTGGTACATTTCTGCTACTATGCAGGACAGTGTTCTTGAATTCTTTTTTAGATAGGATCCGCAACAAACGATTCATGTACTTGACTCTACAACAACTGGTGAAGTGATATATATATATATATATATATAATGTTGTTCTCTATTTCCCTATCAACTCAGTAACAGTTTGTATACTCAATATTGATTTTTTTTGTTCATTCAGTTACCGTATAAACAGCATTGAGATTAATAAGGTAACTAGTATATTATAGCTCACTCTAATCATGTCTATCAAACAGTCAGCCAATATAAAGCAGCATGTAGTACAAGCGAAGTTCAATGGTCATTGAACAAAGATGTTTGAGAATAACAAGTGGATTCCTAATTTTCAAGCAGCCAACAAAGGTTAATAAAGCAGGAGGATTTAATGATTTCATCAAATTTCGGTAGAACTCCTCTTCAGCTGAATACTCTACATACACGGATATATATATATACTATTGAAATTACATTGGGAGATATAAGACTGATAAGCACAAATAAACAACATTGAATTAGTCATGCAAAAAGACAGGTGCGAATATTTTTCCAGGTCATGTAGATAAGGAGAGATGGAGTATGCGAGAGATTAAAATTAAGATAAATTGCATTACGCTTCCATTACATCACTTAGATAAACATTTGGTCATTAGTAAATATATCATGTCTCTGTGTACAAAAAAAGATGTTCGTCACTCTAAATCTACCATGGTGATACGTTTTACTTATTATTCTACCTATTTTTATTATCATTATTCTTGATTGATTTAAAACTATCCTTTATCAGTAGCATTATCTTAACTCACTTCAACACTATTATTATGATAATCATTACTATTGGTATTACTCTGCAATTCTTGTTATATTGTCTAATGACTAATGGTTTATCTAAGTGATATAATTGAGGCGTAATGCATTTTATCTTAATTCTGATCTCTCACACTCCCTCTTCCCTTATCTATTTCAACATGACCTGGAAAAACATTCCCACCTGTCTTTCTGCGTGACTAATTCAATGTAGTTTATTTGCTTATCAGTCTTATGTATATATATATCCGTGTATGTAGGGTATTCAGTTGAAGAGGAGTTCTATCGAAATTTGATGAATTCATTAAATCAACCTGCTTTATTAACCTTTATTGCCTGCTTTAAATTCGTATCGGGAAATTAATGTTTTCAATTCTTGAATTCCTAATTATCTACTGTTTGACTTATTCATGCTCAGTAATAGAATACACAGTAAGCGGACTTCTTGGAACAGTGATAGTGAGCACACACAGGCTGGTGTATACCAATGTATTAAGTATTCCCGTAGTAAAATTTAGAACAACACATTTAAGCGAACAGTGATATTGCGGTTTCAATTAGATCTCATCAGGCTTAACTCTAATATACCTACATAACTTTACAAATATAAATTCAAATATCAACCAATCATGGTGTTTTGTCTATAGGATAATAAGATGGTGAATATAAATTGTGCAATTAGTCATAATAGTAGTAATAATAATAATGGTTTTATCCATAATAAAGATGAAAAAGGGAGACAATCTGTGATAACGCGAATAATGGAAAACAGCATGATTAAACAAACAAATGTTCAGGTAGACATGGTAGTCGATAAAGGCTAGTAAAAACAAATGAACCGATTAAGTAATCTTAGATTGTAAGGGGAAGTAAATGAGACACGTTTTTAATGAAGATGTGATAAGATTAAGGGATGATAAGAAAGGGGTTGAAAATATAAACAAAGGGTGGTGTAGAAGTCATTAGTTGGTTATGTCTTAATAGGCCAACAAGGGAGGTATAATGGCTGTACGAACTTCTTTTGAATGCATTGTTTAGTTTTAGTAGTTCGAATGCCTATTGCCTCAGCTGTGTGCAGTAGGCGAATACGAAGTCTATTGGAAAGATTCGGTGGGATACGATGAATTACTTTGAAAGCTCTCGTTTTCTCCACTACATGACCACTATCAATTAAATGTGACAAAATTGAGCTACGGATTGTTTTTTTTCTTTCCTTTGCCAAACCACGATGGGAGATGTTCACTAACACGTTGGCTGGCTAAGCTGTCTAGTAGTACGCCCAACATAACTGTCACCGCAGGTGCAGTTGAATTGATACATGCACATAGATGAGGCAAAACTATCTACCTTATGCTTCATTTGCGTTTGGTGTATTTGTGTGATGATCAGCGGTGTGAGGACAAATAGACAAAGTTCAACAATAACGTCCCAACTGATGCGAACTCATAGGTGACCTTCAGCCGACCAATCATAAAAATGAGGGATTTTTGCACAAAAGAATGACGTATATTTACAAGAAAATGCATGAAAACACATTAAACATGTTATCTCTTTCTGAAATGACTTAAAAATGCGTCGGAGTTATACTGAGATTATTAGTTGCCGAGTTAGACCAGTTTCTGTACATGTAATCACCGAAGTGACTGGAGATGCGCTGTTTTTGTGAATCGTTTATCTTCTTATCCAGTTGTGCAGTCTTCCTCAAAAGCCCTCGGTTGAATTGCTTTGGTTTCCGATAAGAGGATTGTTAACTACTTACCAGGAAGATGTGGATAATAAAACATATTAAAATAAATGACATTAATTGCAAATCTTTAATCCTGACCCTAACACTAACCGAAAACTTAATCCTAACCCTTGTCCAAACCGTAATTCTAACCCTAATGCTTATTATAACCATTATCCTTACTCCTAATCCAAATACTTACCTAAACCCTTATCCTAACCCTAACGATGCTATTAACACATTGTCGAAACAGTACTTGAAAACGTTATCTTGGGGAAATTTGCTGCTTAGCTGGTGAATAACGTTGATTTTTCAGCTATGATAATGACAACGATCAGCATAAATTGAAGGAACCTAAAAGAAACAACCTCCTTTACCTACCTGGGAAGCATCGTTTCAACTACAGACGGAACTGACGAGGATGTCAAAGCAAGAATCGGGAAAGCAAGGCAAGCTTTCACTAATCTCAAGTCTGTGTGGAGGTCAACAGCACTCAGCATCAAAAATAAGATCCGGATTTTCAACTCCAATGTGAAGTCAGTGATACTACTATACGGATCAGAGACTTGACGTGCGTCATAAACAGCATCTCAAGCAAACTACAGACCTTCATCAACAGCTGTCTTCGCTCAAGATAAGATGGCCTCAGAAAAGATCAGCAACAGGGATCTCTGGCAATGAGCGAACCAACCCAGCAGGAACCGATTGTGAAACAAATATGCAGGAAGAAATGGAGATGGATTAGCTGGCCATACTCTGAGGAAACCATCAAGTGACATCACTAGACAAGCCCTTGAGTGGAAACCGAAAGTGAAGCGGCGAGTTGGTCGTCAGTGCGAGGGTGGGTGACTTGGAGGAGGTCATGTGAAGAGGAGATGAAAACGTGTAGGCAGACTTGGAGCCAGGTGAAAACTCTATCAGAGAACCGAACGCAGTGGAGACGCACGGCTGAAGCCCTATGTTCCTCTAGGAATTAAAGGAAATAATAATAATAATGATATGTGTTGTTGGCCAACAACTAGCTTGTGTTCGCGTCCGCTGGGACGCTATTGTTGAAATTCGCCTATATGTCTGTAGTATTCGTTCAGTGAGTGAATAGTTAATCGAATAGGAATGATTCACTTGTGTGTTAAGTGTGTATTTGAATAACACGACAAGATCTTTTTAATATAAAGGTTCATTTTGTAAGGCGTTCATAGTTTATCATGCAGTGTAAAATGAAAGTCTATGTCACACAAGACTGAAACCAGCATCCTCTATGAATAGACACTCCGATTGGCTACTAGGTGAAGTATCAGATTTAACACGTGATTCTCATTGGCCTTTGGTTTCAATCCTGTGTGACCTGAAATTTCACTTTACCTTCAATATCACATCAAAGACCATATCAATAACGGTCTGCTATCTAAGACTACGTCAGACAGTCTCACTATCAAATATTGGAAGTGTTTAGGATGCGCAATAGTTTAATACCTAACGTGTATTTCTACCTTCATCATTGTTATTACTGAACTGGAGTGAATAAGTGCGTTCGCTACTTTGTTATATCTGCGCTTGTTAATTAACATTATAACAATTGAAGGCAAGACACGGAAGCCTAGGTATATTTTCAATCACTGAGCGAGTGATTTCGGTTTATATCAAATGACATGAATTAGATAGAATGATCAAATATGCATAGTGTTCTTTTGTTAATGCAGTATATAACCGTGGGATATGTATTCTGTCTCTAACGTCAAATAGAATGTTCAAATAGGCATTGTATACAGTATTGTATTGTGGCAATAACATTCCGACTCTAGCATCAAACACAATGTTCAAATAGATATATATATATGGTATGGTCTGTTGCTAATGCCGAATTGAACTGTGGGAATATGTTAGAATAACACTCCGTTGACACACACTCATTGTCTGTGTCACACTAAAACGGTAATAAACTCGACTGGTACACTAATATAGTATATTTGTCCGTTGTTTCATCTCGTTCACTAAACCACGCAAATATCAAAAGACAAAGGCTGGCTGGACTGTGACTGTAAGATAGTGTATTTGGTACATCTCTATTAGGATACAAAACATCATATTTAGATATTTAATTTATCACAACAATAATACAGTTGGCTCACAACCGTGGGAATGGATTGTTCTTATGGTCTGGAAATGTCTATTCTGATTGATTGGTGATTCGACAAAGATCAAGGTGAGACAAAAGACGATTATATTGATCACATACTAAATCAGACTATGCGTGAGGATTGTAGATCAGCCTAGTAACTCCATCACATGATAAATCACACGATTCGTAAGAAGGGATGATATACTGTGTTATTTCGGGGTCCTATCAATCATAGAACGATGAGATATGGACGAAAATGACGAGTTTGATGATTTCGAGTCATGAAACTGGTTTGTTGTTCATCTCTAGAATTTAAGATAAAAGAGAGATCCTCATTCGTGTTATTTATGATTCATAATTAGTTTCAAAAAGGTAGTCAACGGATGTCCACTTTCCCCTTTTCTGTTTAACTTCATCATAGATATGCTAATGGAAGTATCCTTAACTGAACTTAACGACTTAGGAATCGACTTGTTACCAGGGAATAGTCTTATAGACTTAGAATACGCAGACGACATAGTCCTGTTAGGGGAGGACGCTGACAAAATGCAGAGTCTTCTGAACACCTTGAGCAGCAATCTTCGTATGTTTGGCATGCGATTCGCCCCTGTAAAATGTAAGATGCTGCTACAGGACTGGACTACGTCTACCCCTAGCTTAGTGATAGGGAGTGAAGTGATAGAACATGTTGACCACTTCACCTATTTGGGAAGTTGTATCAGCACCAACGGATTGATTGGTGACGAAATCTCAGCATGGATCCAAAAAGCTCGGGGTGCTTTCGCTAACTTACACCGTCTCTGGCGTGGGCGTGACAATCCGACTATCAGCCATTGAGAGCGAAAGACATGAAGAGATTGTCTGTTTTTGACCACAGATGTTTACGATCTCTTTCTCGCGTTAGGTGGCATAATAAGGTATGTAATGTTGACGTTAGGCGTAGAGTGTTGGGCAAAGAGGGAAAATCAATCGAAGAGGCTATAAAGTTGCATAGATTGAGATGGCTAGGTCACGTGCTGCGCATGCCTAACCATCGCCTCCCCCGACGGACGGGCATTACTAGTTGATATAGGTGCAGGTTGGTTGGAAAAGAGTAAGTGGTGGCCGAACAAAAACATGGCATCAATCCATGAAATCCCTGACAGTTAAACTGAGTCAGGTAGGGAGATGCAGACTTCCGGGTTGGGGCCCGCTCTCGGGACTCTAAGAATCAATGGCTGGAGACAATAGGTGACATGGCTCAAAATCGTTGTCAATGGCTTATGCAGATGTATTCAGTCTCTTTAACCTTCATATTCCTTTCTACCATTACTCATTCTGTTTCACTCTTATACTTATCTAAATTCTATTGATTCTCTTCTCTCATTTTCCTGTCTACCTTTGTGTGCTATTTGGAACGTGGCAACTCGAACTGCTGCACTTCGGTGCCAAGTTCTATGTTGAATCCAGCAGCAGCAGTCAACGGAGGTCTTGACAGTAAATTGCTTATTAAATACGCCTAATCTCAATACTACTCACTCTATTATACCATCTTATATGGAAGATAGAAACCAATTACCAAAGACAGCTAGCCAGCCTTTTCATGTCTTCCATTTTCGATGGCCATGTCTCACCGACAGGCATACAGGAGGACAGAGCGAACTGGTGTGCAGTACACACGTCCTTTTATCGATAGCCAGCTGGAAACACCACGTCTACATAAAATAATAATAGTAATAATTTAACAGCTGAGAGCGTCTTACTGACTGACTGATTTAGGGAAATGATTTTTGAGCTTATCTGAAGCCTCATCACCTTAGAATTCCAAATTGATGAATATGGTTCTTTTAAACTGAGTCAGTGACCTTTTTGGACTGCTTATCTTTCGTGTTATTGTCAATAAATCGGCTCGTGTAACTGTTTTCTGCGAATGTGGCTATTAGTAAGGAAAGTTCTGCGTCGACGCAATCAGAACTACAAATGTTTCTTAAATGAACGAAATATTCCCATACTGAATCATAAGAAAAAGCCGTAAACAGCGAAGCAAATTTTCTTTTCGACGATTCATTTTCATGAGCTGTACAATCGTAATTATTTTTGACAAAGAAATCGTTAGACTAATCAGATACTGGCAAACTTTGTCCTTGAAAAAATGTTTTACGTAATATAATGCTTCTTAACCTGAAACAGTTCGACTGAATTTAGTTCACAAATATAAAAATTAGTTAATTGTCTATCCCATACTCATTGGATGGATCTTTTAAGAGATCCGTCATTACATCTACTGAAGCATATATTAAGGAAATTCATGCTTAGTTCAGATTCATTTTCCATCGTGAATTGCAAAGCGGTATGGCAGTTGTTGAATGCAAACAGGATGTGTGGTGAGAGCTGTCTGCTAGCCAAAATTGGTAGACAGCAAATTTACGTCAATGTTTACGTCCCAAATCATGGTCATGAGAAAACAACAAGAACACAGACTAACTCAACAGGGAATCACAGCAGACCGCGTGGGCGGTTACGATTCTCAGATATATGGTCTGACCTTCAAAGAAATGGCTACAAAGTGATGACAGAATAACCTTCAGTGAGAAGACAACCAATCAGAAGACTGTGTTTCTCTGCTAACAATAACATATAATAATGTACATAAAAATCTATAAATATTTGCTGATTTTCTCAATAAATGATCTGTCTTATGACGATGCAGATATCATCAAGATATACATCCTTATCGCAGATAACGAAAGTGTCGTCTACGGATCTTCTATAAACATCAAAGCGACTTATGGATTTTGTACTCAGATTCAATTAGTCTGTAGGTTTTGCAAAAAAATAATGGTGAATCGCTCATATGGTGGGTTTTCATGGATGGATGCTCATCGAGATCTACTGTTTGTAAGCCGTACGTGTATACCAATGTACTACAACTACATACAAAACAACGATATGAGAACTTCTCATCTAACTTATGATTCGTTAAACTGATAAGAAGCATTGCAATGGAACTGTGGATTTCTTTTTATAATAAAATACTGAATAATACTAGAAGGGGAGGTGTGGCGTGTGCTGCTGATAAGATTTATCAGCAGTATATAAAGAGACGTTCATCGGCATAAAACACATCAAACAGAGGAGATACATTTAATGTCAGAGAAAGTAGATGATACAACGTTGTAGCGATACATCGGAGATGTGAAACTTAAGACGAAGGTAAAGTAGAAGTAGCAAGCACAACACGGAAGATCTGTACAAATGGTGCGTTGAAGATAATGTGTACATAATTTTGGCCCAAGTCTTTCGTCTTCTACCGTTTCAAAGGGATAGAAATTTAGTAGACTGTGTATTTTATATCAGAGATGTCACACTATAATGTTGTACTGCTGAGTTTATATAGTATTATCATTTATTTCGAAATTTATCATGTTCATTTGTGTGTTGTTGTTTTTTTTGATTTTCTATAGCGGACAATAAAAAGTTTGCTTGTGAATTGTGCGGAAATCGTTTCACCCGACAGGTTGCTTTAACGCGTCATTTACAAACTCATACTGGTATGTTGTTGGTTGCTTTTGTTTTCTCCTCATGAATTGTTGTCTCAAATTCATAAACAACATTTGCGCGGTTCATGTGTTGAATCATTTTTTTCCCGTGATTACGGTGAATAAAATGTGTAACAGGTAGAGAGTGTATTAATTTCATACAGTGAGCACACATTGTTGTTGAAGTCGTTTAGGTGCGTCTATCGACTTCTTCTTTTCAATCCTTGTGTTCTAAGTGGAACAAAGAGCTTCAGACTGTTGAAATTTCACTATCTGTGTTGTCTTGTTTTACGGCCTAGGGTGGGGTGGGGTGAGGTATTGATACTAGCCTCATGCCCATTCTAACCTCTCACTGTCTCTCGGGCTTATCGTTATCGGGTAGTAAAGACTAGGTGAGTCTGTCGGTCAGGAATCGAACCCGGTTCACTTAGGTATAAAATATGTGTGTAAAACTTGGACACTATGGTAGTAAGTAATTCCATATTAGTTTGTTTATTAGATGTATCACACAGTCAGTGAAACAGTATTATTTACTGGATGACAAGGTTTCGAACAAAATTTATTGTTCATAATCATATCAATTATAATCACACGACTTCGAAACTTGAGTTTTATAGTTTTCTTTGTTTTCTCCTATTTGTCGTGGGGGTAGTAGAATTTTCAAGATATCTGGGACAGGTGTTGAATCATACAAGGAAGGAACCTCGGAAACCTTACTCAGAATTCTTAACAAGGCAGGAATAAAAGTGGCATTCAAACCCACAAACTCAATTAGAAACAAGCTTTGTCGGTTGAAGGATCCCGTGGAGCCTTCAAAACAAAACGATTTAGTTTATCTAATACCCTACCTGCAATGATTGTCAGGTCAAATACATAGGTCAAACTAGTAGCACAGGTGCAGTCAGACTAGCCGAACATTAAAACCTAGCAAAATCTAGATTTGTTAACCCGAATAAGATAAGAAATCTAGGGAATAGTTCAGCTATAGCACTCACTACATGCAATTACACACAACCATACAATAGGGGGATGGGAGAGGATGACAGTTTTCAAATCTAATGTCACAGGGTGTAGGGAGAGAGTGATAACTGACTGAGGCTTTATTTATCGAATCAACTGCAAACACGAGTAATAGGAATGATTCAACACCTGTCCCAGATATCTGGAAAATTCTACTACCCCAAAGACGACACAAATAGGAGAGAACAAAGAAAACTATAAAACTCAAGTTTCCAAGTCATGTGATTATTTTTTTATTCCTTCGCGTTCCCAGCGGAACATAGGGCTTCAAGTTCCAATAGCAATGTTTATTTTTACAGGATGTGGTTGCTAGCCTCATGCCTAACCTTCCTGCTTTACCAGCTTTAATTCTGGCTTAGCGAGGTAAAGGAGTGCGTCTGTGGCCGGGGATCGAACCCCGGACCATATGCATGGTCGGCGAGCGTCCTAACCGCTGTGCCACCGACGCACCGTGTGATTATAATTGATATGATTATGAACAATAATAAATTTTGTCAAAACGTCATCCAGTAAATAATACTGTTTCACTGTGTGATACATCTAATAAACAAACTAATATGGAATTAAGTATAAAATATTTACTTTCTGTTTTTTGCTTTATTAACTGTAAACTAAATTAGTGGTGTACTCTTTTCGATAGATCTGATGACGGTGAGTTTGACTTCTGAATTGAGTATATGAATAAGATAAACTTATGGGTCAGCTACTTTCGCAGTTTCATTTATTCTCAGATTTGATACTGAAAATAGCAGTAACTGAAGGATTTTGACATAACTACAATACAATTATTTTCAGTCGAGGTGTTTAAGCTGTCAGAAGATGATGTTACACTAGCTCTTTTCTTCTTTTCGAATAATGCGCGGTGCTATACACTACTGATTGAATGTTATGAGTAGTTGACTGCCACCACCCACATGAACCAGTAGTGCTTGCTAGCCAGATGGAGGAGTTTTTTAAACACTGAATGGCTGCTTCGCTCGTTCAGAGCCGAGCTCATCAGTGGTAAATCCGGTTTGGGCCACCCGAATTATGGTCAGCTATTCCAGCGACTCCATTAATTCTTTTTTTTCTGATTTTTTTATTCCTTATACCTAATGCCGAGCCTCCTGTCTTTACCAATCTTATTACTGGCTAAGCGAGGTAAAGGAGTGCGTCGACCGGGGATTGAATCCCAGACCACATGAAGCATGATTGGCGAGAATCCTACTGCTGTACCACTGACGCACACTAAGTATATTATAGTATATCCTTTTAACATAATCGTAATACATATATCCTTAATTTTCCTGTTTTGTCTCTAACTGGAGTGTGTACTTTTGATGAACAAGGCCTTCTTTGAGATGAATAGTTTTCTCATGGAGCATTCATTATTAATCTGGACAAGTAGTAGTGGTAGTAACAGAGACTTTAAATGTACTTTTTGAAGTTTTCACGTTTATATGCCATAAATAGTGTAGTGACTGGTAGTTACTCATCATTGATTTAGGAGGATGGTCGACGTTCTGCGACGTGGATTCAAAGAAGGTAAAAGACAAAATGATAAATCTGAATGTAGTGACTGAGCAGCGACAAATATCCTTGTTATATATGCTAGTCATACTGTAACAGCAGAAGACAAGGGCCAGGCAACAGATCGTTTATTGAGGAAATCAACAGATATTTATATTTTATGTACATTATTACTCGCTATTATTAGCAGAGAAACAGCGTCTTCTGATTGGTTGTCTTCTCACTGAAGGTTATTCTGTGGGAAGTCGTGACCAGTAGGGTGCAGCCGGTCGGGAGTGTGGACAAATTCTCGCCGAACACATTGGCTGACGGTTGCGCTATATCGTGAATTGGTAGAAGTTAGAATTCATGGGCCATTGGATCGAGTCCCAGTGGTTTAATGGTCTACGAGCTTGCCTTGTAACCAGAAGGTCCTGGGTTCGAACCCTGGTGGATGCGTACTGATGAAGAGTCCCAAACTAGGACGAAACATCCGTCCAGTACTCCCAGGTGGTTTTCCAATGGTTCTCTAACCAATGTCAGCTCATGATGAAACCCTGTAACCAATCAACCAAATCCCTACAAACCAATACTTGAATATTCTGTCATCTCTTTGATTGTCAGACCGCCCACGCAAAGTCTGCTGTGATTGGTTGTTGAGTTCTTTTTTTGATGACCATGATTTAGGAGGTTAATATTCATGTAAATTGGTGCCTATAAATTTTGGCTAGCAGACAGCTCTCACCATAATACCATTTCGTAGTTCTAATTCTGCACGGGATTATACGAACAATTGGATGACTAGTCTTTTTGTAAACCAGACTGTGTCTATCTGTTACTACTTTTGGTGTTGTTGTTTTGATAAATCTCCATCTATTTTGTGGTAGGAGCTACTTTGGAGTCGACGTATCTTTCATAGATGTTCTGACCGAATAATTTGTTAATGTTCTTGTTTCCCATGTTATGTATATTAGATGAGAAACCAAAAAAATGCAATAACTGTGGTGCAACATTCACATCCATCGAGGAATGGCAATCTCATGTATCAACGTGTCATGACAATGATGATGATGGCGGTAAGAAACTATACGTTCTTTGTTGTGTTTTTTTCAACTTTTCATCTTATATACAGAAGCTTATGATGTTTATAAACAAGTCCCCGTAGTGTGTACTAGGAAGAAGATTTTGTACGTTTTGGGTTTTTTTTCACAACAGTAACGAATCTAAACTTCCTTGCGAGATTCAAATCTATTACACTTCTCATTGCCAAAAGGATTTGTCTTAATTTCATGCTAATTTGTTTATTAGATATATCACACACATACACACACACAGTGAAACAGTAATACACTGTTTACTGGATCACAAGATTTCGAACACAGTTGAATAAGATAAGTAATCTAGAGAATAGTTCAATCGTAGATATCGCTGCATGCAATTTACAGGCAGCCATAGACTATGATGGGACAGGTTGGAGGGAAAGATTGATAACTGACTGAGGCTTTATTTATCGAATCAATCAGCTGAAAATACGTGTAATAGGTATGATTCAACACCTGTCCAGCCGGTCATCTGGGAAATTCTACTATCCCTACAATTAAGAGGAGAGGATAAAGTAAACTATAAAACTCACGTTACGAAGTTGTGTGGTGATAATTGATGATATGATTATGAACAATGTGATAGATTGTGTTGGAAACCTTATCATCCAGTAAACAGTAATACTGTTTCACTGTGTGTGATATATGTAATAAAAAAATCAATACGGAATTACATACACACACTACCACAGTGCCCAAGTTTTACGCATATATTAATGTATGTATACATATTTTCCTTTCTTCGATGAGTACTTGAAAAAATTGGTAGATGTTACACAACTATGACATATATGATATGCTTGAAAGCTTTGGATTGTTGGCTTCAACTGACCATTCTCCAGACTGGACATAAAACAGTCTACAAGGAGAGAGGACCCAAGGGAGAACCCATTGCAATACCATCCTTCTGTCTGTAGATTGTTTCATTGAAAGTAAACTGTACATTCAATGTACATCTCAAAAGTAGTTCTTTCAGTCAGATCTGTAGTCGGTATCCCTATATTCAATTTGTTGTCTTCAATATATTTGCATGTAGAACATATGGTTTTTGTCAGTGGAACGTTCGTAAATAGGGATTGTACATCCAAAGACAACATATGTTTATTCGAAGCATTTGTATCCTGTATACATGGGTGGTTAGCTGAAATCCTCGAACCTGTCAGGGGACAACTATCTGATCATTCCCTTCGGGACACCTTCCAATTTGTTGAATGTATACAGGATACAAATGCTTCGAATAAACATATGTTGTCTTTGGATGTACAATCCCTATTTACGAACGTTCCACTGACAGAAACCATATGTTGTTTTATATGCAAATATATTGAAGACAACAAATTGAATATAGGGATACCGACTACAGATCTGACTGAAAGAACTACTTTTGAGATGTACATTGAATGTACAGTTTACTTTCAATGAAACAATCTACAGACAGAAGGATGGTATTGCAATGGGTTCTCCCTTGAGTCCTCTCTCCTTGCAGACTGTTTTATGTCCAGTCTGGAGAATGGTCAGTTGAAGCCAACAATCGAAAGCTTTCAAATGTATAAAAGGTATGTAGATGACACCTTTATTATTTGTAATAGTGATTGTAATTTGAATAATATATGATATGTGTTTATACATTTTCATCTGACTTATTGAACACTCTAGTATAGATTAAGCAGAACTTCCACATATCCTACATAACATTCTAAAGCTAATCTGTATAAAATCACATCAAGTTTCCACCCTACGATACATTACCTTTGTGCTGCTCATGTAAGTGTTGACGAGCAGGAAATGGTTTATAAACTTATAGAACTGTGCAGAAAGTTGACAATTCCTTATTACTAAGAATTCACTCTTAATATCTTGCATGAAGCTCTAGCTAGGGTCAGTAGTATCACATACAATGCTAGAGTCTTACAGACAAATAGATCGATCAATGTACAACTTTGTGACTCAGACAAACAATCATTAACACCAAGGCTTAGTTATACCTCTCTCCTAACTCTTTCAAGACTACGTTCTCTTCACATAACACCATTTGTTAAGAATGTCTTTCATAGACTGTAAAAGTCTACAACTGATGTGGTTGTGTTTTCTGAGGTGGATAGTTAATTTGCGAAGCTTTCATTGCCCCACCACTAGGCAACATCTTCAGCACGCATACTTCAATTTGTTGAAGTGAGCTTTTAGATTTCACACCCACTAGGCTACTTGTATTGGAACTGATTGTTTTCTTGACTTGAACTTTGACCTTTTGTGTATGAGATTTCCTTCTTACCGATTGGTAAATTTTGTCTATCTCGATGTGTCTGTTGCTTGACGATTCACTGGAATATCAGGGGGCTTCTGAAAATACTCTGACATTCTTAGTGTTTCCTCTGTCTAATATTTGAGTGTTGATTGTCCCAGTCGAATTGATGTCCGTGGTTGTCTGTATGTAGTGATATGAGGGAGTGGATGTCATGTCTTTTGATGGCTAGCTTATGATCATGGATACGAAGATGAAGGGGACGTCCACTCCCTCATAGCACTTCATACAGACAACCAGTGACGTCAATTCGACTAGGACAACCAACTTTCAAACATTAGACAGAAGAAACACCAAGAATGTCAGAGAATTTTCAGAAACCTGGTATTCCAGTGAATCGTAAATCAACAGACACATCGACATCGACAAAATTTACCAACCGATAAGAAAGAAATTTGACACTCAAAGGTTCAAACTTCAGGTGAAGGAAACAATCAGTATCAATACCACAAGTAACGTAGAAGGTGTGAAGACACACAAAAACAACCAATCACGTTCAAGGACACCCATCAGGAGAGATGACTAGTGAACTCGTGCAGAAATCTAATAGCTCACTTCAACAAATTGAAGTATGCGTGCTGAAGATGTTGCCTAGTGTTGGGGCAATGAAAGCTTCGCTAATAAACCATCCGGCTCAGGTAACACAACCACATCAAATCATCCACCTGAGCTACAAATCCTCTTCATCATATCTACGTTTACAACTGAAATGATCAGTTCACCCTGCGTACCTCACTCGAAGCTTATTCTCGACATAGTTAACACGTTGTTTCATATGAATATGGTATGAGTAAATGAACGAAGACTTCCATGGTCAAAAACATGCAGTCCTATCATGCCTTATCAGACTTTAGTGGACATTTCACATAGGTGTGATGTTATTTTATGACAGAATTGAATTCTGCTTAGTGCATATTCTCTGTGATGGAAGTCTTATCTCTCACCAGTGTCAGTGTCAAAAGTGATGACATCAAGTATAAATCGAAATCGACTTTTGTTTAAGCACTGAGATTTAATTAGCAGCCAATCAATTAAGGGCAGATGTTGAGTACAAAATTATTCAAGTTATCCGTATATTCAATAACAGGATAAAAAATTAGTATAGTTAAGTGGAGAAAGACGTTGATCACTGGATCTTTGTTTATCGAGTTAACACTGAGCGCTTGCCATCGAAATGACGTAACGCCTATACCGGAGGTATGCAGAATTGCAACATACAACGAGGGGAAGAGAAACATATATACGTACGTATATAAAGTAAATTAGAAAGCCTTGTGAGTAAATCGATATGATTATGGGCAACAAATTTCGCTTGAAACGTCATCCAGTTATTAATACTGCGTCGTGGTTTGTTATGTCATGTAGAAACTTACCAAATACAGAAGTCTGGGAGTACTGGACAGCTGTTTCTTCCTGGTTTGGGACTCTTCATCAGTACGAACCCGCCAGGGTTCGAACCCAGGATCTTCTAGTTACAACACTTGAAAATTAATCTGATGCTCACTAGCGACTGGCCGTATTCAGGCAGTTAGTTACCTAGGATTCTAGTGGGAATCCGTGACCAGTAGGGTACAGCAGGTTGAAGATGAGACAGTAACTCGTCGAAGTAGACGTTGCGAAATGGTCGCGCTATGTCATGAATTGGCAGAAGTTAGAATTCATGGACTGGCCGGCCATTGGATCGAGTGCCAGTCGCTGCTAAATGGTCTACTATCTCGCTAGCCTTGTTACCAGAAGGTGCTGGGTTCGAACCTCTTGTGGTGGGTATGTACTGATGAAGAGTCCCAAACTAGGACTAAACGGCCGGCTGTCCAGTACTCCCTACAGGTCCTCTAACTGATTTTCTTATGGTTCTCTAACTGATGTCAGCTCACAATGAAATCCTCCATCCAATCAAACTAAATCCTTAAAAAACCATCACTTGATAATACGAAAGTGTATACTACCGTTTAACTCCTAAAAAGCACTGCATCCTATTACACTTACCGGGTGATAACATCAAGTAAGACCTCGAGTAGAAGCTTTACTTCTTCTGCTCATAAAATTGTATACCGTCCTTGTTCAACTTAAAATAACTTCTTGACACTGCATGTCATCAAGACATTTTGTAAACTGATAAATTAAAACTTTGTCAAACTATCTATAGAAGAAAAGATTATAGACTGTAGAGGGGAGAAGATCCAGCCTGTGATAGTAATTACTACCTAAATTGATCCGATATTTCTTTTAAAAAATATGTAAATCATACCATCATCATAAAATGTGATAGCTTGAATAACGGCGCGACTTTCTTTGTTCGATCGTTTACGTTGAATAATTCGATGCTGTAAATAATCGGAAATAACAAAAATACTTAAGTATATTATATGAGGTTATCGAGATGAAAACATAATTTATAAATTTTCAAAGCATTCGCATAATTCAATGTGAAGTTACAAATAGATTTATAAGTGGATGCTTTATTTACTCACTACCAGGTGGGTTTCCAGGATGTCGAATAACAGGTCGCAACTGAAAGGCTTCTCTAAATCGACAATATGCAAAAAGACACTACTTGGCACTTATTTTATACACTCGATTCCTCTGATTAGTTTGGGAAACAGTGATACTGTTTCACTGTGTGTGATATATATCTAATAAACAAATCAATATGGATTAAAATGCCCAAGTTCTACACATATATATTACCGGTTATACGTTATTACAATTCAGTCTGCAATTGACCTCGTGAGTTGATTAGTCGTCTGGCAGTAGTGGCTTTAGGAGACTATCAATGGTGGTTTTTTGACTTCCGTCGTTTTCAGTGCACACAGAGTGAAGAGGAAGTGAAGAGCCATCAATAGAGAAGTTGCATTAGTAGAAGGAAGGCAAAATAATAGAGATGAAGATGAAGACAAAGGAGAGTGAGGATTAGAGAGGTTTCGCGTGCACTTCGGATTGTGAGGGCGATTGTTACTTCCCGGCTGCCCACACCGTGGAAGTTGGTTGCGTGACCGCAGAGCCCAGGGGACAACTGCTTGAGGCCGGTCACACACGGCCTGTTTTTGTTTGTTGTTTTTTATTTGGTGTGTCTCAGTAGCGTATTTATCACTTCTGCCCTGTGACACGACAGCATGAAGCGCGGTCGTTGTTAATCCGGGCCCCGACCGATCTGGCATGATATTTTGTGATTTACTTTGAAATCATAGGATTGGATTGGGTAACTGCTTTTAGTCTAACTGCTATCCAAACAACCTTTCGGGCATGGTAGGACCTCAAGCGATATAAGTCTCAGCCAGTATAGCTTGTTGGTTCATTGTGGTGTTCAAGCCCGACCACCACATCAAGGAAGTAGCTTTCGGTCGGGTGTCTGACAGTAGTAGCAAATCTAACTGTGTCGCCTAAGTACTGGTCGAAATCTGTTGACTATGTGTGTGTGTACAAATTAGGCTAAGCACAGAATACATATTGTGGGCTTCCTTCAGTCTAACGAGGAACTTGCAGTCAAATAAAAAAAGACAGGGAAAGTTCGTTCAGCGTATTTTTCAAAAAATAAATTTATAGGAAGCCAGACGTCAGGTATGGAAATGACTGAATATTTGTTTAGAGGTTACAAGTTTCGTGTATTAGTCACTAATCGTTATGACAAAAACACAATGTAAATTAGAGTAAAGCCTGAAGAAGATCTAATTGAAAACAATATTGTTCGCTTATATGTCTTGTTCTAATATTATAAATGGGAATATTTAAAGATATAAATGTCTGTTTTTTATGTTGAATACTGTAGTCCATATCTGTGAAATTTGTGGTGATCGTTTCAATTCCCAGGCTGTATTAAAAACGCATAAAAGGACAGCACATCAGAGTGAGTAATTCACCTTTCTTTTTTGGTGTCTGATTTTTTTGGGGGGGCGAGGAGGGGATCGGTTAGTGTTTCAGATTACTTGGGAAATAAAGACTGGAAATGAATAGCAAAAAACAAAATAGAGCTATTCAATGAATAGTTTAACTGTCAAATATTCCCATATAGCCTTATTTATCCAATACACGTTGTTGTTTGTGTACCTAAGATATAAATCACACTTTTTAGCCTTATGATTATTGTAATCTAATCATCACATGTAATTTTGTGTTTTTTTTTCATTTCTCCACGTGAAATACACACACACCAATCACAGCTTTCCTAGACCTCTCTAAGCGAGCACACTCACCCTTCATTATTGTTATATATAAGCAGGTTTTTGTTTTCCTTCCCTCATATTTCAGTATGCAATACATGCGATATAAGTAAGATGAAAATAGGCATCACAGGTAAAATGATTCTTTGAAACAATCAGTTCCCTTTATGAATTTAGAGAGATAAAGCAATATGAAGACGTAATTTGTCTGAATCAATCGTGTTGTAATGTATTTGCGCGCACAACACATTTCGAACAAGTTGATCACACAAACACACGGACTTATCATAGGAATATATATGAAATTAATAAAGAGTTACTAGGTGGGGAAATAGACTTAGGTTAACTTAAAAAGTTTACCTTGAAGGTCAAAATAACAATATGAAGATCACTGAACCGAATAACAGAGGTAATAGTACATCTACCCTGGCTGCTATCAAAACAAAGTTTACCAAGGAAGGAAGGTTTGGTGTGATGATGAATTGTCGCTTTGATCGTATAAAGGTGATTTAAACTCTCTGATCGCCAACTAGGGCTTTCACAAACTTAAGGATACTTCCCAAAACACATTTTATGAATAGGTTTAAAAGATGTGTGAAAGTTAATTTTATGTTCTGTCTCTATAATATGTTTCGCGATAGAGGAGCCAGGTCTCCTGTTCCGACCAATAATGGACTCTGGAGATTCTATTTGCTGGTGGAGCCATTTACGAATATGCTCTGAAGCCAACCTTTACTTGCAGAGGACGTTGATTCCTCCCTATGTTTGTGTGTTCACACGTACATTCAAATTGGTAAATACAGTGGGATGTGACATCACTTTTCGCATGTTCAAAGGGCTTAGATAGATATATTGGCTACACATTCTCAATTATTATGATATTAGCTGCATAAAATGTCCTTTCAACAGCAGTGTTAAATCTTTGTCGAGTTAGTCAGCTGCTATGGTCACCCATATACGATAGCTTGATATATGCGTCTATCTTAGGGGCGAGTTGAAGAATGGGTCTTGGTGTCCTGACCACTGTATATCTCCTTATGAACTTGTTTGGTTTAGTGATTTTCATTGTCATTTTGACCTTTAGTATATTCTTTTAACTTGACATTACAACACGTCTTCTAATTGTTTTATCTAATATTCTTTGGTAATTGAATACATACATATAAGTCACGAATATATATATATATATATATATATATATATATGTATATATATATATATATATAATAAAAAGAAGTAAAATTATATTAAGAACGTTACTCTGGCCACGGTAAGGCGAGTGAATGTATGTGGTACTTTTGAATACAGACGTCTGATTTTAGATCCGGAATGGTCAATGATTCAGCCATGTACAGAGGGCGTATTCGAAATCCTTTCGTACGATATTGAGTGATTCTGTGTAGCATTGTGTGAAGCAGTCAGTCATGCGGGGTGCTCGATGTCCAAAGTTGGTAAGGTGTTCAAGGATGGAGCTGCTAGTAGTATTCTTTCCTCCTTTGGCTGGCTAACCAAGCTGGACAATGTTCCAGAAAACATTTGTGAACTTGATGTTGCAAACAGTCAATTTACTTTGCTCTATACGAACAAATAAACTGGTAAATATACATTAAGGCGACCAAAAGTGGTATCTTATCCTTAACCTGTTAGACTGGATAAATTGTCTGCTGGAGACATTTAAAAGGCGGTTTCTAAGAATTTCTGCTGTGAATTCACCTTTGAATTCCAGCTTCATGAAGAGAGAGTTTCCTTAGGAACAGTTGTGATTTTTGGCGATGGAGGCTTTTCCTTCAAGTTTTTGTTGATGAATCTTGGTGGATATCCTTTCTCTGTTAGGATTTCACGTAATGAAGTTAACTGCTTCTCTGTCGTCTCTTCTGAACAGATTTTTCCAGTCCTTGAACCTACGTACTAGGTTTTGCTTTCGGATGTGAGTAGGAAGGATAATTAGAGCCCGGACTGCTGTCGTCTGTAAAGACACTTTCATATATATACACATTATTATTATTATTACTATCGCTCCTTGGGTTCCCGGTGGAACATAGGGTTTCAACACCACACCTCCACTTTGTCCTGTTCTCTGTCGTCCTCTTTAGCTGACCCAACCAGTACTTATAGGCCTTCATCTACTCTCACAATCTCCATGTCACCTTTGTATGCCCCACTCGTCATTTCCCATTGGGGTTCCACTCGAGCGACAGTCGCCTGGGTGCGTTGTCATACGACTGTCTCCTCAGCAGCATATCCCCAATCCATCTCCATTTTCTTCTACATATGTGTTGAACGATGTGCTCTTGCTCGGTTGGTTTGTTCCCAGCCAGAGTTTCTTGTTGCTAAATCTTTCCCCCAGCCACCTTGATCTTCAATATGGAGTTAGTGAAGGCAGTTGTTGATAAACTTTTGTCGTAGCCTGTTGGAAATGCTTTTCGTGACGTGTTGGCCAATTTTCTGACCCATATAGGAGAACTAACTGACTTAATATTCGTGCTGAATATCCGAATTCTGTTCTTTATGTTGGGAGGTTGAGATTTCCAAGCCAATTTTCCGATTCTGGCTTTGGCATTCGCCATTGTTCCTGAAATAATCTTAATAAGGTGTTCTGTCAAGCTAAAAAAGCTATCTCCGTCCCACTTAAATGATTTCTGCAGAAGTTCTTAGAATAACATTTAAGGGTGATTTGTATTTTTTAAATATGTTTTCCTTACCCTACGTAGCATAATATTTGTGAAATATACAAATATATAGCCATTGAAATTGATAATGCATTAACTGTATGATCAGTCTTCCTGAATGTCCACCTTTAATTGATCATTTTCAGCAGTCTAACTACTCAACAAAATCATCCATTTAGTCTTCTCATTTTCCTCTAATCACCTCTTGTAAACTTTATGATATCTTTTGTATAAAATCTAATGACCCTCGCTCATTCTCCTGCTGCATCCCTAAGATATATAGACTGTGAAGCCAACAATAGAATGAATTTATTTAAAGTCAATTCTCCCGTATCTCCTTATTTAAAAGACACTAGGGTTAATTTTAGATGTGTTATAGACAATGCAGAGATTCGTGGTTTCATCCAAGGTGTTCTGTATAGATATGCATCCACAAATAATCCCTGTCTCGACATTAACGAAAACAGAACACATAGTGTAACGACAGAAGACAAGGGACAGGCAACAGATGTTTATAGCTTTTTATGTGCTTTGTTATTCGTTATTGTTAGCAGAGAGGTAACCTCTTCTGATTGGTTGTTTTCCTACTGAAGGTTATTCTGTCATCTCTTTGTTGCTGCTTCTTTGAAGGTCAGACAGTATGTCTGCGGATCGTATCCGCTCACGCTAAGTCTTCTGTGATTGGTTGTTGAGTTCCTCAAGGTTAGGCTTTGTTCTTGTTTTTATTGATGAGATGATTTGGGAAGTAAACATTTACGTCAATTACTGTCTACCAATTTTGGCTAGCAGACAGCTCTCACCACAATAGTGTTCAGCGAAGTGGCGGCTCGTTTTGGCTAATTCATTTTCTTACTTCAACTGTACAATCGAATTTATATACAAATTCTTTTTTCAATGGAAAAGGATTGTGATAATCTGTCACAATCATAGTTGTTAATAATCAGTCAGTGCATTGAAAAGGAGTTGTGAATAAGTGTATTAAAGTTGCGTCATAAGATAAGTTAATGAGTGAGTTTTGATTAGGATGCACATAAAAACAAAAGAAAATGTTGAGTTATATGTAAGAGTGCTAGGTAAAATAGCAGAGTTCTAAGGAGTTAGACCAGTGGTGATTCCTCGATTGAAAGATGAAGTACCTAGACTAACCACTCTCTCTACCAATTCAACTGCGCTTGTGGTGGAGCGAGTTATATCGCCCGTTGCTATAGGAACTTGATTTTTCGTGCTCTCTCCAAAACATCTCCCAGTATGGCTAAGCAAGGGTGTAGTAAAAACTATCTGGTGCAAACCGGCCACAAAGCCAGGCAACATTGAAGAATCCTTCTCTATCCTCTACCGTGTGTCAAATAAATTGCCAAAAACATCGAAGCACCTCATGCTCCGAACTGCTGAGGCTATTGAAATTCGCGTGAAACAACCAGTGCTTTGTGTGCAGAAAAAGCAAGTCCAGCCAGCCACTACTACTGCCCTAGACGGCCTTCAGTAGAGACTATAAATTCATAAATTTGTGTTATTATCTTTCCTAATTTGTCAGACATTCAATTTATGGTTATGTTGATGCTATTGATACTATTGATTCGATGTTACTTAAACAACATTAATATTGTTCATAACAGTAATTCATTCATTCACTATAATGTGTATATAACTGTAGAACCTGATGGGGACGATGAAGGGTTTATCGAAAAGAGTATTCTTTGTTCAGTATCCATTCTTTTGAAAACACCAAGTTAATAGAAATCAACAATGTATGGTTGTTACCATGATAGTTGAAGTGGTTGAGTAATTTTCTTTTGCATGAATTCCGCCGGTTTTTTTTTCTAACTGGGAAGGCCCAAAGCTTAAGCAATGCAAAGGAGACATAACCGTATTGCCTTTGGCAGGTTATTTTTCAATTTGTTGATTACTTTGAAGGAGTAGGCGTTTGCTGAGATGGAATGACCAGTACTGACTTGGTGGTGGTGTTAAAGATATGCGCACCGAAGCTGTATATACTTTCATTAATTCACACTTGTCAATTTGATAACTATTCGATTCACTGATATTTTTCCTTTGTCTTCTTTTTTTGATCTTAGAAATTCGAACATATGATTGTCAACAATGCGGTAAAAATTTTCTTCGTCTTAACAGTTTCAAGTATCATTGTTGCATTGAAAGTAAGCAATTAAAATTGCTACTATTAAATTTACTATAATTTGTTGGAGGACTTCATTATGAACTGACATCAGTTAGAGGACCTGTAGGGAGTACTGGACAGCCAGCTGTTGTGTCAGCCTTGTTTGGGACTCTTCATCAGTACGCACTCACCACACTGGGTTCGAACCCAGTGCCTTCTGGTTACAAGACCAGTAGACCATTCATCATCAACCACCGGGACCCGATCCAATGGCCAGCCAGTCCATGGATTCTATCTTCTGTCAATTGATGAGTGTACTGCCTCACCTTCAACCTGCTGTACCCTACTGGTCACTTTTTCTCAGTTTTTCCAATGATTGTCTAACTGATATCAGCTCATGATGAAATCCTCCAACTAATCAAACAAAATCCCTACAAAACCAATACTTGAAAATTACTACAATTTATCTGAATTACGCCAAAAATATGTTTCTTTTTTCAGATAGGATGATTCTAATTTTGAGAGTTGTAGCTCAAGTTTTAAATTATGGTAGTTACACATTGTCTTTTATACTTGCTTGGTATCAGTGCCCTACCACTCATATTGGACTTGGTTCAACTTATTTTATTGAATTCTGTTTGAATTTCCCCGTTGATTGATTGGACTGAAGTATTCAGCCTCTGTTGAACATATCGGCTGCTTGTGTGGATGCTTCGACGATGTCTGAGGATTTAAATTGAAGTAATTTTGTGTATGGTTGACTATCAGTGGAATCCAATAGGATGCGCATTTCATACTTTTTTTGACTCGTCAACTGGATGCGCCTGCATTCACGAGTGAATAGATGGTGGTTGTGTTCCCACAGAGGTTTTCTACCGCAGTACCCACCGTTTCAAACACCAAAGCATTGTCCACTTGGACCACGAGAACCACTCCTGATGCAATAGGCTGAACACTTCGATGCAGTCAATCAACAGGAATGTCCAAATTGAGTTTAAGGGTAACTGATACCCGTTGCACAAAAGGGATAGTTCTTGTGGCCCAAGCAGTCGAGTTGATAACGCTTTGGCGTTTGAAACGATGGGTCCTGGGTTCGAGGCTCACTGGGAACACCACCAATTACTAGGGTTTGCCGATACATCCAGATAACAAGTCCTAAATAGGACGAAATGCGCATCCTGGTGGATTCCACTACTAGTCACCATCTGCGAAAATTACTTGGTTCAACTTTTTTCTGCAATCTAATGGGTATTGTGCGTACTTAAGTGATAGAATTCAATTGGTACCAGAAGATAGCCATACGATAATGTTTACTGCGTAATTCCTACAACGTTGCGGATAATCCCTACTGATGATTGTCAATATGCAGGAGGCCTAGTATCAATAGTTTCTTGCGATTACCTCAACCCATCTAATAATTAGTGTCTACTTTTCCTATGCTTTCTTGAAATCTGACCTGCCAAGTCCTTGGTACCACAGTTATATCAAGTCATTAACTCGTTATTTACTTTATTTTTTTACTTACTAGTAGTCTGATTTTTTTTATAAAAAAAATCACAGTATTAGCTAATGCTATTTCGATTACTTCACTTCACTGTGTCTATTTTATGTGCCAAACAGTGTGAGAGTGTAAGTTGATGAATTAATTTTGACGCTTACCATATCCCAACTTCAGGACGAAATACTCGGCGAACAGACTTTTCAATCGTAAATATATCGTTTTTAAAAAGTTATATCCGGCGAGGGAATGCAATCATCGTGAATACATGAAATAATAATAGTGGTATGAAAGGCAATTAAAACTAAAATGTTTGTGATTATAATCATAGTTTAATGTCAAGTAGCAAAACAATTAATGTCATGTATAAAATAATACATAAGGTGAATAGATTTTGGTAAGGGATACATAATTATAGGATTAGTAGGCGAATATAGAATGTTACATAACATGGTGTGAAATTTAATAAGATAGAATTCAATATTGTAAAATATTTTTGGATTTAGAATGACCAGTGGGATAAGTGGAAACAATTCAGAGTGAGAATAGTAATAATAATAATAATAATAATAATAATAATCGTAGTAATGAGGGAAGGGTCCACAGATTAACTTAATAAACAAAATGAATAAATGTCTATCCCTCTACGGCCAAGGCAGAAATACGGATTGTACATACTGCTTTTGTTCACAAAGATCCAGCTGGCTTAAATTCATGAATCACCAAGGCCTCCTCTGTCTTTAGAAGTCTATAACGTAGAAAAAGCGGGAAGTTAGCATTGATTCGGCAGATGGTCTTAAAATCATGGTCAGAGTTGGTGGAGTGACAGGAGTCGATCAGGTGTTCTAGAAGAGAGCTTTGCACACACTTCCTTTCTCCCTTGTGAAACCATGCTGCTGGAATATGTTCTTGTATCCGTGTGAAAAGCGTCCTCTGACTATTGTCAATGTACCTTGCTCCACAAGAACAGGTGAAGTGATAGATGCACATGGAGGCGGCCAGATGGGGAGCTTATCTTTTACAGAGATTGGAGAACAACTTGTGGGTGGTGAACGTTATTTGTAATTTTGCTGTAAAGAACGTCTTACTGACTGATTTAGAGAGACGGTTTTTGAGCATATCTGAAGTTTTATATGTCCAAACCAAGTTTACTTTTAATAGTTTGAGAAAATTTAGGCATTAATTTAAAACAAGCAACAAAGGGTGATTTAATGAATTCATCAGATTTTGGTAGAACTTCTCTTCAACAGAATACTCTACATACACGGTATATACACACTGTTGAAATTATATTGGGAGATTTAAGACTGATAAGGAAATAAACTACATTGAATTAGTCATGCAGAGAGACAGGTGGGAATGTTTTCCAGGTCATGTTGAAATAGATAAGGAGAGAGGGAGTATGCGAGAGATTAAAATTAAGATAAAATGCATTATGCTTCCATTACATCACCTAGACAAACAATTATTACTCTGTTTGCAATTGCTGATGTATTCTCTAATGCGTTTCATCTTAATTTCAATCTCTCGCATACTCCCTCTCCCCTTAACTATTTGAACATGACCTGGAAAAATATTCGCACCTGTCTTTCTGCATGACTAATTCAATGTAGTTTATTTGCTTATCAGTCTTATATCTCCCAATGTAATTTCAATAGTGTGTATATATCCGTGTATGTAGAGTATTCAGCTGAAGAGGAGTTCTACCGAAATTTGATGAATTCATTAAATCACCATGCTTCATCAACCTTTGTTGCTTGTTGGGGTATGATATTCAATATAATAAAGGTTTTTTTGTATTTCCCAAAGAATGAAAAGCAAAACGACATTGTTTTTACCGACTGGTTTTCTTTGGAACTGAGTCGGTGACCAGTTTAGACTGCTTATCTTACGTGTTACTGTCAATAAATCGGTTTGGGTAACCGTTTTCTGCGAGCATGGCTTATAGGAAGAGTCAAGTTCTGAGTCAACGCAATCCTATAATTATGCCCCCCCATTTCCAACATCTATTCACCTTATGAATTATTCTATACATGACATTAATTGTTTTGCTACTTGACATTTAACTCTGATTATAATCACAAACATTTCAACTGTATTTCATACTATTATTGTTTCATGTATTCACACTGCTGACCCAATTCCCTCACCGGATATAATTTCCTTTAACCATATATATACGATTGTAGAGGTTGATAACAAATTCGTTGTTGAACAGAGTCTCTTCGCTGAATATTGTGTTCTTAATGCTACAATAGGAATTATCAAATTATATCTCCACTTAACAACCACTTGTGATTCTGTGAAGTTGGTAGTAAGTCACACATATTGTGTGCGGGTCAGTGATACTACCTATCCGCCCAAACTTCGGTAAAGTAGGTAAAGCAGGACTGGACTCACTGATTGCAAATCAAACGCCTAAACCATTGAGCCAGCCAAACACAGTTCCACATTATCAAATTTATTAATCAGACAAGGTTTAGTTTCCCTCTCTCTCGAAATTCAAACTTTAATTTCTGTCACCCTCATGTAAGATGATGATGCTACAGGAGGATTAATCTCCAGAGATAAGTGGTGATTAAATTTATCGAGACATCACAGCTTAAAGTGTCGGTGGTATAGTGGTTAGGACGCTCGTCGACCATGCACATGGTCCGGGGTTCGATTTCCGGTGGACGCACTCCTTTACCTCGCTAAGCCAGAAATAATTCTGGTAAAGAGGAAAGGTTGGGCATGAGGCTGGTTAGCAACCCCATCCTGTAAAATAAACAACACTGCTACAGAAACTTCAAGCCACTAGCTTGAAGCCCTATGTTCCACTGGGGAACGTGAATGAAACAAAAACAGCTTAAAGTAAATAGTATGAATAGGGTATGCTTTTACGTGTTTCGCTTCAATTTCTCATACTGTTCCTGTTCATCGTATGGAGATTAAACGTGTAACGGTCTGGGTGAGAAAGTTAATTTGATCACTCCTCACTTGATGGGGTGAGGTGTTCGCTATTCAGCCTTTGTCTTTCTTTTTTTTTCTTTCTGTGTATACACAGCGTATATAGATCTTTAATGTTTGCAATTCCTTGATTTACTAATTTTCAGGTAAACCTGATGATGAAAAGAAAACTGAAGGCAACGAGCAGTCATCAAAAGCTTCAACAGAAACTGCCACATCGCAATCTTCAATTAATGAAACTAAAAAACCGGTGATGAATAATGTTCCTACACCGACGCCTCCTTTATTAGGTGTATCACAGAATACAAATCTAGCCGCTATAGCAATGCTTTCAGCTGTTGTCACTAGTTTTGGCCTACCGGTACCATGTTTACCGTCGCATTCTGATGGTAAAAATCAATCAAAACAAAATGGTAAGTTGGATCATACGAAATCGAGCTTAGTATTCTTTGGTGTGGGGGTGTGTGGTTTTGATAGGACCCCACACACTTGTTATTGTTCAATTATCTTAATGACTGTTAATCTCGTATAAGTTGTATATTATCATTTCTCACGCATATTGTTATTGTTCAATTATCTTAATGACTGTTAATCTCGCATATGTGGTATATCATCATTCCCACGCATTTTGTTATTGACTATTACGACCAATTATTTCAAATACTGTTAGCTGTCTCTATTGGTTGTAAAATTGTATAAATACCATTTCCTAAATAAGTTTAGTTGTCGTTGTTGTAGTCGTCGTCGTAGTCATAGTTGTTGTACTACAATACACAGTCAGAGACCAGACTTTGTCTTTTGATATTTGCGTGGTTCGCTGAATCGGAAGGTACCAGAAGCAGATAGGCGTATTAGTCAGGCGCAGACAGAACAAGGCAACAACGTTCCTCATTTTAATTCCCGCTACAGTTACAACAAATTGGCGACGCGGTTTATCTCAATTCATTACAGTTATAACAGGTTTGTGTGTACCAATCACATTCCCTTATTCTTTCAACCAATCATCATCTGATTGATGGCTATATGTTTTAAAGTTACTTTCAGCAACTTTATTATTTGAAGATTTAAGTACTTTGAAATTGTGGATTAGGATCTATAATGATTCGAAATTAATTACCCCGAAACAAGTGTTCTTAGTCCTTGCGCAATAGTCAAGTGAATATTTCCGAGAATTTTATTGCATCTCATTAATTTTATCGATCTAATTCTGTTATTTTTCTAATTTCCCGGGACATTTTTTGTTTAAATCACGAAATTTGAAGTAGTTGTTCTCTTCTTAGCAGTTGACTTGTTTTCACTGTATTCATGATTGAACTCAACGATACCATACTTGGCCCGTGTTCTAAGTGACAGAGACAATGTTAAGCGCGAAACCTATGACTTCCTTTGTTGTTAACAACATAATTGTGGCTCTTTTATTTCTCTCTTGTTTTGCATTCTACAGTGAACACCTTCTTAAACATACTTAGCTACCTAAATTATTAACATTGGCTTACTTTTTTGTACTTTACTCTATTCCTCCTTTTGTGTATCTACTGGTTCCGACTATATTAGCACTATGAGTATTACAAAATTGTCCTGTCATTAAACTTCATGTAATTATTAGTTTTTGTGGTTGTTGTTTTTGTTCGGCAATATTAACTGACAATCTTGGTTGTGAACGCCATTACCACCATCTTAAAATTTTGTATTATGCAGGATTACTCACACTACCACTACAAACACCGCATTAGACCTGACAATAAAAAATAAAACAACAACCCTGAAATGTTATTTTATGATTGTTTAGTGTTGTTTCAACCTAAATTAACTGATCATCTTGGCGATAAATATTCTTAAATATCATTTCATAACTTCTTGTATGACTACAGCTTTACTGTCACCATGCATAATCATATCATAGCTTCCACTACCCAATACTGAGCTGTTATTTTATGTTGTTTATTTTCATTTCTACTTCTTGGTATTTTTTTCGCATTTTTAAAAATTATTTTTTTGTTGTTGTCTTGATATTTATTTATTTTTTGAAATACTCCTTTTAAGCGTTGGATAAAATTGATGCAAATATTGTAGATATGTGCTGAAAATTCCACACTGTACCACTAGTACTGTTTCTGGAATAAAGCAAATTATTATTATTATTACTATTAATTATGTCGTTGTGTGTTTCCAATCTCTTCTCGCTTTCAGAATGCTAGTTCGTTGAATGTAATCAAAGGCTTTGTTCTTTAGATGACCTAATTTTAATGACAATGAGAGATACTCATCACCTAGAATCATTTGTTTTCCAGTTGTTTGATTTTTGTTCAATCTGTCTAGCATTTTATATTGTGATTCGTTCGGTTGTTGATAGGTGTTTTACATGATGATAACGTTGCACTAAAGTTTGTGTACTAGTCGTCAGTTACCAACTGAACAGACATTGTCTGCAGAATTGTGTTGTTTGTTGCAAAATTTCAAAAATTTTCAATCAAATATGGTGGAAGTGAGTAGTTGCATACTACACATATCAACCAGCAGTGCTTGCTAGCAAGGTCGAAGTGATCTAAGCACCGAACAGTCGTTCCGGTGTGGTGACAGCTGTCTACTAGCCGAAATTGGTAGACAGCGATCGCGGTCCTGAGAAAAAAACAAGAACAAAGACTAACTCAACAACCAATCACAGCAGACTTAGCGTGGGCGGATATGAGTCGCAGATATATGGTCTTACCTTCAGAGAAATGAATACAGAGAGATCACAACCAATCAGAAGACTCTGTTTCTCTGCTAACAATAACGCTAATGATAATGTACATAAAAATCTATAAATATCTGTTGATTTCCTCAATAAACAATCTGTTGTCTGACTCTTGTTATCTGTCGTTGCACCGGTCGTTCACGGCCGAGCTTGTCAACAGTGTACCTAGTTTGACTCAGCTCAAAGAGCCTGATCAGTCAAAACAAACCGAATTCAGTCCCAATCGATCGAAACGGCCTTTCGGTGTATTTACACCACCTCTGTGTGGCTAGCAAGCATTTCTGGTTGATGTGAGTTGTATCCAACTACTCATTTCAATCAATCAGTAGTGTACATAGCTTTGTGCAAATTTGTTCGCTCTCGTGATTACCATTGTAGCAGCAGAAGACAAGGGCCAGGCAACAGATCGTTTATTATGGAAATCAACACATATTTATATATTTTCATGTACATTATTATTATGGATTAGTTAAGCAAACAAACACAGTCTTCTGATTGGTGGTTTCTCGCTGAACGTTAATCTTTCATCTCTTTGTGGCCGTTTCTTGAAATTCAGATTTATCTATCTGCAAATTGAATCCGCCTACGCAAAGTCTGCAGTGATTGGTTGTTGAGTTAGCCTTTGTTCTTTTCTCATGACCAATATTTGGGACATAAATTGCTGTCTACCAATTTTGGCTAGCAGCAAGCCCTCACCACGTCATTCATAATATCAGAAACCTACGGTGAAATTTAACCACTTGAACTGTGTATATTGCCAATCGCTAACCAATATACAAATTGTGACAATATGGTACCATAATTTTCTCTACTGTAGTAAACTTAAATGTCAACAATTTTATTTGTGCGGTTATTAATAACTTGAGGCATACAAACAGATAGTTATCATAACTTATGCTATTTTTAGTGTTTCTGCTCACTAAAGAAGCATTGTAATCGTATATTTTTGGACTTTTAGTGCCTGTTGTACAACCGTCGACAATCCCACCTCCTTTACTTGGATTTCCGCAAGCAGTTAATCCAACTAGTGCATCCAGTTCTTCTAGTTTACCACTTCCCAATTCGTTACTAAACAGTCTATCGACAACACTACCACCACCACTTGCAACGTCGTCGGCTTCTCCTACGCCTGGTACTGTCGTATCCAGTGATAATCGAAAGTTGTTTATCAATCAAGCTTTAGCTGTTTTAAATGCTTTCGCCTCTTCGGCTAATAATAGCAATATTGATTTTTCCAATTTTAACAAATCTGGTGCCAGTAGTCAATTGTCGAATACAACTACGAAGTTAGTTAAACCTGAACCAATAACTAACGGTACCAATGAGATAAATTCATCAATATCAAGTTAGTTGAAAAGAGGTAGGTCTAGTTGTTTGTTTTGTTGTTTTCCTATTGATTGACTAATACTTTTATGTAAAATTATTATTATTGTTGTTCCCTTGGGTTCCTAGTGGAACATAGGGCTTCAACTACACGTCTCCACTTGCTTCTGTCTTCTGCTGTGCTTTTCGCCTGCATCCATGTTGTTCCATACTGTTTCAGCTCCTCCTCACACGATCTCCTCCATGTCACCCTTAGACGTCCCACTCGCTGCTTCCCTTTCGGGTTCCACTCGAGCACTGGCCTGACGCGCGATGTCACTCAACGGCCTCCTCAGCTCACCGAGTGTCCAATCCATCTCCACTTTCTCCTGCATATTTGTTGTTTGGCGATTGGTTCTTGTTTTGTTTGTTCCCATAGTTTCTTGTGGTTCTTGTTCTTTCCGGCCATCTGATCTTCAGTATAGAACCAGCGAAGACAGCTGTTGATAAAGGTCTGCAACAGGCTGTTGGAAATATTCTTTGTGACCCACTGCCAAGTTTCTGATCCGTATAGAAGAACTGACTGACTTGACGTTTGTATTGGAAATCCGAATTTTTTGTTGTTGATGCTGAGTTGAGTGACGAAGATTTCCAGATTGGTTTCAGGTGGATGAATGTGTTTCTCGCCTTCCCGATTCTCGATTTGACATCCTCGTCCGTTCCTCCTGTAGTTGAGACAATGCTCCCTAGATAAGTGAATGAAGTAACCTCTTTCAAATCCCTCCCATTGATGGTGGTTGGCGCTGGATGTTGCTGTTGTTGCTGTTGTTGGTTGGTTATTTTCATAACCTCCATCTTGTCTACGTTCACCTGGAGTCCTGTCTTCACCGGCTGCTTCTTCGACCAGTTTGTCGGTTTTCGCTTGTATGTCTTCGATTTTGTGTGACATCAAACATAAATCATCCACGCGCGGAATCCAGGTCTTGTAGATTCTTCATGTCGGTCCAGAATATCCCTGTCTTCTCGTTTCCCGCTGTCTGACATATAATGCAGTCCACCACAATTAGGAATATCATTGGTGATAATAAGCATCCTTGTCTGACTCCTGTGTTTACTCGAAACGCCTCACTGAGTTTTCCGTTGTGGATCACTTGACATGTACCATTGTCGTACAGCTGTTGAATAAGGTTGATGAATATTTGGGGTAGGCCGTAGTACTTGAGTAGTTTCCACGCATGATTCTTCCATGATGTCACGTAGTGTTTCCTGCTCATGTAAAATTAGTCGAATGATTTGGGGATTCTATTAACCTCTATTTGAATCACTCTGAATGAAGCTTCTTCTATGCATGCATGTCTTCATCATACTCCTTTAAAGGATTTTAGTGTGAGTGTGAGTACTCCTATCTCTCACTTATCCAACGAAAGACACTTTTGTTCTTATTCATTGGCCGCAAAAAGATGTTATTTGTAGTCATTTAGATGAAAAAAACATGTATAGGATGTGGTGGATGTAACTCCTATTGATATTCCAATGTTAGACTGGGAGTCATTTTTATCACATGTGAGAGACAGGTATCTTCTGTAGTGCATTTATACAGTTTTTAAGCATTCTTTCATTCATAAAAACATATACTTTGTACCTAAAAATATCTGTCTGTCTGTTTTCGACATAGAACTTTGCACATGTGTGCGGCAGTTCAAGTCGACACACTCCATGTAGCACACAAAGGAAGAGAAGAAAGTATAAGAACTGCATAATATAGACAGTGAACAGAGGTGTGAGACAAAGGAATGGTAAAAACGAAGAACAAAACAGTTTCATTGGAAATCATAAGTCACAAGGAGTGGATGCATCTGCGCCACTGAGAACGATTTTGAACCATGTCACCAATTGTCTCTAGCCATTGGTTTTACCGTCCCGAAGACCCCAACCAGGAAGTCTACACCTTCCTACGTGGCTTAGACTAACTGTTGTAGATTTCATTGACTGGTGCCATGTTTTCGTTTGACTGCCGCTAGCTCTTTTCCAGCCTGACCCTATGTCAGCTAACATTGCCCGTCCAGGAAGGCGATGGCTAGACATGCATAACTAGCACACATGTCCCAACCATCTCAGTCGATTTAATTTCACAGTCTCGTAGACTGATTTCCCCTCCTTACCTAGCACTCGGCCGATGGCTAACCTCAATATTGCTCACCTTATTATACCACTTCACGCGGGAGATAGAACGCAGACACCTATGATCGAAGACAGCTAATCTTTTCATGTCTTCTGCTCTCAATGGCCAGGTCTCACAGCCAGCCATAATGGAGGACGGAGCGGACTGTTGAGCAGTACACACGCCCTTTGGTCGATAGTCGGATATCACGTCTACTAAACCAGAGACGGCGTAAACTGGCATATGCGAACCTAGCCCTCTGTATTCGTGCTGACATTTCGTCAGAGATCAATCCGTTGGCGTTGGCTGATGATACTTCCCAAATAAGTGAAGCGGTCAACATGCTCTACCACTTCACTTCCTATTTCTAATCTAGGAGTCGGTGTAGATTTTTTTGTACCTAAAAATAGCGTCTTTCATGTGATTGGTGCATTCAAGGTGATTCTCTGATTGGTAGTTACTGGTGCTTAAAGTCTAATTGACGTACAACGCCTATCTTGATGAACTTTGTGTCATTATTATTCCTATTAATTAATTATTATTGAATTCTTACATCTTTCTTTTTTCATAGATCTATAGATATATACAAGAATCCAAAGGTGTTCAAATAACAGTGAGAAAATTTTTTTATTATTGAAGAGTCAAAGAAATTATTACCGCGTCGTGATGTGCTTTATTTCAAGTGATGGTCTTATTAAATCTAATTTACTCATCCGGTTGATTTTGGTGTTGCTCACTTATAATTATTATTGACAGATTTATCACTTTCTACTGTACAAATTACCTTTTGTGTTTACGTGTTTGTGCTTGTGTCTATGTGTACATGATGTGAATAGGAAATAAAAATCAAAAATATATACATATTTAAAATCAGATAAATGATAATATCTCAAGGTGTTTTCTTCTCCTCTTCTCTTCTCTTGGAAAATGTTCAAAGGAATATGTACAATCAAAAGTGTGTAACACAGTCATTGATTGACATTAGTGAAATTGAATGTGCGCTTGGTATTGTGTTGGTTTGCAGGGGAGGGGGATTTGATAGAGATTTCAACGTAGATGATGAACTGACTTCAGTTAGAGGACCCATTAACAATCAGAGAGTTACTGGTGTGTGTGAAATCATGGGTGCGTACTGCTGAAAAGTCCCGAAATAAAGTGTTCCAGCTGTCCAGTACTCCTTGAAATATACTTTTAATTGAGCTACTGTGTTGCATCAAAAAATATGTTCGCATTTAAATATTAAATGTTCATTAGTTGAAGGTATTTTGTAATTCATACACATTAATAAAGCGTACTTTTTGGGTCGTGCGTCGGTGGCATAGCGGTTAGGACGCTCGCCGACCATCCCCGGCCGATGCCGCACTCCTTTACCTCGCTAAGCCAGAAATAATGCTGGTGAAGAGGAAAGGTTGGACATGAGGCTAGCAACTCCATCCTGTAAAAATAAACACTGCTACAAAACCTTCAAGCCTCTAGCTTGAAGCCCTATGTTCCACTGGGAACGTGAAGGAATAAAAAAACTTCTTTGGTCATAAGTGTGAAAAAAATAGCTTTGAGAAAAGACACATGTACAGAGAGACCTCATTCCGTTATTTGAGTAAGCATAGATGGCAGTGGAATTTAGGATGCTCATCTCTTCCTTTCTTGGACTCGTTAGCCAATAATATTTTTTCTATTCATAAAAGTGTGTAGGGTATTACTGTTGTATAAACGTAACTATCTTAAAATACTACATTTATCTGTACAGTACAATGCTGATTGTATTCCCTCCCCCCCCTCCTTTCCACTTGTGACTTTGAAACTCTATTGGTTATTGACTGTTTCAACTTACCACTAGTGTAACTAGTGTCTTTCAAGGCCATTTAAAGTCTTGTGTCGCAGGTCCGGTGGTATCATATCGTGTCGTTGCTCATATTGATTAGAACAGTAAGCTCGCATATCGACTAGGTGGGAAGTTCGTTAACGCATAGTAACAAGTGTATCAACGGTTGTAACAAACATTTGCTCTTTAATGTTAAAAATATGGTGAAAGTGTTAGTTGACTCTTTACAATGAACAGTTCTATAATTTTGATGGATTTCATCGCTCACTATTGCTGATGCACTTGTGGTTATGACAGTTTGAAGCAGAACTTGTCCGAATTTTGTTTCAACGTTATTATCCCCGAATTGTATCATTTAGGCTAGGAGGTCTATTCAAATTGAAGTATTTTGATTGGACACTAGTAACTAGTGCGACGCGTCTTGTCCTTTCTTTGACTTTGGTGTAGACTGAATTCTATCAGTCAAGCTTTCAATGTGGCCACCATTCCACTAGGTAGCTCGCCATCACGGTGCATACTCATTTGATGATATTGAATGGTTGTAGACAATCGGTCACAGGAAGCCTTGCTCCACCTAGTTTTCGTGCTAGTTGGCACTCACCAGTCAGTCAGCAAGGCGTATCTGTAACCTTGAAGGAACTCATATCCATTTTGAGATTTGAACCCGCGTCACCCAGTGGGGCTGCAGTCAGAGACGTTACCACTGAGCTATGGTGGCCACATTGCAAACCTGACTGATAGAATTCAGTCTGCACCACTCAAATTCTTAAATTATAAAGGTGGTATACACTCAGTCCTACAGGAGGTCAATCGCGAGCCCGAATAGCTCAGTGGTAACGTCTCTGACTGCAGCCCCACTGGGTGACGCGGGTTCAAATCTCAAAATGGATATGAGTTCCTTCAAGGTGACTGCAGATACGCCTTGCTGACTGACTGGTGAGTGCCAACTAGCACGAAACCTGTGACCGATTGTCTCCAACTATCCAATATCATCAAATTGAAGTATGAGCTGAAGATGTTGCCTAGTAGGGCAATAAAACTTTCGCAAAAAAACCGTACAACTCAGAGAACACAACTACATCAAGTGCATAGTTTTTGCCGTAAAATTAGATATAATCACAATTAACCTGTCTGTTAATAATAAATACTCTCCCTTCGTGTGAAGGGAAACATGAATATCTACTCAAAATGTATCAAAAGATGTCTATCCTTAGATCAATAAACAATACTCCGAGGTTACGGCGGAGGTTGTCCACGTATGTGTTAAATAGCATTTTTAGAGGTTGACCGCCATAATTTTGAAATTTTGTAGCATAAAAATACTGCTCAAAAACCAGAACAATTGTCTCATTTCATACTAGGTGAACTAGAGACAGACAACAACAAAAATTCCAATTGAATTAGTTGTGAAAAGACACTATGCTTGTTAGACTCAATTCCTAGTTCATCGTGTTCGTCGCATTCACAAAAATAAATTAGTAATTGAAAGACATTATTATTATTATAACATAGGACATCAACAGCACAACTCCACATCACGCTGTACTCTACAGTCTTCTTCAGTTGGCTCCATAGCTGCAGGTAAGCTGTCTTCTATTCCTCCATGTCACTGTCCGGCGCCTAGCTCGTCGTTTCCCATTCGGGTTCGACTTGAGCAATGGCGTGGCGGGCGATATCTCCTCCGCGTGCATATAAATTTAATTCATGGAAAATTCCTATTGTAACATATAGAAAATCAAAACAACTGGTGATTCAGCGAAGAGACTGTTTTCATCGAATTCATTATCAAGCAGTACAACCGTATATATATGGTTTATTTCATAAGAAATTATATCCGGGGGGGGGGGGAATTCGGTCAAAGATGTGAATACATGAAGTAATAATAGTATGAAATGCAATTAAAATATTTGTGATTATAATCATAGTTTAATGTCAAGTGGCACAATAATTAATGTCGTATATAGAATAATACATAAGGTGTATAGATTTTGAAAAGGAGTACATAATTATAGGATTAGTAGGCGAATATAAAATGTTACATAACATGGTGTGAAATTTGATAAGATAGAATTCAATATTGTAAAAATGAAAAATTAATAATTTTGGGTTCAGAATGACAAGTGGAAACAATTCAGAGTGAGAATAATAATCGTAGTAATGAGGGAAAAGTACATAGATTAACTAAATAAACAAAATAAATAAATGTCTATCCCTCTACGGCCAAGGCAGAAGTAGGAATTGTACATACTGCTTTTGTTCAAAAAGGTCTGGCTGGCTTAAATTCATGAATGGCCAAGGCCTCCTCTGTCTTTAGAAGTCTATAACGAAGAAAACGCAGTCAGCAAGTTAGCATGGATTCGGTAGATGATCTTAAAATCATGGTCAGGGTTGACAGAGTGACAGGAGTCGATCAGGTGTTCTAGAAGAGAGCTTCGAACACACTTCCTTCCTCCCTTGTAAAACCATGCAGTTGGAATATGTTCTTGTATCCGTGTGGAAAGCGTCCTCTGACTACGGCCAATCTACCTCGCTCCACAAGAGCAGGTGGACTGATAGATACACATGGAGGCGGCCGGATGGGGGAGCTTATCTTTTACAGAGGTAGAGAACAACTTGCGGTTGGTGAACGTCATAAGTAATTTTGCTGCAGAGAATGTCGTACTGACTGATTTAGAGAGACGACTTTTGAGCATATCTGAAGCTTGATCACCTTTGAATTCCAAGTTCATGAATAAGGTTTTCTTTGGAACTGAGTCGGTGACCAGTTTAGACTGCTTATCTTTCATGTTGCTGTCAATAAATCGGTTAGGGTAACCGTTTTCTGCTAGCGTGGCTTTTAAGAAGTCAAGTTCTGAGTCAGCGCAATCAGAACTACAAATGTTCCTTATCCTAGAGCACAGCGAATGAATTAGGTTCCTTTTCCTGGAGATAGGCATCCAACTATAAAATTTAGTTAGTTGTCCGTTCCATGTACGTTTCCGGTGGATAGGTTTTTTGAGAGATCCGCCATCACGTCTACTAAGGCACACATCAAGAAACGGAATACTTGGTTTAGATTCCTTTTCTATCGTGAATTGTAAAGAAGGATGGCAGTTGTTGAAACCCAACAAGACATTATCAAGAATTACGTTACTAACGCAGATAACGAAAGTGTCGTCTACGTATCTTTTATCTTAAGTGTCGAAATGATCGATGGTTTGACTAAGTTGAGAATTTTCAAGCTTTGCCATTATTGACAGTAACACGAAAGATAAGTAGTCTAAACTTGTCACTGACTCCATGTGCATCTATCAGTTCACCTGCTCTTGTGGAGCAAGGTATATTGGCCGTAGCCAGAGGACGCTTTGTCTCTCCTTAGTAACCCTTTGTCTTCTGACTTCATCATTTTGTTTCAATCCTCTACACCATTTGACTCTGATTTTTGATCTTTAGAATTCCACTCACCATCATCTCTTCATTCGACTTCTTACACACCGAAATTTTGATTTTCCAGTCTAATAAGTTCGAATATTGCATTTTATTGTCTCTGATTATGCAATTATACTGACTTATCACCATCCTAACAACATGTTTGTTCATTTTTACCAGAAACTTTGCCCTTATAATATATATATTCATATATACTGATGACTTTACATAACCGTATCATCCTTAGGCTTTGTTTCACCATGACTTTCTGACAACTATCCTTACTGAAGGACTGACCTATATTATGATTGACAAAATGTGTTAAAATCGTATGAGAATTGGTTCGTATTATTATATGTGTAAAACTTGGGCACTGTGGTAGTAAGTAATTCCATATTATCAAAAGAATGTACACTGAACAAAGAATACTCTTTTTGATAACTTCATCATCATCAGGTTCTACAGTTATATATACATTATAGTGAATGAATGAATTAGTGTTATGAACAACATTAATGTTGTTTA